TTATAAATTTTAAATTTTAATTAAATTATTTAATTATTTTAATTTAATTTATAATTACTTTTTATACATCTAGGGTGTGTTTGTTTGGAGGATTGGATTGGATTTACACTATTTATCCAATTTTTTCCCCTCAAAAACATCAAATCAAACACCTATTTTTTATTTTTTATATTATACTAAAAATCAATTTTACATTCAAAAGATCACATCAACACATATTTATATCACATCATACAACTATTCAAATTCAAAATTTTTACTATTCAAATCCCAATTCAAAATCCACCCCAAACAAACACATCCCTAATCAACATCATGTCAAAGGTCTTAACCCAATCATCTTATATATGCATACATATATATATATATATCCCAAACCCCACTTCTATTATGACTGTATTTTTTGGGAATTTCTTCACGGTACGTGTGTAGTGTAGGGCAGGGTTTGGTTATTTATAAAATTTTACCTATTATTTTATTATTCTATTTTTTTTTAAAAAAATATCAAATTAAATATTTAATTTTTATTTATTTTATTATATTAAAATTTAATTTTACATTCGAAACATTACATTAATACACATTTATATCAAATCAAATACTTCATCCGTTCTAATACAATAGTCCTGTTTACTATTTTTGTCTGTTCCAAAATAATAGTCTCATTTCCATAAATAATTATATCACTATAAAACTATCCTTACTTTTTCATTATTATTACACAATTGTCACTATTTTTTACACTAATACACTCACAAGAACAAAAAAGTTTTTTACTCGTACTTTTTACTCACTATCAATATAATATCAATATTCCTTAAATCTCATACCAAACACAACCTAAACTATAATTTTGGAACGAAGGGGGTAATTATTTCAATTCAAAATTTTACTATTCAAAATCAAAACTCAAAACCAAAATGTAAAACTAAACACACTTGTAGTTTCTATGTACATTTGTTTCTATATATTATTATGAGCCAACATTATGGTCTCCATCATGTCATGTCTCCCACTATATATATATATATATATACATATATTCACACTTTGTCACAAAATTTATTCCATGTTAAGCAAAATGGACAATATTTACATTTATGGGCAAGTTCTAAGGAATCAAGAATATAGCCATCCACCTCCCACCCACCCCAAGATATCACTAAAAATACAATCTTTACCATTCTTGGAGAGTGATGCATATAAATCAAGAACAAATCCAAGTGGGTTCTTGTTTTTATTTTTATCTCTAACATTATTTTGTGGTGTTGGTAGGAAACAACAAATAAAATTATAAAAACATAAATAAATTAAATATAAATACGAGGTTGGCACTGTAGCCAAAAAAAAAAATTAAAAAAAGAAGGCCCACATAGATAGAGAGTGACGTGGCAAGCATCGAAGGGCACCACGTGTCAGAACCCCATGGTAGAGATGATTAACACATATTGAGCAAAAGGACAAGTCTGACAAAATGAAAAGAAAGAGCTGCGGTTCTGTGAAAGTATGCATTTAATGGCCCAGAGCAGATACCGCAGGGAACTGTTGTTTTTCAACTGTAGACAAAAATTAGTAATCCCAATCCCCTGGGGCCCCCACCCCCACCCCCACCCCCACCCCACCTATAACAAAATAAAAAAATTAAATAAAAAAATAATAATAATAAATTCAAACCTCAATTTAATTTAATTAGTAAAATAAAAATTGCATATATATGGAAATCTGGGGAGTGCTCCAATGAAGCAGGGCAGTGTATGCAAGTATGAAAGACAAATACAGAAGTTGACCCACTGGTAAGAACTACAACTGTTACAAACATATACTTCCTCGGTCCGTCTTTTGGGTATTGGCACGGATGGATATAAAATAAGAATGTAAAAAAAAAAAATACTAAAATGCTCTTCTTTAAGAATTAAAAAAAATAGATTACAGTAATAATTAGGGATAGTTTGAAAAAATACGAATAATTTTGTTATAATGTATGGACTATAATTACTAAATAAAAAAACAAGACAATTGTTTTAAAACGAACAAAAATAAAAAAATAAGACAACTCTTTTAGTACGGAGGAAGTATATATATATATATTTATTTATTTATTTATGGGCCAATGAAAAAAATTAAATTTAAAAAAATGGAGTAGTGCAAAAGAGGAGATTATTTTTCCCTAAAAGAAGACTGCATATTTTGTAGCTTTCAGATGGGAATCTGCTTGGATTCTGCTTTTGATCCATCATGCACTGTATCATTGTTTTGACCACTTTCTTACATACATACATATACATGTTTTATTTATTTATTAAATTGTAAAAATTTAATTTTTTTTTTTTTTAAAATTATTTTAATTTGATTGCAGGTTGAAGATGGTATTTCAGGAAATCCTTCCTTCACTATTTATGGCTAATATTTATGTCTGTAAAGGCACAGACTTGACAGTCCCTAATGCCCTAATTAAGGAACACAAGTTTATTTGCCTTTATAATTAATACTCCTACTTTTAGGGGCGTTTGTTCCGTGGATTGGATTTTAAATTAACTATTTTTTTTATTTTTTTTTAAAAAATATCAAATTAAATACTTATTTTTTATATTATACTAAAAATCAATTTTACATTTAAAACATCACGTTAATACCTATTTATATCACATCATACAACTATTCAAATTTAAAATTTTTACTGTTCAAATCTCAACTCAAAATCCAAACTCCCAAACAAACACACCCTTACTTTCTAGAATTTTTACTTTATTTTTTATTTTTGTTTGTGTTTCGAAAATTCACCCTATTTTTTCCCCTTTAAAAACAACAAATCAAACGCCTGTTTTTCATTTTTTATATTATACTAAAAATCAATTTTACATTCAAAATATCACGTCAACACCTATTTATATCACATCATACAACTATTCAAATTCAAAATTTTTACTATTCAAATCTCAACTCAAAATCCAAACCCCAAACAAACACACCCTTGATGTTTTTCCTATTCTACCTCAAATGTCTATACTTCGGATATATTACCTCCGTCCACGTCCACGGAAGATTGAGCCTTTTTGTCAGTAACATGGTATTTTAGATAATATAAATTATTAAGTTATTAATAATAAGTTAAAATAATATTTTATTAGTCTTTTTTTTTAGATGTGTAGTGTTGTTGGTATTTTAAATATTTTAAACAATTATATCTCAATATAAAATATATGCAATATGAATATCATTTTGTAGACAATAAAACTTTATATAATACAAATAAATAAAACAATATATTTATTTATTTATTATTATCATAAATTAGTTTTAAAAAAAATGAAGAGTTTTAAAGGTAGATAAAAATATTTGTTAATTGAAAAAAGATATATAAATAAAAGGATTTTGAGTGGGTCATATGTTAGAAATTTAATTTAATTGATTTATATTTGTTAAGTATGTTTAACATTGATAAACCTGTCAAAAAATATAAAGGGATCATCATTTTTTAAACGAAGAAATTGGATCATCTGTGGTCGGATGAAGGAAGTATAATATTCTTTTGTATTTGTATTTTAGTAAAAATGCACAAAACACTATGTGTTTTATTGATCGCCTAAAATATCTTGTGTTAATATAAAATTTATACGAAACAACTTTTTTTTTATCCAAAATTGAAATTTCATTCTAACTAATTACATAAATTATGTAAGTTTAATATAAATAAAACACGCTAAATATCTTAATATTTTTTTTTGAATAAAATAAATAAATGATTAATCCTTTATTTTTATAATTTTTAGAAATAAATTGTTATCTGATTTTTATTTATTTAAAATTGAAAATAAATGATTAATCAATTATTTATTTATTTATTTTATTAAAAAAATTATTTAAAATATTTTATGTTTTTTATTTGTTTAAAATTTGAGTAATTTAGGTCTTTATGTAGAATTAAATATCAGTTTTGGATAAGGAGAGTATTTCGTACAAACTTTACATTAACATAAAGAGTTTCACACAATAAATAAAATATAAAGTATTTTGTGCATTTTTTTAAAAACACAATGGGTAGTATATGATTTACCCCCTATTATTTTTATAATTTTTATAGTAGTCCGTTCTACATAATCTATCTTTTTTTTAGTTTTTTTTAAAAAACTGAAAAACAATTAAATTTTTAGTTTTTTTAAAAAAATGATTATACTATTTAATTGTTTTTCATTTTTATATTTATAATTTAAATTTAATTAATTATTTATTTTAATATATAATTATTTATATGATATAATAATTTTTTTTATTAATATATTTTAAAATTGTTCATATCTAAAAACAGGACAAATAAAGTAGAATGAAAAAAATAGATTTTGTACTTACTCACTTTTATATATTGTGCAATTTCTATTGTTCTAAAATATATTTGCACGATTTTTTTGGTAAGTGCTTTTTTTGTTATGAATTGACAAAATAGTAGAGATTAAAAGTAATAATTGAAGTGTAAAAATGTAAAATATGTGTTTAAAAAAAATGAAATATGATAATAATTGTTGAACATTTCAAATAGAAAAGTACAACTTTAATTTTTGGACCACGGGAATATTAAATAGAATAATTTGAAATTAAATCATACGATAAAAAATATTATATATATATATTATTTTAATAAATATAAAATAAAATATAATTAATTATTTTTTATTTAGAAGATATTACTGAATATATATGAAATATAACAAAATAAAAATTATCATTAGGAAATATCACAATTTATATTTATTTTACCAAAATATAACAATCAAAATTCCGAGACCAATTTGAGAGACCGAAGAAGTATTTACTTGGTAATTATTAAAGAATTAATTATAATTGGAATGATGAAATCTGGTCGCATTCCTCGTTATTTACTCTCTCCTCATCCAACAAAGAGATTCTTGAATGTTTCCAATGTATATAATCCTTTTTATTTTATTTTTGTAGGGGAATTTTCTCACGAAAAAAAATAAAAATTAAATTATTAATTGAAAGCCCTAACAAGAAATTGTGACATAAACAAAGATAAGTAAATATTTTTTGCGACAGTGATAAGTAAAAAGGAAGCAAAAAGTACAGAGCTTTAAGAAAGCCCTAAGAACACATCTATGCCTGCTGCTGCTGCTGCTGCTACTGTTTATACCGACCATACAATCAAAAAACATTCCAACATTTCGGATTATACGAGATTAGATACACACGCACGAAGGGGAGACGAGTTCAGCCTCAGGCCCGATCGATCGGGTAGGCACTGCCGCCATTGCTTTTAGGGCTCGGAGCTCGACGACAATTCCAATGGAGATGGCCGGCGGCAGTTTGGAGAAGATGAGAGGGGTGATCGATTGATTAATTTCTTAACGAGATTTGGGTCCGCCCCGCGAATCAGTCGTCGGAGCTCCGGCAGACTCCGCCGTCTTCTTCGTCGTCGCCATCTTCTTCGACCTGGGTAGTGTCTGATTGAGCCTTCGAGCTCGCCGGAGAAGAGGGAGACGGTGAAGCAAGCAGCAGCGCCGGCGCCGGCGCCGGCGGGCGGCCGATGATCGGCACCGGTTCGGTGAGCGTCCGGCCGTCGCGGGGAGGGTTGAACACCACCGGCATATACTCCTCGGCGTCGTCGGGGAATTTGGAGTTCTTGAAATGCTCCCTCAGAGCTTCCAATCCCTAATTTTTGTTCTTCCATATTCTCAGAAAATTCCCAAAATTTGCAGAAGATGATAAATCAATACAAATAATCTAACCTGCAATCGGGCATAGGTAACTTCACAGATTTTTCTCGAATTAAAAACCTCCCAATTTTGATGATGAAAAGCTTTGTAGAGCCTCAATGTCGCCTCAGGAGATGTCATGTTGACGAAGCCATATCCGACATTGCATTTGTTGCTGCAATTGAAGCAAAAATCAGACCTCAAATAAACAAGGGTTTCAAGAAATGGATATATTAAAAAAAAATAATAATCACATGAAATCAATGGGTAGGTAGACGAAATCGTAAGCAGACAACGGCTGTTCTTCGCCGCCATCGCCGCCGCCGTCGCCGGCGGCCAACTGCTCGTTGCAGTGAATGCAGTGATTGTCCAGCATGTTCAGCAGTAGCTTCTGACTGCAAATCAAAAAAAAAAAAAAAAAAAAAAATTTGAAAAATCAATTTCGATTATATTAATGAGAATATTTTGGACAAACGAGCAAGCAATCCTCAAAAAAAAAAAATCGATTTAATTACCTGTACTTGTTGGGGATGTTTTTGATCATGACAGTGGTTCTCGAATCCCTACTGCAATTCAAATCCACCATTATCGCATCTTCATTGATAAGAAACCGCGGGTCGTGATCCTTCCCATGGCGTCCGCCGCCGCCTTTCCACGGCCTGCCGCCGCCGCCGTGGTTAACGGCGGCGGAGCTTTCTCCTTTCCTGGCGCCATTGTTCTTCCTGCTGATTCTCCCGCTCGAACACTCGTCATTAATGCATAAATTGCTCACCGATTCATGAATCGACGACGCCCCGCTGCTTGAACTCTTGCTCCCGCTCCCGCCGCCGCTAGGGTTTCCTCTCGACCGGTAGCTCCGGCCCGCCGCCGCCCGGAGAAAATGCCTGCTTTCCGGCCGCCGCGTCGGAGAAACCGGAGATGTCTGATTATGATGATGATGATAATTGGGAGAATTCGGATATATGGATTTCCTCGGAGAATCGTTATTATTCTGAGATCCTCTCCAGAATTTCTTGCAGTAATGGCCGCCGGGACGACTGAATTCGATGACGAGATTCTTCCCGAAGATTTCTTTGCCGTTCATCTCCGCCATAGCTTTTGCAGCGTTGCGGACATCGTAGAACTCCACAAACCTTTGGTTCCTTTTGTTTGGTGTGTCTCTGAGCTCTTTCACGGGCCCTTCTCGACGACAATATTATTCAAATCAAAACAAGAGACAAAGATAATACGAAATTTTAAAAAAAAAAAAAAAAAAAGGGAATTGCAGGCAGAAGAAGACAATTATTGTTCACAAATTAATGTGGTCAAGAAAAGGACCCGACTCTTCAATTAAGACGGGGAACACAACACACACACACACACTTGAAACGAGTGTTTGCATTCCCCAACGAAATCTCACTGTAGATCTCTTCAACCCATAATTACACCCTGAAAACATCTGATTCACAGTAGGACTGCACCCAATTGAATTCCAGACTCATTTACAGCAATCAGAAGAAAGAAATTAGAAACCCTAGTTTTTCAATTTCAAAATTAGGGTTTATGTTAATTTGGGGGTGGAGAAGATGATGGACATACCGAATTGCTGGAAAATCTGTTGGAGGTGAGAAGAGGAGACGGCGGAGTCCAAATTGAATATGACAATGGTGCCTTGGTTGTTGCCATCGGGTAGACCAGAGGTCACCGCGTTTATGTACTGGGCCCACACCACGCGCCCGGAGATGAGCCCACGCGCCGCCTGGGGAGGGAGCGGCGCCGCCGCCATCGCAAGTCCGACGGAATTGCTCAGGACGGCCTCGTAATGGCGGCCGAGGCGGAACTGCTGCTGCATGTGCTGCTCCTGAATCGACACCAGCGCCGCCTGGGCATCGCGTACGTCGTAGAAGTGGACCGTTACTAAACCCTCGCGGCGGCGCTCCATCTGCACGGCGCGGACGTCGCCGAAGACTTCCAATTCGCGGCGTACCGTCGACTCGCTGACGGAGGCCGGGACCATGCTGAGGAGCAAGGTCCGGGACGGGGTGGCCGACGACGGGGGTAAGGAGACCGGCAGCGGCGGCGGAGGCTCGGCCGGGGGCGGGGCGGCGGCGGCGACGAACGCCGGCCGGCCGTATCCGATGTCGTAGACCGCCGGCTGCGGGTAGGGGAAGAAAATTTGGGGGTGGGCCGCCACGGCGAAGGAGGCGGCGGGGATGAATTCTTGCGCCGCCGGGTCGAGGTGGCGCGGCGGAAACCCTGGGAAACCCGGTTCGTTCATCGCCGGCGAATCAAACCCGGTTTAGCAAAAAAACGATAAACGGCTACAAAGAAAATTTTCCGATGGTGATAGCTGATTTTGTTGTGGATTTTCAGTACATATCTCTCTCTCTTTCTCTCTCTAGACTGACTTTGTTCGATATCGTAATCTCCTCATTCTCTCTCTCTATCTTTCTCTCTCTCACTTACTAGTGCGTGATGTGTGTGAGAGAGAGAGAGAGGGGGGAATGGCAGTAGACAGCGCAGAAGATAGAGAGAAAGGGAGTGTAATAAAGAGAAGATGTGAGTATGCCTGATACGCCTTTCTCTTCTCAAACATGCCTCTTATTTATTGAAATTTTATTTTAATATTAATTAAAATTACAATAAGGATTCTAATGTTACCACATTAATCAATTATAAAATAAAATTTGAACAATAAATAATATTTCGTAGTACAATTGTATGTTTAAATATTTGAATAGAAATTTTAATAAAAATATATATTTCCTCTGGCCAATATTATATATATATCCAAAAGGTTACTATAAATACAAAAATTTAGAATAAATATAATTAGTAGATAATTAAAAATATATTAATAAAAATAATTCTTTATAATATAAATAATTATAAATTAAAATTAAAATAATTAATTTAATTAAAAATTTTAAAAAAATATATATTAAAAATTTTAAAATAAAATTAAAATGTAAAATCATTTAAAAAAAAATAGTTCACTATTTTTATTTTTGACACTACTTTAATTTTCAAAATTATTATATTTAAATAAATGAGTGAGTTTTAAACATAATACAACAACTTGGAAAGGGAAAAAGAAAAAAAAAAAAAAGTTTGAATGAGTGTTATGAATAAAATATTAGAAGTTTAATTAAATTTATCGATGAACGATATAAAAAATGAATAAATGTTTACGTGTAAGATGTTAAAAAATTAATTAGATTAATTTAAATCTATTAAATTTATTTAATACTAATAAATTTATTAAAAAATAAAAGACGACAGTGAGATAGACTAAAATAAAAAAAAAAATATGTCCTAACGGATAGATAGAGTACTTTGTGAGTTTATTTGGTAACAAAGTGTATGTGTATTTATAAGTATAGAAAGTATAATTGTGCATATTAATTGAGGTTTGACGACGCGTGTACATGTATATATTCGGGGAAAATTTTTCTGTTTTGTAATGATATTTATTGTAAATAATTTTCAAATTTAAATTTAAATAGTTCGCCTTTTCGTTTTTACCTGTATGGATTAATATAAATTTACATCGATCCTACTTTAATTTGTAATTTAGTATATGTTAAACGTATATTGAATTTATGCAATGAGTTGGATCGAGGGCATTTAAACATGGGGTGTATTAAACATTAATTTGTATTTTGAAAATAAATAAATTTGAATCAAACTAATTATTCAATATAATATTGTATATATATATATATATATAAAGTTAAACTTTGAAATCATATATTAAAAAAAAAAAAAAAACATATAAAATAAGTTTCTTAGGAAAAAAATAAATAAATACAACTAAAACATAGCCTATTAAAGATGTCAAACATTAAACACTGCCTTGATAAATAAAAGGAAACTAATGAAGGAAAATAAAGGTATGTTAGAGCTTGCATTATTATTATTATTATTATTATTATTATTATTATTATTATTATTTTAAATACTTTCTCCAACTACAAATTAATCTCCTACTTTTTTATTTGGGACGTCAAACAACTATTATCCTATTTTCTTTTTTAAATACAAATTTTACATTTTTATTCTTCATTCATTTATTACTTTTCATCCCTACCATACAATCAAGGGCAAATTTGTTCATTCATAACAAAAAGACAAACACCTAAAAAACGGTGCAAATATACTTTAGGAGAATAGAAATTGAATATATAGTTAAAAAAACAACAATTTAAATACTTATTTTTAATTATTTTAAACTCAAACTCAATATCCAAATCCAGCAAACTTATGTTTGTTTAGAATTTGTATTATTTTAAATAAATACTTATACATGTAATTTTAATAAAACATATTAATTCAACTATAAAAATAATTGCATTAAACTATTACTATTATACAGACTAAGGCAACAGTTATCATGTAGGCTAATCAGCACCATACTGATTAATCGTAATATATTGAATTATATTTTAATTTAACGATAGAAATTAAAAAAAAAAAAAATGAAGGCAAAATGGTAATATAACTTAGCTACTGTAATCTTTCAAGTGACATATATTCCGTGGAATATTTTATATAAAATTTTATATTTTTCACATATTTGCTTTTACTTTTTTTTTTTATTTTTATCTTTTTTCGATTTAATTCTCCAAAATTATTGTAAATAAATGGAGGGAAAAAATGTGTTAATTATTTAATATTTAATTTTACCACTATGTTATAATAATAAGTACATTTTATTTTACGTTTCTATGGTTATTTTATCAATATCTGTCATTGAAATTATGTTAATCACATTGATAACATGTTAATTTTATTTTATCAATTGGAACCATATTTTGTTGAAAGTTTTATGTTACCTATTTTTTGTTCTTAGTTATATATTTTTTATAAAAAAAAGATGAAAAATGAGACACAATCTTCATTATGTAAAAATAAGTTATTTAATTTGGACTGAATATTAATTTGATACCTATTTTTTTCTTTTGTAATAAAAAAATAGCAATAATGATTAAATGTAGTAAAAATAATATATTTTTTGTTAAAAATGTTAAAAATAAAAAAATAAACATATTTTAAATTTTTTATGAGCAAGAAAGTAGTATTATATAAAATAGATATTGTGTAAATATATTAAATTTTAAGGTACTTTTGAATTGTAAATCTTACATGTAATAAAAGAATAATAGTATTAAAAAAGATAGTTTATTAGACCAAATTTATTGAATTTTTGGTAACCCACATCAGTCTTTTCCGCAGTTTTTTTTTTTTTATTAGTGAGAACAAAATTAATTGAAATTGTTTATAATCAAACTAGAATTGATCGAATTTATTTATAATGAGACTAAAATTGATGAATTTTTTATATTGAAATTAAAATTGATAAATTATTGTTATATGGGGATCAAAATTAATTTTTTTCTCAAAATTTTTTAACATATATGCAAAAATTCATTATTTTTAAAGTTTTAAATTAATTTAGTGATAATTACCAAAAATAATAATAATAATAAAATTACAGTCAAACGTTGACCAAACACGTGTGAGATATTGGGAGGGTACAAATATTTCCTATGTGAGATACAAACACCTGAATTAATAATAATTGCAGTAGAATAGTATTGTAGTTTTCCAGGGGTGTTTTCGACAATTCACATATACTTTTTATTACTATTATTATTTTTTTTTTCTAACATTATCAATTCCAATTTTCGACCAGAAAAATTTTCCAATTTAATGTTACAATTTTAAGGTCAATTTGAGATCGTGTAATATATAAAATATTACTTTGTTTTTTAATTAGAAAATGTATTTTGAATAGAATAATCTTAATTATTTGCCAAAACAGATTTACTAAGATTTTCTTATATTAAAAATATAAAAGTTTTAAAATAGTCTAAATTAAAGTAATTATTAAAAATAAATAAAAATCGAAATGTAAGAAGTACGTACACATATTTGTGTATGTATATGAATATTAATTAATTAAAAAGTACTAAATTTCAGTCAGACAGAAAGTGGCAGCAAAGCTGACAGGACAATACATAACATGCAAATTCAATTTTATAAAATTGATCTTTAACAGTATTAAATTAAATTGAATTATTGTAGGGTAGAGTTAAATGGAATTATAATAAAATTTATAATAGTAATTATTATTATTATTATTATTTTTTTATTTTTTAACGAAAGAATAAATAATAATAATAATAAAAGAGCGGTGGTGCACGTGCGCCGGGGATAGATTGTGGAGTATTGACCACAAAGGGCTGAGATTTCCAATGACCCATTTAGAGTGTGTTTGTTTGGAGGATTGGATTTAGATTCAACTATTCATCCAATTTTTTTTTAAAAAAATATTAAATAAAATATCTATTTTTTATTTTTATATTATACTAAAAAATTAATTTTACATTCAAAACATCACATCAATACCTATTTATATCACATAATACAACTATTTAAATTCAAAATTTTTACTATTCAAATCTCAATTCAAAATCCAAACCCCCAAACAAACACACCCTTAATTAAACCAAATTACAATTTTAATGGTTATTAATCATAAAATATATATATATATATGCACACTTATTTATTTTAATTTAATTTTTTTTATTGATATCATTGTACTTGCAATAAAAATAAAATAATAATAATTGAAAATGCGTGGGTTGTTGCGAGTGACCATAATATGCTGCTCGCCATAGTACGTATTTCATATCATATTTATTTCAATAAGTCATTTAATTATTGCACGCTATATATATATATATATATAAGTAAAAAATAATTAAATTAGCATTTTATATGCATCATTGCTGAAATAATTATTATGGAAAAAATCATTTTTGTCTAAATATAATCAAAATCTATCAATTTTAGTTCAAATATACAAATTTTATCAATTTTGGTCTCAATATAACCAAAAATTCATCATTTTTTGTCTAAATATAAAATTTTTATCAATTTTAGTCCCAATATAACCAAAACTTATCATTCTTTATCATAATATAATCAAACATTATATTTTTTGTCCTGATCATTTTTATTACACGAATTCAAGCGTTGTTCCGCGAAGTGAAAACGGGATTCATCATGACAGCGATAAGATCATGCAAGGTGTTCGAAAATCCGGGATGTCGATCCTTGCCAACGCCAGAATCATCGATGCTCGAACGGTCGCGACACATAGACGACGGAATCCGGCCGACCAAAAATGATTGAATTTTTTATATATTGGGACAAAAAAATGATGAGTTATGTTTATATTGAGACAAAAATTATAAGATTTTTATATTTGAACCAATATGGCTGAATTTTAGTTATATTGGGACCAAAAAATAATTTTTTTTCTAATTATTAAGTTGGATAAATTTATTGGTTTTCCAATATATATAAAATTAAATTTGATTTTTGAGTATAAAAAAGAAAGAACAAAAAAGGGGTGTTACAAACATTATTGACAAAATCTAGTGGTTGTCTTATGTGTAAACAGCAAAATGAAAAAGCAAATGAATATTATATAGAGTAGAGTAATAGCTTATGTTCCCCATAGTATTCACAAATAGGCATGGGCCACAATATTTTAATATTAATTATTTAATTAATTATATAATTATTAAAATTGAAGAAAAAAATAAAAAAATAAAAAAGAGTTGAAAAGGCAAGTGAGAAAGGTGCAGTCACTTAATAAAGATGGACACCAAACCAAACGACATTCCTTTCTTATGCTACTAAATATATATATATATATATATATTTATTCTCAATCGTGTAAAGCCATAAACAGGCAAATTCTGAGAAAATAAGTGTGTAAAAAGTTCTCTCTATATATATATATATATTTATTTTTTTTAAAAAAAATAATAATAATGAAAAACTGGATATTAAATACTCCCTCCGTCCCAATACAATAGTATTATTTACCATTTTTATTCGTCACAAAGCAATAGTCTTATTTCTATAAATAACCATATCACCATAAAATTAACCTTACAATTTTTTTATTACACAATTATTACTACTTTTTACACTAAAACATTCACAAGGGCAAAAAAATTTTTTATCTATTTTTTTATCTAACTACCAATATAATATCAATATTTTTAAAATTTATGGACAGAGGAGTATAATTTTTGTTAGAGAAAACAAAGTTCCATTTATACATATTTTTTTTTTTTAAAGTTTGACACTATTGATTAATAATAATTTCTTCAAAAGAAAATTCATATGAATACTATATTCTTATTCTCAAATTTCTTCACATCAAATACCTTTTACTATTCCAAAACTCTAAAATTGAGCCTTAGTATTTGATACTCATTTCGTTCCAAATTAAAGGTGTCTGTAAGAGCTTTTAATATTTTTGCTTATTGATTTTATGTAAAAAGTAATTATATTTATAACGATATATTTGTAATTTAAGTAAAAATTAAAAATATTTCGGTATTAATGTATGATTTTTTTAAAATATATATATTAAAAAATAAATATTTTAAAGTGAGAGAAACAAAAATGATAGAAAAAATATTTTGATATGAAAGGGAGAAAGTATAATTTGAAAAAATGTGTAAAAGGTAAATTATGTATATAAAAAAAAGTTGTAAGTAGAAAAAGGAGGAATTATTAATGTAAGAAAGTGGAGGGTATTAGTATTAGTTGTTGCAATGCAAACTGAGGGGAAGACCATAGTCCAGAATCCATTCTTTCTTGTTCCTCTCTCTCTCTCTCTCTCTCTCTCTCTCTATCTCTTCCTTATTACCAGGAATATTGTTTTTTTCTTTTTTTGTTTATGTTTTTGTGCTTTGTCCTCCACCGCCACCTTCGTCACCAATCAATATAATCGCTAATGTATCTCTATGTAATGTAATTCTTGTCTGGATATTGCATTATGGGCAAAACCAGACACAGTTACAGACAGCCTTGTAATACTAATAACACTTTTGAGATTATTTACCAATAATAATAATTTATTATTTATTATTTATTTATTAATTAATTAATTGATTTATGGGGCTGGGCTGGTCTGGTCTGGTCACCATTGCCAAGAACTTAGTGTTGATTTTGCTGCAGAGATGGCTGGACCCAATGCACTCATCCCCCACTTTTCTTCCTTCCAAGACATATACACATATACATAAACTATAATTAATCAATTCTATTCTTTCTTTAACTAATTAATATTTGTGTCTCTATTACTAATTTTACCTAAATCAATAAATCAATATCTAATTATTATTTTTCGATTCAAATTCTTTATTTTTTATCATTTTTTTTAATAAAATATATATATATTTTTTTTATGTTTACGTCGATCAGTGTTAATAATACTAATGATTACTTCAAATCAAACCATAGACACATACACACAGTCCCAATTGAATTAAGTTAGAACAACAAAGCTACACTACACAACAATCCCCAATTCTCAATTTCTAATCGATCTTAATGCATTCGAACATTCTCAATAATTGAATAAACCTTTCTAACACAAACAAACAAACAAATTTCACGTTAGTACGATATTGTCCGTTTTGAACAAAGCAAGTTGAGAATTCATTCTACCATCGACGTCACCGAAAGTATGCGCTGTAGCGCTGCGCCACTCCGAACATCCCCAACGTCCCTCCGGTGTGCACCATCGCCACATCCGACTCTTTCTCCGCCAGTTGAGCCGCGACATCCCAAGCAGCCAACGTGTATATAGGATCGACAAGAACACCCGTTTCCCGCGCTATTTTTTGGCATTCCGCAACTTCACCTTTCAACACATTACCAAACCTACAACAACGACAACAATCCAATTATCATTTCGACACGACACAATCGATACAAATGTCGCCAATACACATTACTTTCTCGGGACACGGCGCTCGACCCATTGCACAATCCCGGTTTGTCGTTCACTCAAAGTCGGAGATATTCCGAGTAATTCGGATATCAAATTTTGTTCTCTTTCCTTGTACCTTTCGATCGTATCAGCCAGCATTACGGCTGTGATCTTCCACGGCAGCCTGATTCGCAAACACGATCAAGAATTCGAAACGACAAACTAAGACCAAAATATCACGAGAATCGCACCCTAAACATAGAGCTCCAAGAGCCAAACCAACAGCCGTCGTCCCAGTGCCAGCATCGACAATTATATTCAACTTCCGCATAGTTCCAAACACATCTTTCCGCGACAAATATTGTATCAATCGCATCACACCTATTCGAAATCCAAAGGCAATCAATCAAGCATCCGTAAACAACATATTTCAACAACATTTCTAACACAACACAAGCAAATTACCTAGCAGAGCCACAGCATCCCCTGCACCTTCATTCACGACAACAACTTTCTTCACCTCCTCAGAACATTCGCCACGATCTGCTTCTACAATGTTCGATTTTCCAGAATTGCAATTTCTAAACGAAGCCTCCAAAATATCGACAAGCCTTACAACGGATCCTTTATCGCCAGCTACCAACTCGGCATGCCTTGCAAGCATTTCTTCTCTTTCAGCATACACAGATCTTGGAACATAAACGACATTTCCATATAATTTCGAAACAAGATTGTAGCCAGTGAGAGTTTTCGGCTCTTCCCCTCGAAGAAGTAAGTGTGACTTCAATCCCCTCTCGGAACACGACACAGCTGCATTATGTTAGATCTATTCTTGTAACCATAATACACTAAAAAATTAACCGGAAAACAAACACCATTGATCAAAATCCTACCGACAGCAGCAGCGTGCGCGCTTTGGCAGCCACCACATGTAACCTATACATACATAAACAGGACATTATTCATTTTTAAGCAAGTTCGAAGCCGATAATGCCGACAATTTCAGGCGAAACATAGCTCAGAATTCATTTCAAATTTCCTCCACCAACAGGGTTAAACATTCCAATGCCATACTACTGTTAGAACTTAGAAATTCGGATTTGACAATTGATTTCAATATTAATGAGCTAAGTATATAAATCTAGAAAACACAATCAATCTCACCACGTCGGTTACAGCATTATCTTCAAGCAGGGGAAGCAATGCATCTAACTTCCTTGCCTTATTGCCATTCACCAATGGATGCAGCAAGTCGTCCCTCACCACATAGAATGATGGATGCAACTGGTTCTTTTGCATCGAACCGTCGCCTAGGCGTGGTTCATTGATACTGCGAAACGAAGTATCTCCATTAGACTGACTTTCCTTTGTGTTCAAAATCATTATCTGGTTAACCTTCGCATCTGGACAGCTCAAGGTCCACTTTCTGTTCAGTAATTCAGACACAAATTCATGATTTGCTGTATAGTGCTTGAAGAAAACCTGGAAAACAGTAGCCAGAATCATAGATATCACCTCCAGGAAAACAAAACAAAAAAAATTAATGCATTAGACTTGCTAACATTTAAAGCTCTAAGAACTGTGACACCGAAAGGGATTGATTCGATAAACTTAAAGCTCGAACAATTTATTTTCCTTCAAGTTTTCCACACCTCATCTTCTTCCAAAACACACACACAGTTGATTCTTCAAATATCTTGTACCAATGCAAATGCTCGAAGACTTGGATATATTATCCAAATGCGAGTGAATTTCAATTAAGAGAAGCAAAATTACCGAATTCCGAGGAAGTGTTTGAAATCTCATGCTTAGAAAGGTCCTGAGATTGATCAAATAATCGGTCAGAGTTTGCCCTTACGTTCTCCGTAGGTACTATCTTCTTCTTCACTCGCTTCGTTAAATTTCCCTTAAAGCCCTTAACTTTCATCTTCTCAGAAATCCTCACACCCATAAATCACATTTGAATCTTTCTTGAAAAAGACTTTTTTTTACCTTCCTTTTTTTGGTTAATTTTCATTTGGGTGTTTGATGTTTAATATATAAAAAAAATTCTTTCTTTTTTATATTCAACATAAAGTTTCTAGAATTTGTTTCCTTCTCATTTTTACTAAGTTCATCAATATTTCATTTGGTCTTTAGCATATGGCATTTTTCCTCTAATTGTCTTTTTTTGGGTACACAATACTTGATGCAAATGATAAGACAATTTTGGAGTATTAGCTTCTATAAGAAGATAAATGTTGTGATGAAGTTAATGCCCAAACATCCCGTGAATCGTCAGCCTCGGCCGGCTGGTTCGAATGCCGGCCCTTCCACTGCCGCATTGCGCCAAGATTCGACGCACCAAGCCAAGCTCAAGCTCAAACTCGCCGATGGGGTGAGAACACTGTATTTAATTAAACTTACATATACACTTTTCTCACACCAAAAATATTCTACAGTACAAATTTGAGAATGGCAACCAACCTGTGGAAGACTACAACAGCATTTCCAGATGGAATTGGCACCATAATTTGAGGTTTGGATTAATCTTCTTTTTGCCTTGTGTTGAGCTGAGAAAAGCTTAATCTTCGGCAGTAGATGGTGGAGGGCAGTCGCAAGGCTGCCCAAATATGTCGGGAATGCCATCCCAGTCATGTTCGTCTCTTGCTTCCCAGTACCCTCCCATGTACCTGTAACAGCCATTCTCATCCTTCTTGAACCACCTCGGTTGCCACCCTCGATCTTGCATTTTCCTAGCCTGCAAGAAAAATATTGCACCATAGTTAGAATGATGTGCTTTTTAGAGCAGGTGATGTCTTAGAGACCAGAATGTAATATAATAAGTGCACATGTTCGATGGATTCAAGGATGGATGTGAGTAAAGATCAACCTGTCTCTGCAACTGTTCGAGTCTTAGTTTCTCTGCATTTGCGAATTCGTATTCTCCATTCTCCAAATGTCTTTGATCGGGTCTCAGTCTTGAGTCTGTTGGTGGCAGCTTCTCCTTTAACCCTGACGTCAACTCATTTAGAGATATGGCGAATGGCGTGAGGTTGTATCTAGTCTTGGTAACCGATTTATCCCTTTCCCACAGCAATACAGCTTCTGTCATCGGATCATACCCTTTTGGCTTTGTAGTTGGATCTCCCAACACATAATACATTGCTTCGTCCCACTTCCCCAGCAAAATTGCCACTTTCTCTCCGGTTCGATTGTCTTGCACAAATCCATGAACCTATATTTAGACAAAAATAACACCTTATGAAAACAACTTAGCTAGCTACCAATAGGATAAGTGATTTAGCGGACTTCCTGAAGCTTGAAAGAAAGTCGGACATGGAAGAATGATTATTAGTAAATGATGATATATTGCTAGCAATCACTCAAAAAATAGCATGCTTATAAATTTGTCAAAACTTTATATTCTTGGATTTTCATTTTTCCATGCTAAATATGAACTTAATGATAAGAGGATTAGACAATCTACCTGATGCGGATTCCGGTCAATGATAGATTGCTCCTTGAACTTGAGCTTGCAAGAGTAATTACCACTGCCTTTGATTCGCATGGTGCCGTAATGATCACAATAGATTTTGCCAATTATAATATTATATATAGAAGTAGTCACCTTGCTCCACTCAAAGGTCTCACCGTCTTCGAACTGAAGGGTAAGAATTCCCACAGGATCAAGCTGAATAGAACGACCCCAAAATTTGCCTTTGAGATTAGAGTCTGCCCAAAATTTCCAACCTTTACCCTCACAATGACAGGCAACAATCATAGGATGATGACTGACCTGAATGACAAGAAAACAATGGACTAAGCACGGAAAAAATTTACATTTACGACTAACATCAAGCAGACAACCTTACTATCAACATCATGTACGCAACAAAAGGCTATTTATTTTTAGATTTGCTTTCGTGTTTATGTTTTGATTTTGGGGTAAAATAGTTGCATGTGATGTATTGTATGGAAGAATAGTGTGTTTTTGTGAGCTTGCATGGTAAACAAACTAGGAGAGAGAGAGAGAGAGAGAAAGCACCCAAAATTCTTTATCGAGTAATAATACTACACATGAAATCATTATGTAAATAACTGATTTGAAACTGAAAAATGCAACCTTTTCAGAGAAAAAACGTAAGCCCTTATCTGGATAGTCAGCCTCATAGGTTTCCCCAAGAAGTGGATTGAAGGGTTTGCATTGCCGTCCTTCTGTTGAAGAGTAACCAGACACGGCAAAGGCTGCTACATTTAAGATTCTCATCAAATCATTTCCCTGCAGAAGCAAAAATAAATGTGGTAAGTATAATGAAATTGGTTTACAAACAAAAATTCAAATTTTCATCATGTAAATCACCGGTCAATAAATCCCTACAGATTCATGGTAGGAACCAAGTCACAAGTGATTGCTAATCAATAACTGTAAACAAAGTGGAAAAGGTAGCAGGATTGAAAGATGATGTATTCATGAAACTCTTAACCAGGCTACAAGCATTAAACTAAAATAGAACTATCAGTGCAAATTTGCATGAAGGACTAAAAGGTTTAGACTATCCGCAAACTTCAAGTTAGACCTTAGGATGACTTATGTGTAACAGTTATCTGATAAGTTTTGTAGTTTCTCTAAGTTTGAGTGTTCAAGGGACTAAAACATCCCACACTACATGATGCAGGTAATGAACATTCATTCCATCATATATCCCGTCATCTAAGACAGACATGTCTGGAGGCTGAGATGGTGGCAAATGACCAAATCAGTTTACTAATATGAAGCTTCTTGCAAGAAAACTGCTTGAGAGAAGAATACTTCACAAGATTTTGTAAAGTTATATCTTATGCTGTATTGAGCTGTTGTAACTACTGCGTTATAATGTACCTCAATTCCCAACACTGGACTTACCAATTAAAGGATAGCATGACAAATATCATGGTATAAAAATATAATTCGCATCTGAGGGTATTATCACAGCCCATCAATCTAGTTAAACACAATTACCTACATCTCATGTTAATGCTGATGCAAACTGAACTAATAACACAGACAATAAGAGCTAATGATTGAGTTTTTAATATCTGAATGTGTAAGTTCAAGAGAGCAAGAACTATCTTCAAAGTAGTCTATATATTGGAATTATTTTTTCGGACCCGCATTTGTACCTCTAAACAAATATTGCAGCAAACAAGGACCCAAATAAACCTTCCATCCGTTTAGAAAAATAGCAAGGATAGCAACCTGACCTGTTTTCCCCATTCAAGTGCTTGGTCAACAAGATGCGAGTACTCCAAGTCTTCAAAACATTTCTGCAATGAGGACAGAGGCTCGTTAAAGTATACAGGAAGGCAAACCCCAGACAAATCCTTGCCAATATTGTCCTTGATTATTGACCACAGCCCAACCGGCTTCTCTTTCTCCTTTGGGTCTGGTAAATTATCCCTTCTTTTGATAGATGGAAATTTGATTGTCTTTATTTCCATCCCAGCTTCCCTGAAATCTCCCGAGACAGAAAAATCTTTATTTCCATATATTGGATTATCTCTACTTCGATAAGAAGCACTTCTTAAAGATTCAGCAGACAAAAAGTCATTGGTGTCAAAAAAAGTTCCATCATCATCATCTGTTTCAACATCTACACCATATCGGCTTTCATTATCAGCATCTGAATCACTTGCACTGCCCTCAGACATTACTGAATAGAAATCTGCAAGAGTTTCAAATGAAAAAGAGAAGGTAATCATGTGATTGCAAATAACATAATTTGGATATTTTAAGATTCATGCTTTGGTATCATTGTCTAAGTAAGCATGAGGTTATAAACTTGAACAACAAACCACTGAATCTTCTATTTCCTTGTCCACAGCAAGAATCACGTGCCTTAGTTTCATCCACTACTGTCGTTTCCAATTCTATCTTCTCCGTCTAGAAAACAAAACAAGTGGGGTTAAAGTCCTTAGGAGTTCGTGTTATGAGACCAACACCCATTTTAACAAAAGGTAAGCTCATGTAGGATTTTAACATTCATATACATATATTTTTGTTAAATCAGTGTATGATATTTAAAAAACAGATTAGTGTGAACCTCCAGCCTTCTTAAAGTGTCAAGCAGCAAGATGTGTTTGAGTTGAAGATTCTTCATCTGATTCTGCATCTGAGAAAGTTCAGCTAGCATTATTGACTCACAATCTTTAACAAGTGTCTCATTGACACCCTCTTGTGTCAACCGTGATCGTAGCTTCTCTGTTGACACAACAAATTCTTCGGAAGTTGCCAAATCATTGCTTGTCAATAATCTTGGGAATTTGTCTTTGGCAACTAGGAGAGCCTCAATCCATGAAGCCCTGTCCTCTCGAGATTGACAACGCAGGTGTAGTGTTTTGGTTCCAGTGAATATGGAAAGTCTTTTGTCATCTGACTTGCTTGCACGAACTGATGAAACCTGTCCATCATTTAGCTTGTTGTTCAATGGCTAATCATACAAAACAAAATCCAAAGATAGCCAGAATCCTCGTTGAACAAAAGCTACCAGTCGTAGATGACAAGTATCCATTGACAAGAAGTTCATAACATGATACATATACCGAGCCATTTTACAGAAAATAATTCAACCAAATGCAATTGAAAGTAATAAATACTTGCTCAGGAGAACCCACTATTGTTCCATACACAGGATCAAAGTTACCTATTCCAAAACCTCAGTATTAATACATATATAGGACGAGTATTGCTGTGTCGTATTGTTTATACTTAGAAAGCAATATGCAAAAACATGAAAATTTGTCCCACGACATTAGTCCACTAACTTCTTAGAATGACGAGCAAAATTAACAAAATTGAACTAGATTCTTCCTAACAGTTTCTGTTGTTAAAATGCTTAACGATTACATTCTATCCAATGATGTCTCTATCTATTCAACGATTTTCAACATATCCTTAACAGCCCTATGATCTGACACACGAAACTGCACAATAAAAACAAGCAGGCTTAGAAAATGAACAAAAGCAGTGCGTCATACACAAAACATTTCGGCGATGTTAACTTCTTGGAAGACACACATGCGGATGGGTCAAAACAGAAAAACCATAACTGAGCATACACACAACATTTAACCAGTATATTCGTGTAATCTGCACATTTTATATATACAAACAAAACAGAAGTCAACTTACCTTCAAATGTATCTCCCCAAACGGTTTCCACTGCTTCCCTGAACTGAACACACTCGCCCTAAGCCCGTTTCCATTTCCGCTTCCACTCCCATTCCCACTGCCACCTTTTCTCATATAACGCCAACTCTCCTCACCAATAATTCTAACCCCCTTTTCCCTGCTCGAACTCACTACGATCTTATCCGGCCCGTGTACCTTATAATACGACAGCACCCCATCTTCCAGCATGAACCATCTCTCCCTCCAACCCTTGCCGTAATTCACCCATTTATACAGAATCCCAACTACACTCTTAATTTCATCATTATTATCCTCGCATTTATCAGCCAATGAATCCACTGCACCTCCCCCGCCGCCATTGGTCGACAAGCTCCTCCTCGAGTTAAAACTCACAGGTCTCAAAATCACATTGCTACAGTTATAAGACTCTGCACTCTCATCGCCGCAGCTCCTATCGAATACCAGCTCCTGACTTAGGGTTTGTGACTTCACCACAGCTCGATCCTTCTCAACCGACACCGGAGCAATGCAGCACAGCGGATTCATCTCCCTGTTCCAACCAGCAATACGCAGAACCCGATCCGATCACCGCCTCGGATCCTCAACACCGCCGCAGCTGCACACCCGATCGTAGATCGATTGAGCCACAATAGCTCAAATACACCACCATATGCCGACCACCCCCAGGAAAGGAAAAGCGCAATACCACAAATCGAACAGTCACGGATCTGCAAATCGGTAGAGTGCAAGCATAATAGGTCGTAACGCGGCAGCAGTGCAGAGGAGTGTGGCGAGTATCGCTGCAGATCCAATTAATGCGAGTACTGTCAGAGTGCGTAGGTTAAGCAACAGCGCCGATTTAAATGCATGGAAGGAGAGCTTCGGGGGTTCAGTTAGGCGTAATCATTGCGGGGGACAGCTAACGTGCGCGGTGGTGGCAGTGCGCCTCTGCGGCTCCCCTCTTTCTCTCTCTGTCCTCCTCTCTCTCTCTACTGTGCAAAACTGTGTGGGGGAACGCCAGAGCAGAACAGAAGCCAGCCAGGGGCGCTCCGGTAAATATGGGAAAATGGTCTGACAGGTCAAATGACAGAAATGGGTCTGTAGGCTTCGTTTACGTGAAAATTGACTAGCTTGTTGACCAGGGGTATTCTCGAGAATTACGAATAAAGCTTCTGGTCTCTCCATCTTCGGTACTTCACCTTATTCTTTTGTTATTTCCAAATCAACGTATGCACTGCCGACCTCTACTTTAAAAATTAAAAAAAATATATATATATATTATATATATTATAATACCGTAATATTATTATAAATCAACAACCTCGTTATTGTTCCTTCGTCTTATTTAATTTATTTATTTTTTTTAGTTTTATATATTTTTTTAATATCATTATATTTTTAAATTTATACTTTTTATTTAATTATATTAATTTCAATTTATAATTACTTTTATTAAATTATAAAAATTATTTTTATTAATATATTTTTAAATTATTTTTAAATTATTTTATACTTAAAATTAAAACTGTTTACCTAATTTAACCTGGATAATACTCTTTCGTGCTAATATAAAATTATCCTTATTTTTTTATTTTTATTACGCAGTTGCTACTATTTTTTAACTAATATATTCATAAGAGAAAAAAAAATATTTTATTCGTATTTTTTACTCACTATCAATATAATATTAATATTTCTTAAATTCCGTGCACAATCCAATTAAAATTATATTTATGGGTCGGAGGGAATATTAAATATAAATTACAATCAATTTTGTTTTGTTGTCAAAAATAATTTTTTTAACTATAATTTAAATTTAAATATATTATTATAAAAAAATATAATCATTTTATTTCAAACCGCAACAAATTCCGTACTTTTATCTTTTATATTCAGTTTTTATTTTTTATTTTATTAATTTACTTTTATTTAATAATTCAAATTCAATCCAAAATTCTCAAACAGTAACAATCTTCTTCCAAATCATACAGTTCTTTATTGCCATAAATGTTAAGGGTATGCTTCTTTTGTAAATTTGAGAAAATTTTAATTTAAGTTTAATATTAAAATAAAGTATAATAAAATATTTTGTGAAAAAAAATATTTCTTTTACCATCAAAATCCAAATAGTAAAACTTAGGGTTTGATGAATAAAGAAAAAAAATCCTTATATTTTGCTAATATATTATCATAATAATAATATGATTATATTGGAAATTAAACTTACTTTGAAATTTATGGTGTGTTTGTTTGGGGGTTTGGATTTTGAGTTGGGATTTTGAATAGTAAAAATTTTGAATTTGAATAGTTGTATGATGTGATATAAATATGTGTTGATGTGATGTTTTGAATGTAAAATTGATTTTTAGTATAATATAAAAAATAAAAAATAAGTTTTTGATTTGATATTTTTTGGGGAAAAAATGGAATGAATACTGTAAATCCAATCCAATCCCCCAAACAAATACACAAACAATACTTATTAAAATTCAAATAAATAAAAAATCTATTGTAAAATATATTGAAAATTAAGATAATAACATACTATAAATAAATTATAATTATTGTTTAATATCACTAATAATTATCTTATTGTTTTTATTTATATATTATTATAATAATATTTTATTTTTTAAGAAAATATACTATTTTTTTTTGTTCTGTCTTGATATTTTTTCGGTTAAATATAAAAAGTATAGCATTCAAATAAAAATAATTTAATTTTAATTTATTTTCTATGAACAAATGTAGATATAATAGTATATTTATTTATTTTAAAAATATTTTAAAATCTCATAGTTGTCGTTTAATACTATTATAAAAAGTAAAATAAATAAACAATATATTGATTCAGACTATATATTTTTTATGTTTATATTTGAAGTTATACTATTCAGAAATTAAATTGATATATATCAAAATACTAATCAAATATTCAAATAACAAAATAAATTGTTAAATTGATATATAACCAAATTGTTTTGGATAATTGGTTTATTTCATAATGCGTTTGTTTGGTGGATATACGTGGATTTCTACTGTTCATTAGGTCATCTTCAACTCTCCACTTCATTTTTGTAGTTGCTAGTAATTTTACTCTAATCATAAACTCTAATTTTTACTCTACAACGTATATTTCCTATATATTCCTCTTTTATATTATTTTATATAACTTTTATATTTATAAATTACACCCCAACTTTAATTTATTTTTATATTAGATCCATATACATATAATTTATATTGGAGATGACCTTATAATTTTTTTCCCCAAAAATTATTAAATCAAATAACTATTTTTCATTTTTTATATTATACTAAAAATTAATTTTATATTCAAAACATTAAATCAACGTCTATTTATATCACATTATACAACTATTCAAAATTCAAAATTTTTATTATTCAAATTCCAACTTAAAATTCAAACCTCCAAACAAACACATAATAAATGCGAAAGGCATGAAAATATAAGTTTAAATTTACAAAAATAAATTTTAATATCCTACGTTTATATGTTGGATTGAAATTATTTAAACATATTAGTTTAATAAATTTCACTTATTAAATTAATTTTATAGTAAGACTTGATAATTTTCGGTCTACCACATTCTTCTCTAGTTACTTGATATAAAACTCTCAATTTATATAACAAAACAGTGAATAGTGATATGTACAATAATATAGGTGAAGGGTAAGAATAGTTAAAAGCTAAATGAAAAATCAGACATATGATGTCATATATATACAAAGAAGATTAGGTTTGCATAGTGTGACTTGTTTTATAGGATCTAATTTACACGGTATTAAATTCGATCGGGGGTTTACCTAGTGCACACTTTCACATAACAGTTGCATATTCCCACATTATAAAAATAAAAAAAAAAAAAAAAAATCAACAACATCAAAAGGTTTCTGGTCCATCTACATCGTCATTCATTATGTGTATATAGATCACACACGTGTTTATGTATAAAATGACTTTATGCACACATAAGTACGTGCTTTAAATATACATATGTATATACTTAATAGGTGATTATAAAGATAAAGTTAGGGCGGGGGTTTGGATGCGGATGTGATCTCAAAGTGGATCAGATTAGTAGCATAAAAAAGCTATCAGCCATCATTATCCATTTGGTGTATACAAACATACATCTGTATGTATATAGTAACTTTATACATACATATACACGTACTTTATACATATATATAGTTATGTATGCACCAAATAAATAATGATGAAGTTAGGGCTAGGGTGGGGGTAGCAGGGCTTATATGAATTGAGATTATATAAAATGACTTTTGATGATGATGGAAATGAGACTAGAAGAAGCCTTTTGATATTGTTGATCTAATTCCAATGTATACATATACAAATATGTATGACTTTATACGTATGCATGTAGAATTTTAATATATATGTGTCTATGTTTGTGTATACACCTAATAAGTGATGAAGTAAATGAGACTAGGGTGGGATGAGATTGCTAATCTAATCCCAAATCCGGATCAGATCAACATCATAAAAAAACTCTCAGTCTATCTACATCATCACCCAGTAGGTCTATACATATATATGTACTTTATATATACATACATGTGTGTATATACTCAATAGATGATGATGTATATAGAGCTCTGGTAGAGGTGGAGTTGTTGATATGATCTCAAAGCGTGATCAAAACATCAACATTAAAAGGCTCTCAACTCCATATGTATCATCACATATACATAAATAGATAATGATGCAGATGAGGCTCTCAGTTCTATTTGCATTATTATCCATTAGATATATATATATATTATATATATACACACACACGTATGAATGTATACATGCAATAAGTGATGATGCTGATGGGTTGGGTATGGTAGGGATGCTGATTTGATCCAAAAGTGGGATCGGATCAGCAACGTCAAAAGGCACCCGACCCCATATGCATTATCACCTATTGAAAGTATACATACACGTGATGTATACTCTCAATAGATGATAATGCAGATGAGGTCGTGTAGGGCCGTTGATCTAATTCCAAAGATGGATTATATCAACAACATCAAAAGGTTTTCGGCCCCATCCACATCATCATTCATTGGATGTATACATACATACGTATTTATGTATAATACACTCAATGAGTAATGATGTAGATGAGCAATGGTGGCGATTGGGCTGCTGATCTGATTTCACAATGAGATCATATCAATAACATTAAAAGACACCCAGTCACATCTACATCATCATCAATTAGAATATACAAATATATTGTATATGTATAAATGACTTTATACGTACATGTATATAGTTACTTTATGTGTATATATATAAAGTAATTTTATACATGTATACATATGTATGTATGTATATACTTGATAGGTGATGATGCAGATGAGGGTGGAGTAGACCGGTAGCAATGCAGCTACTTATCTTATCCAAAAGTGGGAAAGGCTCTTAATTCCATCTGCATTATCACCCGTATATACCAAATAGGTAATAGGTGATGATGCAGATGGGGCTAAAGTCAAAATGGTGCTGCTAATTTGATTCTAAATATCTATGTGATGATGCAGATAAAGTGAGGATATAACTAACTGATGATATGATCCCAGAGCAGGATCACATCAGCAGAATCAAAAGATTTCCAGCGGCATTTGCATAATAATTTATGGAGTGTAACATACAAATATTTGTTTATTTATATTTATTATTTTACATACTCCATTGTTATTTTCAATTATTTTACTTACATTTAATTATATTAAAATATTATTCTCTATGTTTCGCCCGTATTTTATTTTATTTTATTTTAAAATTATTTTAACTTCAATTTATAAGTATTTTTACTAATATTATTTATTAATTACATTTTTTTAAAATTCTTGTATTTTACCATAAATTTATATTTATATTTTTAATAAATTTATTTATCTTAAACATACTTAAATCAATTTAATAAAATTTCTAATTTTTTTAACCCATTCAAAATATTTTATTTCTATAGCTCTAATTAATAAATAAATATTTTTATCTTATTTAGAACTTATCATTTTTTTTATAAAATTAATTATAAAAATAAATATATTGATTTATTTAATTGTATTATATAAAATTTTATTATCTATAAAATAATATCGATATAATATATATATTATTGAGACATAATATTAAAATTTTCAAAATATTAACAATACTATTCATATAAAAAAATACTTCATTCATTTCGATGCTATGGTGTCCGTTTTACTGACGAGTATAATTAATAAATAATTAAAAATATATTAAATAAATATAATTATCATATAATAAAAATAATTATAAATTAAAATTAAGATAATTAATAATCTAATTAAAATTTAAAAATTAAAATAAGATTAAAATATATAATTTTTTTATAAAAAATAACAAACTAAATGGGACAAAAAAATAAAAAATTGGACAAAATATATTGACAAATTTATAATTTAAATAAAAGTTAATCATATTTTAGTATAAATGTATAATTACATATAATTTAAAATGAAATCGACGAAAACTGTGTAAAAATAGTAGCAAATTTGAATTAGGACAACTTAAATATTTGTTTGTTCAAAAAATATTTTTTCCTAATTCGCCACACTTTCATAAAAAAGAAAAGGTAAAATTGGTTATAACTTTGTATGTGGTTTCAAAATTAAGCATAAAATCTCTCTATACTTTAAAAATTAAATGGTACCTCTTTATACTTTAAAAAACTTGCATAAAACCCCACCACCTCGTGTGATAAGAAGATAATTTTCTATCTATATGTTTATGCAATATTTTTTAAAGTATAAGTGAGCGTCATGCAATTTTTTAAAGTAAAATGGGGATTTATGTTAAATTTCGAAGCCACGGAGATGTTTCATGCGACATTTTTTAAAGTATTAAGGGACATCACGCAATTTTTAAAGTAGAGAAAGAATTTAACCTGAGTTTCGAAATCACATGGAGTTATGAGCAATTTTGGCAAAAGAAAATAATAATGAAAACTCTTAGACAAACGAATTTTTTGTATTGTATTTTTATTGTATTGTATTTTGATAAACATGTCTTAACCTTTTTACTATACAATAAAAGAAAAAATTTTAACACATTGGAATGCACACGGTTTTTGTGTGCGAAAATTTCCCCAGTTTTGGTTAAACAATGGAGTATGACTAATTTTTATTTTTATTTATTTTTATCTGTATTGTTCTACCGAAAGTACGAAATCACTGAGGAGAAGCGAAGGATAAGAAGCAAGAAAGCGATAAAAATATACATTACAGGGCAATTAAATTAACTGAAGATCAAGTGATTGCAGGGCGGGCATCAATGGAGAAATTCAGCTACTCTACCTGTTGACCTCAGCCACCGGAAAACCTGCCGGGCAGCAGTGCCGACTCCAGGCATGATCTTTGGTATACTGTCGCTTTTGATGGAGTGATCTGATTTTTCTAGGGAGGGGAAATTGATTCTGTGATCCGATTGAGTTAATCTGCGTGATTGGGTGTTTGCTTCTTTGATTTTTTTTATTTTTTTATTTATTTTTAATTTAGATTTAGGGTGCCTTTGTTGTTTGATCGTCGTCCTTTTAGCTGTAAACTTCGTTGATTTAAAGTGCTGCTCTGCTTCTGGGTTAATTCGTTATTCTGTTATGGAATTATGATGTGGCCTGTGAGTTTCGGGAGGTTGTTCCTTTATGGTAATTTATGTGTCTGAGGTTTATCACAATTCAATATCTGGTTGCAACTTAATTTTGTTTTGGATTTAATGTTGGTGTTGTGGGAATGTTCATTAAATCAATTGGATCTGCCTGTAGGAGGTGTGTTTTCTGTTGTTATCTTAGTCTGATTTGAGTTTTGTGGAGAATGTGTGGATGATCTTTTTGTCTGTGTTGTTTCTGCAAAAGAATTCTGGTAATGATTTCTTGAATTTTTCTGAAAATTAGGTTGAGGTTTTTGTAAGTGGTAATTATAGCTACTTGATGGATCCGGTGACTGATGAGCAATTAGATTATGGAGATGGAGAGTATGGAGGGAATCCAAAGGTGCAATATCAACAGAGTGGAGCTATACCGGCACTTGCTGAGGAGGATATGATTGGTGAGGAGGATGAATATGATGACCTCTACAATGATGTTAATGTTGGAGAGGGGTTTCTGCAGATTCAGCATTCGGAGGCGCAGATAACGTCTGGTGTGGAAAACAGGGGATTTCAAACCGCAATAGCTAATGTTCCCGAAACAAGAAAGGAAGAAGTAGCCACAAAGGAGACAAATAATGCCAGAGTTGCCATTGAAGGGAGATATGCTCCTGCTCCCACTAACATCCAATTTTCCGAGGAGAAAACTGGGGCTGGCGGGCCTCCACAAACTGTGGATGCTGCTCAAAGAAGAGAGCTACCTGAGAATGTACATGGTTCTCATCCAGGGAATCTGGGATATCAAGGATCCATAACTATGCCACCAAAGACAGTTGTTGATCGAATGAATAGTTCAGAACAAGTAGCTGGAGAGCCTGCATCTGCGGTGAATCTTAACATGATCAGACCTAAGGTTGTTGCACAGATGCCGCCCAATCAGATGAATGCAAGTGCAAATGTCGGTATAAACCGTTCAACAGATAATGAGCATATGGCACGTCCTTCTGTAGAAAATGGAAATACCATGCTCTTTGTCGGAGAGTTACACTGGTGGACAACGGATGTTGAGCTTGAGAGCGTGCTTTTTCAGTATGGGAAAGTTAAGGAGATTAAGTTTTTCGATGAAAGGGCTAGTGGTAAGTCAAAAGGCTATTGCCAAGTTGAATTTTATGATCCCGCTGCTGCTTATGCATGCAAAGAAGGCATGAATGGTCACATTTTCAATGGTAGAGCTTGTGTGGTGGCATTTGCCACTCCTCAGACTATAAAGCAAATTGGTTCCACTTACACAAACAAGAACCAACCGCAGGGTCAGTCTCAGATGCAAGGAAGGAATTCTATGAATGATGGAGCAGGAAGAGGCAACGGAACAAATTTTCCGAGTGGAGATACAGGGAGGAATTTTGGGCGAGGAGGCTGGGGACGAGGGAACCAAGGTCCCAACAAGGGTCCAGGGGGTGGACCGATGAGAGGAAGAGGGGCTATGGGAAACAAAAACATGGTTGGGAATGCACCTGGTGCTGCTGGTGCTGTTGGAGGAGCATATGGTCAAGGTGTTGCTGGCCCTGGTTTTGGTGGGCCTCCTGGAATGATTCATCCTCAGGGTATGATGGGACATGGTTTTGATCTAGCATTCATGGGTCGAGGAGCTGGTTACGGAGGCTTTTCAGGACCTGCTTTTCCAGGAATGCTTCCGCCATTTCCAGCTGTTAATTCAATGGGGCTTCCTGGAGTTGCTCCTCATGTTAATCCAGCCTTTTTTGGTCGAGGAATGACTCCTGGAGGAATGAATATGATGGGGAATGCAGGTATGGTCGGACCTCACTCAGGAATGTGGAATGAAACTAACATGGGGGGATGGGGTGGGGAAGAGCATGGCCGAGGGACTGGAGAGTCTAGTTATGGTGGTGAAGATAATGGATCTGAATATGGGTATGGTGGAGAGGCAACTCACGACAAAGGTGTGAAGTCTAGTGTTGCTTCACGAGAAAAGGAAAGGGACTCTGAGCGGGATTGGTCTAGTAACCCCGACAAGAGGCACCGTGAGGGGCGAGAACATGATGGTAGGGACCCTAGATATAGAGATGACAAGGATCGTTATCGGGATTATCGCCCCAAAGATCGTGATGCAGGTCATGATGATGACTGGGATAGAGGTCAATCTTCAAGATCCCGCAACAGATCAGGTGCAGTGCCAGAAAATGATCACAAGTCTCGGTCTAGAGATGTTGATTATGGGAAGCGGAGACGGATGCCATCTGAGTAAATGTAATCAGGAACAGGTCTTGCAGTAGCTGAAGCCTGCCTCTAAAATTCGAAGCATGATATTATGGATAATATGAAGTATTGCAACCACTTTCTTGTTTGTGTCGGCACCGCATTCTGTGTGGACTCTGACATCGGAGAAGTAAGTGCCTTATTCACTAGGAGTTGGTGGGAAGAACAGATTTTCTTTGCTTTCAAGTTGACATAATCAAACTAAATTTGATGCCGTGCTATATATATCTACTTGTGCTATTAAGTTCAGTACTTCGTTTAGTATAATATTATACAACTGTCTTTACAGGCTGCTATCTAACTTTTTTTTTTATCACTGGAGGCGCATTTGTCATCTGGTGTTGTGTCTGTCCCTTGATAGATTTTCAAATCACTTCATGATTCTTCTTGTTTCATACCAATTTCCTGTAAATAGTTGCAAGTTTGTGATATTGGCGATTGATAAGGAATGGCAAATGTTGGTAAATGAATTAGTTCATGTTTTTTGCTTCTTCCTGTCATTGCATTGCATCTTTTTTGACAATTATCTTGTGATTGACTTGCTTTATCTCACAGAGATATAGTATATGTTTTGGAAGTATTTCGTAGTTTTTGTTTGGTTCGAGAATAATAGAAAGTAAGTGTTTGGTGTGATATAAATAGGTGTTGGATATGAAGTTTTAAAGGAAAAATAGGTTTTGATGTAATATCATAAATGAAAGTAAGTTCTGAATATGAAGTATTTCTTGTGAGAGAAATTTGATGAATAGTACGAAAATAAAGTTGAAAACATAAGCTAGCAGACGCTAAGCTTTTGCTTTTTCTCAGTTGTTATACTTTCTCATGGCCTTCTTATGGTATTGTTGCCTTAAACATTGTGACATCTGACGGAGTTTGTTAGTACCGTATGAATTATCTTGTAAGAAGAGATCAAAAGGTTATACATTTGTTACTGTAAAAATTCTGTCCTTGGTTTCCTGTCCTGCCCATTTCTTTTACGACATTTATACTTGCTATACTTTCAATTTAGCTTCTTAGTTGTACGTGATATTGACATCGAGATTTTCTTTAACTATCATACTCAGGAGCAGAGAACCATTAAATGGTGCGCTCTTGGATATCTCTGTCATGCTTAATACTATGTGACTCCAAAGAAGCCTTAATTCTATATACGATTGTTTTGCGTAGCAAAGAAGCCTTACCAATTCTTGAGGAATGTTTTCCAATTCGGAAAGAGTGATAGTTTAGTTGTTTCAAATATGCTATGTATAGTAGGTTTTATACGTGTAATCATTGCATTTGATGTGTGACTAAATCTCTTAGCTTGTAAAAGTTACATACATATCCTCCGTGACCCTGTATTTTGTTCTTGTATAGCCGAGCTGTAATTTGGGTTGAAGCATATTTATGGTGTGTTACATGTTGTACATATCCTAGTGTCGCTGTAATCCCTGTAAGGTTAAATAGGTACGAGATATCATATGTTGTCTGAATACAAGCATCGTCTCGACTTTATCCATGTTTATAATGTTGAGCTACCACTAATAAGGTCAGATGCTCGAAGAATAGCTTGGTCTTACATTCTTTTCGAATACTTTCTTTTATTTTTTTTGCATTTGCTCTCTTTTATCCCCGGGATGATTTTAAATGCTTCCCTTTTGCTCTGTATGCGTAGTTGCTCGATTTGGGAATTCACACAGCCGTTATTTTCTCATATTGTCTTGTAATTGTCTGTTCCCAAGTAGGTTTATTTTTTTCTGGTGAAATTGATTCGATTTTGCTGCAGATGATTAGTATGTCTTCATACATTTCTTGATTCAATTTTGCTGCAGCCGACCGGTATATCTTTCATACATTTTCTCCGGATGTTTTGTCGATGTTATTTCGACCATTTTGCTTCCTGTTGATGCTTGTTGACATTCTTTGTTAATCTTCTTAGAAGTTTTACTGGATGCAGATGTTCTTTGCCATTTGAATCTATTGTGAGTTTGTGACTACAACTGAGCTTCAAATTCTTGAGTAACTTCTGAAATTTTGAGGCAAGAAGTTTTACACCTTTAGGTTGTTGATATTTGCTTGTTCCAACTTTATAAAAGTTCAATAATCTTGAACTCTAATATACCATAAATAAGGATGTTTATATAATTTTTGATTTTTTTTTTAGACAGCAAAATTTCTACTTTAGGTTGATATTGCTTGTTCAAACTTAATAAAAGTTCAATAAATCATTAAATCTTGAACTCTAGTATACCATAAATAAGGATATGTTTATATACTCGAGAGTGCAAACCGGGTAAACATACCTTGCAAATACGATCATAAGTTTACTCTCCAAACTATCGTGCCATGTCTCACGGGACATTTTTGCAACTTTTGATATAATATTATTTATGACTGTATTTTTTTAAAAAAAAATAAAAATAAATAAATAGTTTTTATTTCACAAAAAGATCATATATACTATTTAATTTTTATTTATTTTTTAAATTTTTAAAACTTCTATGTAAACAAAGTAGAAACTAAATACTTGAAATCAATTATACTATAGTAGCATTTCCAATATTTTTTTTTGAAACTTTAGAGTAATCAAAGAAATTTGCTTATTATACGACAAAAAATAAATTTTTCATTCAAAATTTTATATTAATTTTTATTTTAAATCAAAATTATACTATTTTAAATCTTGAATTCAAATATAAAACCTTAAATAACAATGTTTACCTAATAGTTTTTTTATAACATTGTTCTAATGAGTATTATAAAAAAATACAATATATATTATATATACCTTATCAATTTAAAAGAATAGCAATATTATTATTTTTAATGTTACGCAATGTTTTATATCTAATATAAAAATACATCTATAAAGAAAATAGAAAGTAAACACTACTTTTATTTTCATCGATATAGTAGCATAAAATATAATCATTAATAAAAATTAGTGGCAGTAAATTGCAACTATTTATAGTATTGCATCTCATATTGGGCCCGGCTCACAGCCCAATATCATATGGCCCAATAAATACATTGGGCCAGGACCCAGTAATCTTAAACACCATAAATGTTTGGCGACACCAGCTCAAACCGCAGGATACCGTATATAAGAGAACCGGAGGAGCTACGGGCGTGAGGGTTTTAGTGAGCTCCATTTCGAGTTGCAGAAACTTCTGCTGTATTCGACTCTCTGCCTTTTCTCTTTCGATTCAGATCCGGCGGAAGATCGGAGAGTCAGTGGCCAGATGGCGTTGGCTTTCGATGAATATGGTAGGCCTTTCATCATACTGAGAGAGCAGGAGCAGAAGACTAGATTGCGTGGCCTCGATGCACAGAAGGCCAACATCGCCGCAGGGAAAGCTGTGGCTCGGATCTTGCGGACTTCGCTCGGGCCTAAAGGCATGGACAAGATGCTCCAGAGCCCAGACGGTGAAGTCACCATCAGTAAGTTGTGTGCACTTTCTTCGATTTTTTTTTTGCGTTAAAAGAATTTTTTGTTTGAATTTTTGAGGTATGATTATGAGTTGATGAAGTGTTTTAGGTGTTGAGTTGAATGATTTGGTTATCGTTGCTTTTGATATCCGGCATTGTTGAGTTGATTGACATAGGGTTTTTTTTTACTATTTGTGCTTCTCGTATTGTTCGGTTCATTTTGTTGAAGCATAGAATTTATAGCTTGATTTAGGATTTGGTTGCCAGTGCATATATATTATGCAGATGAATCTAAGAGAAGTTCGAAGATAGCCTTTTTATAATGGAAGAGTTAATTTTATTTTCTATTAAAATGCATGCATTGAAGGTATATAAGTGTTGCAATGCGTGGACATTCTTTTTGAACTAAAGTCTGTTAGATAATTACTGAGGATTTCATTTTATAATGTTTCCAGCAAACGATGGTGCAACAATCTTGGAGCAGATGGATGTTGACAATCAAATTGCTAAACTAATGGTTGAACTATCACGGAGTCAAGATTATGAAATTGGTGATGGAACAACCGGCGTTGTTGTTATGGCTGGTGCTCTTCTAGAACAGGCAGAAAAGCTGTTAGATCGTGGGATTCACCCTATTCGAATTGCTGAAGGATATGAGCTGGCTTCCAGGATAGCCTTTGAGCATTTGGAGCAAATTGCACATAAATTTGAGTTCAGCTCTACTAATATTGAACCTCTCATCCAGACATGCATGACAACATTATCTTCAAAGATGTAAGTGATGTTTCGTGCTTATTCTTTTTCTCTACAATCCCGACTTGTATTTATTTTACTTGTGAATCAAAAGTGCTGGCTTTCCTTTCATCATTTTCATTGTCAATGAATTGAGAGGTTATTCTTGTTTGCATATTCTAATTCTCAATGTCATTCTGTTTCACAATTCTTAGTATACAAATTGTGAGTAATGATCGCCTTAAAAGTCATTTCTGTATGTACTTCATAATATACTTTATTTTTGTGTTGTATATGTAAAGTGGAAAATAATAGTTCTTATCTGGTCCTCAGTTCTCCACTTCTCTCTTCTTTAGTCCTTTGATGCTGGACGGGTGAAGTTGTTTGGAGGGTGGGGTGGGTGCTACACAGCATATATTTATTTGTTTCTGGATTTCTGCTGCTAAAAATTCACTTTTGAAGTTTCTTGTGTCAACTGTGTGACTTCATGTGGGTTATGCCCTTTTGCCTTGTACTCATTGATCTTGTCAAATATGGTGTGCAGAGTGAATAGGTGCAAACGCGCTTTGGCTGAGATTGCTGTTAAAGCAGTGCTTGCTGTTGCCGATTTAGAGAGAAAGGATGTCAATCTTGATTTAATCAAAGTAGAGGGAAAAGTAGGTGGAAAGTTGGAGGATACTGAATTGATTCATGGAATTGTTGTTGACAAAGATATGAGTCATCCGCAGATGCCAAAGCAAATCGAGGATGCAAAAATTGCTATTTTGACTTGCCCTTTTGAGCCTCCAAAGCCAAAAACTAAACATAAGGTTGATATTGATACTGTAGAAAAATTCCAAACATTGCGTGAACAAGAGCAGAAGTACTTTGATGACATGGTTCAGAAGTGCAAGGTAATCTGGTTTTATCTTTTTAAATGGGAATGGATTATGGGTTTAAGATTCATGTTCAATTTTTATCATGTGAGAAGAGCATGTAATCAAGCTTTGCTTGGAGCTGCTACTTCTTCCTTATGTATAACCTACTTTGATCACGTTCCTCATCTCATTCTCTATACACTTTGGATTTGGTGGATGAATTGGAAACAAGGTTTGGAGCCTTGAAAAAAACCGCCCCAAATCCATGCTGAAATAAAATGATTCGGCCATCTTTCTTCTAGCTCTTCTTATGCCTTAGGATTCAATTTTTCTATCAATCTGCTCATGAATAAAATCTTTGGAAGGCATAGATCCGGGAGGCTCTCAATGACAGACCCATTGATGCTGCCTTTTTCGTAAATTTTTGAAAATTTAAAAGCCTTGATTTGACCTGTTAATCTTTTGTGACTGCAGGATGTTGGGACTACCTTGGTCATCTGCCAATGGGGTTTTGATGATGAGGCAAACCACTTATTAATGCATAGAAATTTGCCAGCTGTAAGATGGGTTGGTGGTGTGGAGTTAGAGTTGATAGCCATAGCTACAGGTTTGCATTATATTCTTGGCTTTTTTTTATCACAAATCTTTGTTATGAGTTTGTGATGCCATGTTGAATTTGGTCTCAGGCGGGAGAATTGTGCCACGATTTCAAGAGTTGACTCCAGATAAGCTAGGCAGGGTGAGTCTTAAGACTTTTGCCTGTTTATGTGTGTGTGTGTATATATATATATATATATTTGCTTTTCTTTCTCTGATCCGTATTTGCCTATTCAAATATATTATATGATGGTGGTTTTACTCTTGTCAACTCTATGCTAGGCTGGTTTGGTTCGAGAAAAAGCTTTCGGTACCACTAAAGATCGGATGATATATATTGAGCATTGTGCAAATTCAAGGGCTGTAACAATATTTATACGGGGTGGTAGGTTGATTTTTATGCTTTCCTGTTATAATGCATCCAATGATGCCTGAAATTTTAACTATCACTTTTTATGTGTGCCTTTTCTATTTGTCTTTGATGCATAGTGATTGGATAAATGCTGTTTTGAAGCTCATTATCCAGTTCACGATGCACTTCTAAAATTAACATATAGATCATTTGGGTGGTTATTTTCAAGATCGACACCTTGAATTCCTGTTTATCTGTTGGGCAAATGCATTTGATTGTGCTAATGACTTGCTTTTATGTGTGAATATTCTTTATTCAATCTCTGGTTAAATAGAAATATCATATTTTGGGATTTCTGTTGACTATCTGTTCTCATTTCAAAATGTGATACTACCCTGATGATTGTTTAGGCAACAAGATGATTATAGAGGAAACAAAGCGCAGCATTCATGATGCTTTATGCGTCGCCCGCAATCTCATACGCAATAACTCCATTGTCTATGGTGGTGGATCTGCTGAAATTGCTTGCTCTGTTGCTGTTGAAGCTGCTGCTGATAAATACCCAGGAGTTGAGCAGGTAAGAAGATAACTCCTTTACGCCCACGTGTTTTAGTCTTGTCAGGTAAAATGTCGACAATTTTCCCCTGCAGTATGCAATCAGGTCATTCGCAGAGGCATTGGATGCTATTCCCATGGCACTGGCGGAAAACAGTGGCCTCCAGCCTATTGAAACATTATCTGCTGTTAAATCTCAGCAAATTAAGGTACTAATACAACCTGATAAGATAATGGTAGCAGCCTGCTGGAACATTGATTTTAACTTTATAATATTATTCATGACAGGAGAACAACCCCTGCTGTGGAATAGATTGCAATGATGTCGGGACAACCGATATGCGTACACAGGACGTATTCGAGACCTTGATTGGGAAACAGCAGCAGATTCTTCTTGCCACTCAAGTTGTCAAGATGATTCTAAAAATCGATGATGTCATCTCACCATCGGATTATTAATTTTGCGCGGATCTCAAATTTTTGCTGCTTAGAGTAGCATCATTGGATTCAAATCAAGAGATGGAACATATCTTTCCCGGTTGTGGTACGTATTTACGTCGTCTCCGTTCTTCACTATCTACTTATTTAGCCAAGACATGATGAATTAATCGAGTGGTGTCTCTTTTTACCTCTTGATTTGTTTTTTTTCTTTCTTCGTTGTTTAATGTAAAACTTGGTTATAGATTTTTGTTTATGTGGGTCGATGGTAGGGTCGTTGCAACTTGAGATGATTTGAAATGTGTTTTCGAGTAATTTGTGGTATCCATTCTGTTATCATATCTATATGCTGCAAATATATGATTTTATATTTGCACAAATGTAGGAATAATAGAAACTAAAAATATTTGTACACAGATTTCTTCCTCACCTCAGCTACAAAAACAAAACATACCATCATCCAAAACAACCAATTCAATCAATCCAAAGTTCCATTTTTTCAATCATGTAATCTGTAGATCCTTCTCCATTCATTATATGTTCGATGCCCCCATCGAATCGAATCCATCTCCCGACTCTACTCTCTAATTGTCAATCCTGAAACATGAAACAGGAAAAGCCACAGACTGAATTAACTAACAGCAAAACATCATCTGTAAAAATGTTTTGAGATAAAAACTAGAATCGCTTACTGCGATCCATGAATGAACCGACTCTTTGCTGCAATAGTACCTTCTCAATATTTTGGTTGAGATGCAAATTATCTGTTCCATCTTTACGATCATTCGAAACTTCATAACTTTCTTCCTCATTAGTTGATGTTCTTGTGTCATCATTTGAAATTGAAGTCGTGCTGCTGCCATTCGCAGAAAATTCATCAAAGCTTGACAAACTGTGAGATGTAGAATCATGGTGGCTGTCTTCCCTCTCTGCTGCACTGCTTTTACTCTTCACTTCATCGGCTGTTACTTGAATTTCTTCAGCTACTGTTTCCTCAGCTTTTCTTCTTGCTTCCTCTTTTTCCCTTTTTTTCTGAGCCTCTTGCTCTTTCAATTGTTTAAACCTTGTAAAAATGTCCAAGATTGGTAAGTATGATATGTCACAAGAGAAATTTAGATATGAAGTAAAGCTCCATTAATGTACCTTTCACCCGGGCGAAGCCCTTCTGGAGTTAGTTTCTCTTCTTTCTTGACTTCCTTCTTGATAGCCGCTGTTTCAGAGACGGACTTTAGAATTTCGGATTGCATTTTCTTTGTACTTTTATCACTAAGTTCTTTCATAGGATTCTTTGCACCGCCCATTTTCCGTAGCCATACTTGCTGGGCTGTGCTTAGTATGTTGTTCGTAAACCTGAACAGACAAGCGAAAAACAAAATCTGATCGTAATTTGATTTAAGGGGACACAGGAGAGGAATAGCTCGGCGCTTACCAGTAAAGGCTTAAACCCGAAGGAACAGAGAGAGCAAAATAACCGATCATCAGGGGGAGGAAATTTGTTATGGCTTGGGAACTCTTCAAATTCGGATCGTTGCTCTAAGGGAAAAGCTTTCATTAGATACAGATCACAAATATTCGAAATGTTCGAATAAGGTAGCCCGAATATAATGTCAGCTCGACAAACCTGTGGGGGCTGCATAATCTGTACTGAGATATACTGTGTGACAACCAGAAGCACCGGGAGGATGAGGTAGGCGAGAGTATCCGACCAACCAAGGGGAGGGTGACCGTCCTATGATAAGTTGTTAACAAATTAAAGATTTAACGATGCATTGCAATGAATGAGTCGAAAACCATGTCAATAAGTGAAAAATATACAGTGGTAATAGATGATGAGTCTTACAACGAACGGGAAAAGCCAAGTAATACCGCTGCCAGTTTGTCGAGCAGCAATGGTTGTAGGGCCTGCTAGAGATGGTATCCAGAAGAACCCTTCCGTTAAAAGTCCCTTGATGTACAAAGCCAATATCCCGATTAGATTATATTGTTTAGAAGCTTTGTTATCGTAATTTATTAAATGGCGCCGCAGCTTACCTCATTAGCCACATTAGAAAGTGCTCGGTAAAGCCCAATCCATATTGGAATAGTGGCGAGTGTGGGAAGACAACCTGGAGATGCACCGAGAGAAACAATGCCATAATCATTATGCAAGAATTCTTGTACATTTACTTGAAGAGAAATTTAAACGATTTCAGTGTGTACTAGCAAACAAGTGCAAGCAACCCGTTTCATACCTGCCAGTGGATTTATCCCGGCAAGTTTATACAAACGAGCCGTTTCAAGTTGAATTCTCTCCTACAAAAGAAAAAAAAAGAACGATATTATGATAATTAGGCAAACATGTCGAATATGTAACTACTAATCTACCTGAATCAAATCCACTAGGTTTCTAATCTTTCAGTAACAATTCAAACGAGAAATAATTCGCGCAAGGATAAAGATTAACCTGATCTCCAGCATACCGTTCTTGAATGGCCTTTATTTGGGGCGTCAACGATTGCATAGCCATTGCTGATTCCACCTAAATTATTACAGCTCGTGAGATAATTTCTACAGCTGCTATACGAACATATAATGCTTGCTACCCAAATGTGTGCGCCGAAAAATCATTATTAGTAAATAACATAAAATTCTAGGGAACAAACTACACATCAAACAAAACTGTAAGACAAGAGTTGATGGAACCAAACCTGTTTCTTTGTCAAAGGAAAAGTGGCGGCCTTAACGAGTATAGTTAGTAAAATGATTGCAAAACCATACGCGTATGGAACGTGCACGGTCGACAGTCCATCTTTTAGAACCTGAAAACAACAATACATTCATTATGTCCTTAATCCGCACCAGTATTTAATTGTAATCGAATTATACCTCAATAAGCAACCTTCAAGAAAATCAAATCAACTGGAAACACTAGACACAAATGATCATTGTTTTGCACGAACGAATATAGGCAAGACAGTAATGCTCAAACTAAACTTTTAAGAACAACTAATGGAATGTAAGTAAATACAACACTTCCTACACAACAATTCAATCCGAAAACACGGACTCGGATTCATCAGAACACCTCTGCTCCACATTTTCAATCAAATATAGATCAGATTCTTGCAAGACAACAAATGTAAGTGTTAAGAACATTTAACATGAAATCAAAACTCCACAAGCATCCAATGGTTTCAATCAAAATTCTCTCCTACCAAGTTAGAACGAACTTCACAAATCATATCCAAATCCCAATCCATTTCGAAAACCAGTAGCTAATATCTCCAGCCCCAATTATTCACCATTATTTACCTAAAACAAACATTAAACCTATAACAAACCTTCAAAACAACTTCCATGGCATTCGTAATTCCCGAGAGCCAATCGCCATCCTGTTTAGTCGTAGCAGCATCGGCTGCTTCCGAAGAAGTGACTGCGGCATCGGCAATAGTGTAGAGAAACCCCTCAGCTCTCTCAAACAGCTCCTTAACTACCTGTCCAGCATTCTCCGGATCGGGAAACGGAACCTCACCCAAACCGAACCGCGCAACGCCAACACTCCCCCGCAGGAACGGTCTCTGAATCGTGAAATTGCCGAAATAAGCTCGCCTGGAAACTGGTTTTAAAGCTCCGCTTCTCCCTCGGAACGGAGACAGCACTAAATTTGGTCCAATTGGATTGGAAAAAACCGACATGCTTCAAAATTAGATTCTCCCCAAGCTCTGAATCAACACCTGAAAATTGTTGAGGGAGGAGGATAAAGGAAGATATGGAAGTTCGACATATACATATACAAATATATATATGTATATATTATATCTGAAATGTGGAAGGTTTTAGGTGATGTGTAAATGGAAGATGCGTAAAGATCTCCAGCTACAATTTTTATTCTGGACCAAAAAATTAATCAAATATCTTTGACCAGAAGAGCAAACGTAGAAGAAATGAATTACATGTGCTGCTCAAATATTGAGAGATTCTCGTCCACCGAACTCCAAACTTCAATCCAACAATGGAGGAAGAAACATAAGCAAGTTTTGTAGCAGCTTCTAAAACCCTAAATCCCTAATTTTTCCAATTTAACTTGCAATCTCAATCCCTTTGAAAATCTGTGTGTTTGTTTGGGGATTGGAATTAATTTCTACTGTTCATCCCATTCATTCTTTCTAAAAATATCAAATCAAACACTTATTTTTCATTTTTTATATTATACTAAAAATCAATTTTACATTCAAAACATCAAATCATACACTTATTTATATCTTCTCGTACAACTATTCAAATTCAAAATTTTTACTATTCAAATTCCAATTAAAAATTCAAACCCCAAACGAACACACCCTCTTGTTGCGGCATTTTTCCCTAAATACACCGTTCATCCAAAACATTTTTCTCAAATGTATCAAATACATCGTACAACTATTTTTAATTTTTATTTAAAAATTTTTTTATATTATATCTCAATCAAATATATATAATATTAGAGAATAAAATACTCCCTCAGTTCCACTTGTCATGTTCACTTTTTTATTTCCGTTCGTCTTATTTATTTTGTCATTCTTTTATATACACTTTAATCTTATTTTAGAAAATTTAATTTATAATTTTTAAAATTTTAATTATACTAATCAATTATTTTAATCTTAATATAAAATTATTTTTATTATACGATAAATATTTTCACTAATAAATTTTTAATTATTTACTAATTATACCACTCCTAAATTTCCATCGTCTATATTAAAGTGAGACAAATGAAGTATAATATAGATATAATACAAATAAATATATATTTATTTACCGTTATAACAAATTAGTTTTATAAAAAAATAAAGAATTTTTAAAATAAATAAAAATATTTGCTAATTCAAGATATATAAATAAATAGGTTTTAAACGGATTGAGTTAAAAATTTAATTAAATTTATTTATATTTGTTAAATCACTAAAAATCTTGAGACTTGACAAAAGTTCGGGAGGGATGGAGTATCTATTTCTTTGGCCAAAATTATTCTTTTCTCTTAAATTTCCAATAAATATTAGTAGTATAAAAACATAATTTATGTAAATTAACTTCTTAAAATCTATTACTCCTTTCATCCCATAATAAATTATTCATTTTTTCGTTTTACTTTGTCATGTAACAAAATATTTATTTTTATTTTTTTTTAGTAATGTATTCTCTACCTAATATTACAAATATACTTACAATTTACAATATATTATAGAAATGTCATTACATTTGTATTAAACGATACTAATAAAATTATTTTAGTAATTTCTACTTTATTCTTGTTACATTCCAATATAATACTAATATTTCTAAAATTTTGCACAAAAAAACAAACGGAATACGTAGCTATGGAAGGAGGAAGTATATTAAATACTACTACTTTTTGTCCCATATTTCGTTTTTACGTTTCATGTTCATCTCTTATGTTATTCTTTTTAGAAACAATTATATATTTTCAATTTCTAATTTATAATTTATAATTTTTTTTTTTAAATTAAGTGATAATTTTATTTTTTAAAAAAATTTAATTAAGTCAATCATATGTCTCTTAATTTCTTTTGTGCAAGGTAACTATGAAGAGAGAAATTTTTATAAATATTTTTGAAATTTGGACCCTGTTTATGCACTTGAAGTATTCCCAAATAAGGCTATTAGGAGGTTATAAGCTCTCTTTCTTTTTATTTTTCAATGTGTGTAAGAAAACATTGATTGTCCAAAATAAATAAAAAATTATAAATAGAATTTAAAGAGTTTTTATACTTATTAGTAGTAGATAATTAAGAATGTATTAGTGAAAATAATTATTCTAATTATAAATTAAAATTAAGATAACTAATTAGTTTAATTGAAATAAAAAAAATAAATAAAAAAATTTAAAATGAGATTAAAATGTATAATCATTTTCCAAAAAAAGAAAGTTATATGGTACGTAAGACCGACAGAAACGGCAACGTGGACATAGTACGTAGGACGGAGTATTTTTTAACATGTACTGTACATCTTATATATTACCTGTTTATGCTTAGATTGCAATACGAAAGGATACAAATATTCCACAGAAAATAGATCATTGTTCATTCATTTATTTATTATAATTGGCAATTCAAATGTCAGAAATTTATAACAAATTTATCTATCTTCTAACATTTCACAAAATAAATTTACACAAACTGCTTAAATTTAAATTAATGGACAGTAGCTCATTTCATCTCAAAATACAACAAAAACAAGTACTACAAATTATTGAAGTTCCATCACAAATTTGTTGAAGTTTCTTGGGGTGGTGGATTCTATTTCTAAATTTCTATGCATCATTAGAACAAAATTTTTTGTGGGACAAAATTCAAGCCATCCTAAAAAAGAAAATCAAGATTAAGAGAAAACCTTAATAAGGAAGACAGGCACAAAGTTCTTGAGTTTCAAATGGGCTGGCTGTCGGGAACAGTCTCTATCGGCTGGCTATCGATCTCCTCTAGTTCATTTTGGGATAGTGTGATCTTGGCATTCTTGAAGCGCTTTGAGCTCCTCAGAATCGATTCCAATGTCAGTTCTTTAGAGTCGGAAAGGCTGCAGCAATGGCCAATGAATGTTGTTAGATTCGATAAATTGATGAACTAACACGCGCAAAGAGGTTGTTCGTATTTTTAGAAGTTTTGGGATTACTAATCAACAATAGCTTTTTCAAGAAAATATCATTCAGAATACATATTTTTTCGCACAAAATATCGAACTTTTTTACTATTCATAAAGCTTTCCGAAACTCCAAAGACATGTTTCTGAATAAAGACTTACTCTAACTTTGCAGCAATTCTTTCGCCAGCAGATTGGCCTTCTGCATCATTTGATCCTGCCATTGAAAGAGACAAGTTGAGTTCTTTTTTCATCGGCTAAACATGAAATTTATAGAAGAGCTAGGATATCGATATGTTCAAGATAAAGCTTCCTAACATCAAACAGAGGTGAAATTAACATTCCGTATTATATCATACCGTTTCCAGCCAAGTCTAGTCCTCCTTCAGATTCCGAATCACTTGACATAGATGAACCATCTGTTGGACGGCGGATATTGGACCATGAACGCACAATCCCAGTTTCATCACCAGAGCCTTCGCTACTGCTTTCTTGAAAAATTGCTCCTGATTTATAGAGCAAACTCTCCTTTCGTGGAGTTTGCATCGCAGTCTTCTTAGCTGGATTTACACCACTTTGCACTTTTTTATTTCTTTGACTCTTAGGAAATGTTTCAGACCTTTCAAAGCTTGAATTCTTCAACAATGTTTTCTTTTCTTTAGGGTTGGGTACCACAGTGGCTTTATGTTCACTTTTCCGAGTTTCAGATGACTCTCGTGAGTCCCGTAACTCAAATGAGGTTCTAATAGGTGGTAAGCCGTTCTCCTTGAGTTGTTTCCGACTTTTTCTTGCATTTGATTTAGTTGGCGCCTTTTCCACATTACCAGAATCTTTACCCTGTTCATCACCTTTTTCAGTTCTTGCAGGATCACCATTGTTAGCAGCAGTGCCATTCGTCTCATCAATCTTTTCTCCACTTCTACTGAACACAGCAAACGATGAAGCTACTTGTCTGTCTTCTTTTTCAGGGCCTGCAAGATTAACTATACTTCCCTCAGTTTCTGATGCTTCAACACCAGCTTTTTGATCCTGGAATGGCAAATTTTCCAAGGCATGTGATACCGCATTTTGCACCTTCTTCCTTTTCTTCTTAGGCTTAAGGTCCTTATGCTCAGATTTCTCACCATTCTTGCCAACTTGATTGGAACCCATGATCTGATCTTTTTCTATAGGGGCAAGATCTTCATGTTCATTGCCGGTGAAAATTTGGGTGTTTTTCTCCACTTCTTTTTCTGCTGAGGCAACATCTTCTAATGTTTGACTAGTTTGAGTCGACATGAAAAAATCAGCCTCATTCCGACCAGCACCCTGGACTTCTCCAGTGGCACAATTACTAGAACATCTCAAAATTTTCAGTTGCGCACTGCTTTGTTCTTTGTCAGTTGCTTCGGGAATATAATTGGACGAGCCTGAAGTGCAACCCATGCCATCGTTGTGTTGTTCAACAACTGACATCTCAAGATTATTAGCATCTGCAGTGTTCTCCCCCCTTTTCACCTTCTTTTTTTTCTTCTTAGTGCCACTAGAGATATCAGGTTTCATAACAGCAGGTGCAAGGATGTTTTCTTCCAGTGTAGGATTTGGAAAAGCAGCGTCTGAATCGTTCTTATTTGATGGATTTGTCACTTCACAGTCATGATTTAGAGAAACAGTTTTCATTTCATTCTTCTGTTCAGGTTGATGGATTTCAGTACGCAGCTCAGCAATTTCGCCTTTTTCATTTTGCTCCACACCTGACTCGTCATAGAATTTTGCAGCCATTTTATTGGCTTTGCTTTTTATTCCCTTGCTCCTATTTGATGTAACATCTTCCACTGCACCACCAGTGGCCGTCAACCTTTTAGAACAATATTCAGTGTTGTTTGAACTAACCCCCCAACTCTCAGCTGGAACATCTAGGCCAGGTTTATAATCCAGTTTGCTAGCTATTATATTTTTAGGCATCGTGCCATCTAATTCCATATTCCCTTCCCTTCTACCAGAATCAGAATTTCCAGTTTCGGCTGTAGCCTCGGCTTTCAGTTGATCATTCTTCAGGTTTGATGACACATGATTCTTTTCATGATCATCATTTGGAATGGCCTCTTGGTTGGCTTCCATCAAGTTTACATCCGATGACATTTGCCTCAAATCATCAGCATCCTTCATCTTTACATCTGATGCAGTAAGTTGCACCCGTTTCCTTTTCCTCCTCTCTTTTTTGTCCTTGTTCTCAGAATTCTTGCCATCTTTGCTTGCATGTTTGAACCCAGCAATCTGATCTTTCTCTATGAGGGGGACACACTCATGGCCATTACCAAGAGAGATTTGGGGATTTTTCGGCTCTACTTTTTCGGCAGAGATAACATCTTCCAATCTTTGAGTTGTCTGAGTTGATACAACAAACTCTGTTGCATTCCCATTAGAATCCTGAACTTCCTCTCTAGCATCTTTGTTAGAACCATCCAACAATTCCATTTGCATATCCTGCCCTTGAGGGCGCGAAGTGCTTTCTTCCTCTTCATTTGCTTTTGGGTTATGATCAATTGATGGGGAAATCAAACATGACGGGACATGGAAGCCAGTTGTAGCTTCTTTCATACCCGAGTTCCCTGGATTAGCATCAGAAGGCTTCTCTCCTTCCTCAATCTTCTTCGTCTTTTTCGTCTTCTTCCTTTTCTTTGTAACACCACTAGACACTTCAGGTTTCTGTACAGCAGGAGTATCTAATATTTGTGGCGGAAAATTATCTTTCTGAGCTAGAACTGGAACAGCATTGTCTGAAGATTTCTTGTTTTCTGGAGTTTCCAGATCATGATCAAGGTTCGGCAACGTATCTTTCTCTTCCTTCTCTTCAGATTCACGGGTTCCAATACCGCGCGTGGGGTTTTCAACATTTCCAATCTGATCAACATGTGTTTCACTGTTGACTTCTGCAACTAATTTACTTGCCATTTCTTTCTTTCTCTTGTTAGCATCTGACTCATTATCTATCTTCACAATAGCGGCTTCCATTGATCTTGTAGACTGATCCAGTACTGCATTTGATGTAATCCCCAAGCTTTCAGGGTGCACCATTTTCCGCTTCTTCTTGGCACGAGAGTTACTTTCCTGACAATTGTCCTCCAACCATGTATCTCTATTAATGTCCGTGGTCTTTTCGAATGCTGTGCCAAGTTTAAATCCAGCAGTCATTCCTGGAGCAAGATTCTTTCCATGAGCATCATCCTGCAAGGCCATTGGGATGATTTCCATCCTGTTTAAATCAGACAACAACTCCCTGGAGCCATCAGCATCCTTTGCCTTCACACGGTCACTCGTGCCGATCTCATATGAATTTTGATTTAATTGAGGTACAAGAGCAGTAGTAGCATCAACTGAAAGAAACCAACTCCCCTCCACACTCTGAAATACACTCCGAAGAAGAATAAGGTCTGACAAACAATAAAAGAATGATCCCCGCTTCACCTACACAAATTACTGCATCCAATCAGCATTACATAACAAATTATTCCACTAACAACCCTAAAATAACATATATACCTTCAAAGACTGTATCTGTATCTCTCCAACTGCAGGAAAGCAACTCAAATGCTCCAATACAATCTTCTCTGCAAGCACAAAACATGCATAAGAGGGACATCAAACGAGAAAACGCATTTACCATAACCTATGAGGGGAAAAAAAATTAAACAAGAACAAAAAATTCATCTATCATAACAAATTTTTGCAACCTCGGTTCTCAAACTTCCAATAATTTACCAAACATGCATCCATTTCAAAATCTACAGCAATCAAATGTAAAATAACAACGTCTATAAGTTGCAACCCACACGAACGCTCACATACTTAGGATAATCACAGAATTCCGAAAAACCAACCCATCATACAGCCATAAACAGAATTAGGATAATTACTTTTGAAGTCCGACACTGTGTCGGTATCGGAAACAGGCACTGCGAAGTGCGTATCTAGGTTGGTGTCGATAAACACTGTGTTGTAATCCACCGTTTTGGCGGAAGCGCCATCGCAGTCCGACTCACGGCGTCCTTTGCCCATGGCAATCGGAGACCACTACCGTCGTCCCGAGACGATCACTTAGCGGACTCAGTTCGGGAGGTTTTTGTTAGGTTTTCACCATAAGCGAAACGTACCAAATCTAATGTACAATTGGGCCGGGCTGTCAGGAACAGTTAGGCCCAAATAATTTACTTTATATGTAGATTTTGTATTAGATAGAAGTTTAAATTTATTTTTCAATATAATAAAAAATTAAAAATAGTAAAACAAATGATCACCGTTTAGAGGAATTGTGTTAAAAATATAAAATATATTATTTTAAATTAAATATTTAATTTTTATTTTTATTTTGTAATAAGTTTTTAATTTTTTTTTTAATATTTTTATTTGTGATATATAAAACTATGTAAAAAATGTAGTAAAAATACTTCATCCTTGTCATAAGAAATGTTCAATTTTCTATTTGTCTATCCCAGAACAGGTACAATTTTCTTTCTTTTTCCAATTGTACTGTTTATCTAATATAATAAATACTCTTACAATTTATAATATACTACACAAATATTATTATTTTTATATTACACAATACACATAAAAGTATTTTTATCTTTTACGACAAATTAATATAATACTAATATTAATTTTATACTTCCATTACAATTAAAATATTATTATTCCTTAAATTTCAAACCAAAAATAAATATTTATTTGTAATCGAACGAAAATAATATAAACTTTTAATATTAATTAAATTATTTAATTATTTTAATTTTAATTTATAATTATTTTTACTTAGTTATTTAATAATTGTAACCTTTATAGATTTTCATATTTACAATATAGCTATAACCAAAGACATTTTATAAGGGACGGCGAGAGAATGCTACTAGTAAATAAAATTATTTGCTAAACACATTTGATAATATTTGTATGGAAAAAATTATTTTTGGTCTGAATATAATCAAAATTTATTAATTTTGGTTCAAATATACAAATTTTATTAATTTTGATCATAATATAACCAAAAGTCATCATTTTTTGTTTCAATATAACCAAAACTCATTGTTTTTTTTGTCTCAATATAAAATTTTTATCAATTTAATCCTAATGTAACAAAAACTCATCATTTTTTGTCCCAATATAATCAAACTTTATCTTTTTTGGTCTCAGCGTCAACAAATCGACGAAAAATGCTGACGTGAAAAGAAATCAAACCTTATATTTATATTTGAAGAAATTGCACAATTTTGCAAGTCCACGTTAACATTTTCCATCGGTTTGTTGACGGTGAGACCAAAAAGGATAAAGTTTGATTATATTGAGACAAAAATGATGAGTTTTTATGATATTAGGACTAAAATTGATAAAAATTTTATATTGAGATCAAGAATGATAATTTTGATTATATTGACACCAAAATTGATAAAATTTTTATATCTGAACCAAAATGGATGAATTTTGATTATATTGAGACCAAAAATAATTTTTTCTCATATTTATATAAAAAAATAGATATATTTTTATTAAAAAAAAAAAGGTAAGTAAAATGAAAAGGTGAGGCTTATTCGACAAAATGGATAAGTATTGAAGGAGCTGAGGTAATTAATGAGAGAGTTCCATTCTCCTGATTCCGACGGAGAGGCGCCACCGGTCGAGCAGAGCCTCCGGCAGCAGCGACGCCAGGAACCACTGTACGGAATGGCCCCAGTAGGGCGTGCACCGCCCTTCTCGCCCTATGAACCCCACCGCCGCCGCCGCGTACCTCTCCGCCGACGGCACCAACACCGACGGCTTCTCCACAAACGCCACCCGCGTCGCCATTTTCGTCGACACGTACAACGGCACCTGACACTGTACGTCCACGCCGTACTGCTTGTACTCCACGCTCAGGCTCCTCGCCAGCTGATCCACGTACCTGCGCACCGGATTCCCAATTTCCGATGCATCGGAAAATTTTTCAGGCGAATAGCAATTCAAGACGACGAAGCAATGTCGATTTTGATTAATCTCTCATCACAAGATAATGGGGTGTGTTTATTTGAAGATTATTTGGATTGTGTGTTTTTAATATTTGAATAGTAAAAATAGCAGTATAATATGATAAATACCGTTTGATTTGATATATTATTGTAGTAAAATTTTGCAAAAAAATTCAATAAAATTACAGTGCTAATTTGAGTCTCCAAACAACACTGATTCAAAAAATTCAGAAAATACCAATAAAAAATAAAAATTAAACATGTCCTGAATATTTCTTCAATTTTGACACATTTTGTTAGTTACAGAGTATTTAGAGTATTTAACGTAATAATGTTTAATTAGTTAATAATAATAAATTATAATATTATTGTATTATTTGGTACGTCATTAACAATATTGATAATTTTGAAATAAATTTAATATATATAATTTAAAAAATTAGAATATATATTTACATAGTTTAAAAATTATATAATAATAAAAAAAATATATAATATGAATATTATTTAGTAAAAACTAAAATAAAATTATAATAGTAAATAAAAAATAAATTTATTTATTTATAATTAACATAAACTAATTTTATAAAAATTATGAAATTTTAAAAAGATAAAATTATTCTTTTTTTTTTTTAAGGGAGATATAAATAAAAAGTTTAGATAAGTCCTATATATTATGTATTATATTATATATTAAAGTAAATTAAATTAATTTATATTTATTAAATACGTCTTGATTTAATAACCTTTTAAAAAATGTATATATATATATAAATATATCGATTGTTATGTACAGGTAAAAATATATATATATATATTAATTAAGTTGGGACAAGACCCAAGAACACATGTCACTAGTATTGATGATTACTTGTATAGATAATTAAATTGTGGGGGAAAAAAAAATTATTATAAATAATCGATGCATAAATTTAATTATAAAAAAATAATGGCCTACGAGGGAAAGATAACTTACGCTTTGGTGGCGGCGTAGATGGCGTAGAGGGGATGAGAAGGTACAATAATGGCGGCGCCGGAGCCAATATTGACGACGGCGCCACGGCGGCGGTCAAACATTCCCGGCAGAACAGCTCTGGTCACGTAGGTCGTACCTTCGACGTTAACGCGGACGAGCTTCATCCACGTCCGCTCCTCCACCTCGTGGAAGAACATCGCTTTCGGATACGTCACTCCCACATTGTTGATCAGAACCCCAATTTGGAGCCCCTCGATGAACTCCTTCATCTTCTCCACCCTCAAAACGGCGTCGTTTCGTGCGAAATCGATTTCAAAAACCCTAATTTCAATTCCATGTCTCCTTCCTCGAATTTCTTCACCAATCATTTCCAATTTCCCCAAATCTCTACTAACCAGCACCAAATTCATCCCCTTCTCCGCCAGCCTGAACGCGAAAGCTTTTCCGATTCCGTCCGTCGCGCCGGTGATCAACGCCCAACCGCCGTAGCTGGTTTTCAGATCCTTCTCCGGCCGGAGGATGACGCAGTAAAGCCATTTCAGCAAAGCAATTAGGCTTTTCAACACGGCGGTAAATCCAATTGACGAAATCAGAAGAATCCACCATGGCTGCTGCCATTTCAGATCATCCGAGCTGCAGTTCAAAACCATAATTCCTCCGATCCGATCGATCGATAATTACCGTTGGAGTGGAGCTAGGTAGAACGTACGTACCTACTCCGTGAAGAAATTGAAAAGTGTGGTGTATGCAGTGCAGTTAATAATGAAAAAGTTCAACTGCCACCTCCATTAATAATGAGGATGGTGCTGTCTGCTCAACTGATCGTTTTCATATTTAAGGAAGGAGGAGACTGTTGAACTCTGAAAGTTATTCGAATCAAGTACTACATCGAGTCGCTTGCTTCCCCTAATCAAATTATTTATTTCCTCTTAAATCATAAATTAATTACTCAACCGTTGGAAGTAAATTCATATAACTTTATCTCATAAATATAGTCTTAATTGAATTGAGTTGGGCACGCGATTTAAAAAATATTAATATTATATTTATAGTGATTAAAAAATATCGATAAAAGATTTTTTTGTCCTTGTGCGTGTATTAGTGTAAAAAATAGTGACAATTGTGTAATAAAAATGAAAAAGTATGGGTAGTTTTATAGTGATATGATTATTTATAAAAATAAGACTATTGTTTTAGGACGGACAAAAGTGGTAAACAAGACTATTATATTGAGAAAGAGAGAGTATTTTTTTTTCCTTATAATAACAAAAATATAAAAAATACTACTCCCTTCGTCTCAAACACCAACATCTCATTTTTTTATTTGTCCTAAACTTACTGCTAAATTTCCAAATTTAGAAATAATTAATATTAATATACACTTCACTTTATCTCATTGCATCACTCAAATAAAAAAAATAATAATAATTTCTTTCTCCAATCACATCACTTAATATCCAAATTATCTCAAATAATCATACTTAATATTCCTCATCTAAATTCTCGTGCCAAATAAAAATATTATACGGTGTTTGCCTTGTTTGGAATGGAGGGAATATAATTTTCGTTTTATAAATAAAAAAATAAAAACATTTTTATATTGCAGACAAAAAAGTATTACCTTTTAACTTATTTTTGCCTTAGTAGAACTCTATCCGACTGTAGTCGAAAAATAGATTATTTATGCCTTGTAATTTTGACACCTGATATGCTTTGTATATATATTTTTTTGGTAGTAAAAATATATATATTAATTTTTATTTTAAAAATTATTATTATTATTATTATTTTATGATAGAAGGAATATTATTTTTGTTACTGATCATTTTATAAATTATGCTCTTCGGTTGTGTTCATTTTTATTTTAAATAATAATCTATACGTTCAATTATATTCTTGATCTTGTCTCAATTATTGTTTTTTAATACAAATTTAAGCCATTATTTTTTTAAAAAATAAAATACTATTTTAAATAAAAATTCAAATTCAAATAAAACCTAAACAACCTTATTCATTTTCATGTTTTTGGTGGTTTTTAGTTATTATAATTTTAATAGTTTTTTTATTTTTATTTTTTGCCAATGCTGAAAAAAAAAAAGACACTGTAAACAGTTGTAAAAGTTTTGAGAAGTAAGAAATTAGAAATACCAAAAAAAAAATTGGAATAGAAAAGTTACACTCTTTGTCTCAGTATTTTTTTTAATTTTTTTTTCCGTTAAATTTATATAAAAATACTAATATTTTGTAATTATTTACTTTGCATATTTAGGTAGAATGATTATCGTATTATTAAAAAATACAATATACACATATTAATATAATATATATATTATTCACTATGCGGGTGATCAATCTCAGGCTACTTAGTGATATATATATATATATATTTCTGTGTAATTTATTGCAAATTGCAAGAAATTATATTCCTTGTAAATTCTGTAGCAAATATTTTCTCCGGCAAATTTACTAATTTACCCTTTCTTGCAATTATGCACCAAATGATTGAAGTATACACGCCAACAATAATCTCTTCAAAATTAGAAACTAATAGTACTGCAATTTTACCCAGGGCTGTCTCGCATTTTTTCGGAGCCCTAGGCATAAATAAATTTTAGGCTCTACAAATACACGATTAAATATATTTTTAAAATGATATTACTGAAATTGGCATCGGCTAGACAAGAAGTTTAAGGCAGTGGTCTGACGACGGTGTTGACTCGGGAGAAAAAAATGGAAATTGAACTTACGGTACTTCGTATGGAGGTTCGAATAGTGAAAAAAAAATGAAAGGAGGTGAACGAGAAAGTAGAAAGAGAAGTAAGTTTTGGTCTGGGTGGATCGGTGGGCACACAACGGCAAAAGACGTGAAAGTGAAAGGGAAGAGATGTAGGCGACAATTGAATTTCAATAGATGTAATGCAGTGTAGTTATGAATAAAAAGATAGAAAAAAAAAAAAAAAAAAAAAAACAAAACAAAAAGAGAGAGGGAGTAGAATTTTAAATTTAATCTTAAAATGAAAATTGAATTGGATAATAATAAAAAAATTAAAAATTAAAAATAAAAAATAAAATTTTAAATTTATTAATTATAATAGGTTTACATTAAACTGATTTATTTTATTTTTTATTTTATTTTATTTTTTTTACGTGCATACAGAGAGAATATCAACTTCTGGTGTTCACAAAATTGTTATGGTTCCAATAATTTCTAAATATCATATAAACATACCATTAAAATGAAATATTTTTGTACTTTAGGAAATTTTAAGTACTACATATATGCAGTATTAATAAATATTATTGCCTGCCAGCGTGTTACGTACGGACTCTGTCGTTTGCATGGTGCTACTTTTGCAATTAATTAATTAATTAATTAATGCAGAAGTAGTGATTTTCTTGAATTGGGACCATATCCGGACCACGTGTATATTTATATACTCCTATACATGATTGCAAGTACCGATATTTATTTTAGATATTTATACCTTATTATTTATTTTAATTTTTTCTTACTATCTCCCTCTTGTATAGAGTGTTTGAATGATTGTACATACAAGAACTTAAAATAAATATAATTAATAAATAATTAAAAATATATTAGTGAAAATAATTATAAATTAATATTAAGATAATTAATTAATCTAATTAAAATTTAAACAATTAAAAAATAAAAAATATCTAATGAGATTATAGTGTATAATTATATTTAAAAAAAAAACTAACATAAGATGTGACACAAACAAAGTAATATTTTAGATGATAAATTAGGTGAGATATACGAAAATAGAAAGAACAGACAAATTAGATGGGACGGAGAGAATATAAAAAAAAAATTCGGATCGATTCAAATTTGGCAAATTTTGCACTGAAAATTCGAATATACCTTGATCACCCGTAGAAGGAATTAAAAATAATAATGCTTACAATCCCGTAAGAGATGACCTGGTGGTGTAGGGGTTGGACTTGTGACCGCCTCAGGTTTACCCAGTCCCCGCTTCTGGACAACACATAATAAAATGTTTAATTATTCTTTAAATTTCTGCCAACTAAATTTTGTTTATTACATTATTGTCAGACATTATATAATAGTCCATCCGTCCCAAACAAGGTGCAATATTTACTTTTGACACGGGTTTTTAGGTGAGTAGTATTAAGTAGGATAATTTAGAAATTATGTGATGTAATGGAGAGATAAATATATATTTTATTTTTTTATTTGGATGATGTGAGGAGATAAAATGTGGGATAGAGATTAAGTATAATTAATTATTTCTTATTTTGAAAATATTACAGGGTGTTGGATATACCAAAAAGGGAGTACTTCTCTTGTCTAAATGCAAATTATTTTTTGTTTTGTCTTACTGAATTTTTTTTTATTTTAGTAAAATAATTATACTAATATCAAAATATAATTATTTTTTTTTTTAAATTACAAATATATCATTGAATATACAATTATTTTATATACAAAGTCAATGTATAAAAAATATCAAAATTTCTTACATATTTTTACTGACCAATAAAATAATAGTATTTATTTTTTAATCTATTATAAAATTTAAAAGGAACATAGAAAGTACTATTTTTTTTATTAATTATTGTGCCAAAAAATTTGGAATAAAATTTTCGTGGACTGAAGGTATGAATCCTGACGTGTCCAAGTCTTATAATATACATTTGGTTTAAATTATGAGCACAAATTTATAAATTAGGTGTATCATTCTAATGAATAAAGTTTATATAATAATTTATATATAAAAAAATTAAAAATTGTTAGAGTATATTAATTAATAATATGATTATATTAATTGTGTGACATGTGAACTTTTTAGTTATGAAATTTTATGTTTCAACTGTACATTTTAAATAAGTGTTATTCATCCATTGCATTAGCACGTGAGCCCCTACACATACATTCATTGGCAAATTTAATATAGATCAAATAATAATACTTCCTCCGTCCAGCTAGAAAGTATATATATTTCTATTTTGGGACGTCCAATTACAAAGTAAACATTTTATTAAATACTTTACTTTTTTTTCACAAATACCCTTACTTTACATCACATCATTTCTTTTATACCAAAAAGTAAGGGCAAAAATGTCATTACACTACTTTTAACTACCCACTATAATTAAAATATTATTATTTCTTAAATACCGTGCCAAAAGTAATTGTATACTTTATAAGTGGACGGAGGGAGTATTACTTTAATAAGAAGATGCACAACATTATACTTCCTTTATCCCACAGAATTGAACCATTTGATTAGAGACACTATATATAAGTTAAAAATATTTAATTAGTTAATAATAATTAATTATGATATTATCATACTCCCTCCATCCCATATCTATATATCCATTTACTTTTTGCACAAAGTTTTAAAAATTTTAGTATTTTTTTTTAAAATAAAGTAGAAATAAAGTTAAAAAGACTAAATTAACCCTATTAGTATTGTATGATATAAATGTAATGACATTTGTGTAATATATTGTAAATTTGAAGAGTTGAGACAGACCAAAATGAAAAAATAAATATATTGTTAAGGAATGGATGAAGTATTATTTTTTTTGTATAATTAATACTCCATCCGTCTCATATATCGTGTCTGCTACACTGTAGACACGGTATTTTAGGAGATGTGTAATTAGTAGATAATTAAGAATGTATTAGTGAAAATAATTATCCTATAATATAAGTAATTATAAATTAAGATTAAAATAACTAATTAGTTTAATTAAAATTAAAAAATAAATAAATTAAAAAGTTTAAAATTAGATTAAAATGTGTAATCATTTTCCAAAAAAGAAAAGTGACATGAAATGTGGGACGGACGAAAATGACAACGTAGACATAGTATGTGGGACGGAGGGGGTAATATTTAAAGTTTTAAAGTAAATTTAATATATATTATTAAAAAATTAAAATATATGTTTAAATATTTAAAAATTATATAGTAATTAAAAAATATATGCAATATAAATATTATTTTGTAGAAAATAAAATTTTATATAATACAAGTAAATAAAAAAATATTTTTGTTTATTTATAATTAACATAAATCAATTTTATAAAAGATATGTAGTTTTAAATATAGATAAAAATATTTATTTTTTTAGGAGAGGAATAGAAATAAATGAGTTTTGAGTGGGTCCTACATAAATATATGTTATGTAGTTAATTAAATTGATTTATATATTTATTAAATATGTTTTAATTTAATAATTTTTATAAAAAAAAATGTCAATTGTAATGGAACGGATGAAGAATATTAACATTTATTTCTTTGTTTATTTAATAGACTGTTCAAAATTAATTAATATTTTAAAGACGAAATAGATAAATACGTCATTAATAAATGTGGCTCTATGACATAACGTACAAAGACTGAGAAATTCGAACCCATAATTCACAATTCTCAATTACTCACTCTAGAATAGGACAACAACTTTAAATGTTCGAACTTATTTATTTTAAATAAAAAATAAAAGATGATATATATTGCTCCCTCAGTTCCAGAATTATAGTCTAGGTTGTATTTAACATGAGATTTAAAAAATATTAATATTGTATTGGTAATAGGTAAAAAGTACGGGTAAAAGACTTTTTTGCCATTATGAGTGTATTAGTGTAAAAAATAGTGACAATTGTGTAATAATAATGAAAAAAATAATAGTAATTTTACGGTGATATGATTATTTATAAAAATGAGACTATTGTTTTGGGATGGATAAAAATAATAAACATGACTATTGTATTGAAACAGAGAATGTATAATAGTATATATTCGGTTTGTTTTCTTCGAATTTCTGGATGTAATGATTTTATATAAATATTATTCAAAAAATAGAATATACACGCATCAATACATAAATGACAAAAATAGATACAATTCAAAAAATTGATTCGAACTCGCAACAAAAAAAATTGTTTTTGAACCTTAAAAAATATGCTTGAAAATTTCTAAATCGTGTTTGACCAAACAAGATAATGAACTAGGCCGTGCTCGGCCCATGAAGATCGGGCCACATTTGGCCTGGCCCAATTTTTAAAAATTAATATTTCATATTTATATATTAACTAATAAATACTAATAAAAACTAAAACATAGTTCGATTCTTCGTTTGGTTATAATTAATTGTGGATTCGATTCCTCCTCTTATTATTTAAGTAAATTTTTTATTGATTAATTTAAAAATAAAAAAATAATAATGTGATTTTAAAAAAAAAAAAAAAATTAAAATGGAAAAATATCTGGTTTCAAGTCGTGTTGGGCCTAACTTTCCAAGCCCGATTTGAAATCGGATCAGCCTAAATTGTCACCCCTCACGCACTTATTTATAAAATTTAATCTGTATGCTTTCTTTTTAGTTGAATTGATTATTTTTTGTGTGTGGTACGATGAAGTGTATTAGTAATATAAAAATAATATTTTTGTGTTGAATGATTGCTTTTTTACGAGTGAATAATATATATTATATTAATAAGTGTGTATATTTGTATATTTTAATACTAATATTTATATAGAATTGTTCCATTAAAAAATATTCAATGAGCACTGAATAGGTGTGGGCAAAAAAATCGAATCGAACCACCGAACCGTTGAACTGAACTGAATCGAACCGAATTTTCAGTTAACCGTGCAAATTCGGTTCGAATACAAATACTGCATATTTGATATTTGCTCGGTTCGGTTCAGTTTCGGTTTTTGATATTTTTTTCGGTTGGTTAACCGAACCAAATATATTTATATATTTATGCTATTATATTTTAAATTTGCATTAATAATTATATTCGATTCGGTTTCGGTTCGGATATTTAAAATATTTTGATTTAATTAAAATTTTAATTATTTTTAAATATATTATTTTTTCAGTTCGAATTATTTGCAAATATTTTCGGTTAATACGGTTCACGGTTTCAGGTATTTGTTCGGTTGGGTTCAGATATCAAATACGTGCGTATTTATAAATATCCAAACTGTGCCCACCCCTAGCACTGAATGTGTTTGTAGATTTTTTATTGTTCTAAAAATCAAATCAAGCATAATTATATTTTTTTTACATTCCACTAAAAATTTAGGATCTGTTATTTTGTCAAAATAAACAAACATTTTTTTCAACAAAATTATTTACACATATTTATTATTTTTATTGTGATGTTTTGTGCATATTACACTTCGACCTGACCCAACCTATCGAAACCCGGATCCCGTGCCCGCGGTTCGACCCGATTGAGTGATGAATTGGATGATGGGTTCGATTAGCCTGAACCGCCCTGGACCGCCCTCAAACCGGTCCAAGGGGTCTTATATATATATACTGCTTCCCGGTTCACTGGACAAAAGATACTCACTCTTTTTCACATCGCGATATTCACTTTCTGGAGCCCTAGCTTTCCCGACGAACGCGATCGACCTGTCCTTGGCATTCCGGCGAGTTTGGCCATCGGAACTTGAAGTTCATCCACCGTGGTTGTATTACAGCTTGTTCTAAAGCTATTCTTCGATTTGATTTCTCAATTTTGTGTTTATGAGCTGTTCGTGGTGTAATTGATTTTCCGCGATGATTTAGGCTTAGAATCTTGAGATTTCTTTCGATTAGGTTGTTAATCGCGCTGATTGTGCGTTTCTGTGAATGTCGGTAGTGTTTGGGTCGAGGTTGTGTGTATGTGTTGCTAATCGGTTGGAATATTGGGTAAACTGAGTCCGAACTTCTTCGATTTATAAAGTATATAAAAGATTCGATGTTTCTTGTTTCGTATGTGTTCGATTAATTGTAAACTACAAGTATTCGGTCCTTAATTTCGATTACATTTATATTACTTACCTAATTTCTAAAGTAAAAAATAAAAATAAAAATCATTTCAAACTATTTTAAAAAATATATGTATATATTTTTATTATTTCCTAAATTTTAAAACTTAAAAAAGAAAAAATTTATATGTTGTTTTGGAATTTTGTTTAAGTTTCACATATCCAGCGCGGCCTTCATCATTTCCCTCGAGACAAAGAACAAAAATATGGTGTGGGTCGGCACCTACCCTTATATTTTGGGTAAAAGGTGGTACTTTTAAAACATGGCATTCCATATTTTGGGTACTATTTAAAATGTGCTTCTTCCGAAATATACTCCCTCCTCCAATTCAGAACTATAGTTCGGATTATATTTGGCACGAAATTTTAAAAATATTAATATTATATTGGTAGTAAGTAAAAAGTACTGATACAAGACTTTTTTTTGCCTTTGTTAGTGTATTAGTGTAGAAAGTAGTGACAATTGTGTAATAATAATGACAAAGTAAGGGTAGTTTTACATTGATATGGTTATTTATGGAAATGAGACTATTATTTTTGGACGAACAAAAATGGTAAACAAGACTATTGTATTAGGACGAAAGGAATACTTTTTTTCGTTTCAAATTTTCAATTAAATGATTCATTTGGAGTTTGGTGGTAAATTTAAAAATAATAATATTTTATTAATTTGTGAAAATATATATAAAATTTTGACATTTTTGTCATTTGATTTTATGTATGAAAAAATTGTATATATAATGGTATATTTAAATTTTAAATAGAAGTTAAAAATATTTTTATATTAATGGATAATTAATTTTACTAAAATAAAAAAATATATGTATCTTTAATATGACTGACAAAAATAATAAAAAAGAATACTTCTGAACTGAAACGAAAATATATATATATGGTTATAGATTAGCTGCTTTTTCGATTAAATTGACATAGTGCTGATTTGACCAGATCAACATACATAATAGACAAATGGAAGTAAACGGGGACTTGACAGCAATTGTCCCCGAAGCCCCCAAAATATATTTTTTTTGTTTAAAATAAATAAAATTGATATAAGCATACTATTTTGCCACCTAAAATTTTTTAATTATTTTGCATTTTTAAAATTTTAAATTTATTATATATTTTGTTATTTATTTTTTATTTTAATTTACGTTAATAGAATAATTTAATTATATTTTATTTAAATAAAAATTATAAGTTTTTGTCTTTATATATTATTAAAGTGTCTCTCTGCATTATGGAAAAAAATAGATTTGAGAGTTATACAAGAGAACATGATTGACATGTTTTTATAATTTTTTTTAAAAAAATAAATAAATTAATCACCTGTTTGAACAAAAAAATCGACGATTCGCAATTAAAAATATGTTGAAATCATCGAATCATAAAAATTCAAGACCTATTAGACAATCCGTCCCCGTAACTTCGGAAGCTAGTTTTGTCCCTCGTATGAATGACCAATATATAATTACAAATATTTCAACATATTTATAATATAACATATATCGTATAATATATAAATATATATTGGTCACCCCTATAATCTGTGCTCATACTAATTTCGTCGAATCAACACTGAATCCGCAGCCTCTATATTAATTTCGTCCAATCAACACTGAATCCGCAGCCTCTATATATATATCATACTAATTTCGTCGAATCAACACTGAATCCGCAGCTTATATATATATATATACATATTAAGTTGAGCAAAATGGTCTCGAGCTTGATCGAATTTAATAAAATATTCAAACTTTAGTAGAAAGTTGAGGTGACACGACACAATGCATAATTTTGCATGAATGATCGATTAGACATTACATAAACATTGTTTGTCTTAAGCCCACAAAATTAGAGCAAAAGACAGGACGACACCATCTGCCACAAATTACATCAACACGGCTCCCATCGCCATCTAATTTCCCAAGCCATTTTTCGGCTGGCGAAGGCAACACGGCCGTGTCAACACTTATTCCACACAAACACATCCTTACCGGACACTATATACATTTCGAGTTCGGTCGGCTTCGGGGGTATACGGCTGCGTCGAATCGAAACTTCACCTTCATATCAAATGCTCGTAGTACATCAGGAATAGCGCATCGGGCGAATCCTTCGGAAGGTTCCGAATATAAAGATAGAATCGTCGTAAATCTTCCATCGGGACTGTTTCCGGGTCGATCACCTCATCTTTGCACGGCAGAACCCATAAGTCTCTCGATTTCACTCTCTTGAGACTGCCCCGGCAAAACGGGCACGACTCTGATCTCGTACTCCTGAAAATTTCGAAGAAATTCCGGTTAATTTGAAAACCCAATTGCGTAGTATCGAGCGTGTTATTGAACGAGTTCGTCGTCGACACTTACCAGTCGCGGTAGCAATTTATGCACATGGCGTGGCAGCAACCCGGGACGACCATTTTCGTGCAGGGCTCTAAGCAAATACCGCATTCGTCGTCTCTCTCCGAATCCGAGTTGGCTTCTCCGACGTCGCCTTCCCGGGTCTTCTTCCCGACGTTCTTTCGAAGGGGGTGTTCGTCTTTCGTGCCGTCAAGCTCGACTAGGTCGTAATGGAGACGTTGCAGCGACGGCAATATAACAGCTGCGCGTTTCGGGCGAGCGATTAGATGGTTTTTCTAGCAATTCGATTTTTAGTCAAAATGAAGACTATTCGACAAACCGTAAAAGTCTCGTATCGAAGCTTTCCTTCCGCGGGTCGATACTTTTGGCCTCCCGTCTGCATACACCTGCGAAGCAAAAGGCGAACGGGAACTAATTGGCATCTGAAACAACTCTTCGGGGAGCTACCGATTAAAAATCGAATATACTCGATTTTGATTTATCGATTTAAGTACCTTGTATATGAGGATGTCGAAAAGATTGAGATGCCTAGGCATAAAGCACGAGCACGAACAATCAAACCATCGAAGAAAATACATCAAGAGCGGCGTCATTTCGTTGTAAACCACTTTCATTTGCAGGCGCGCACCTCCCTTTGCTTTAGGGATCGCAGCCGCGCTGGAAAAACAACGATCGAAGAACCAATTCAGCAACCCAAAAACAACGACGCCACTATTGCATCGATCCCCAAAAAATCAAAAACAAGAAATGGAACATCACCGGGAAACCACAAATAAACATGTAATGATTCGGCGGTGTTGGTCTGACTCTCGTCTGTAAATAAATAAATAAATAAATTATCCGTATCCTAATAGCTTAACCTTTTAGGAAGTCCGTCTACTTTTGTATCGTATACTAATTTTTTACAATTTTCAAAAATTTTCGACAACTCCAAAACCTCTGTTCTAAACGAACCTAAAAAGTAAAATGCAGTAGCTATTGTCGAACAAATGGATACCTAAATGTTTACAATAACGAATGGGATTAGTTTAGTTCAATGTAAGAAAGAAGACCTAACAGCCAACCAAAAACACAACAAATTTACAACCCAACATCGAACAAAAATTCCTCGATTGGATAATGAAACGAATTCTGGTTCCAACAAACTCCCAACAACAATCACAATTAAGAGCCATGGAAAACCTAAACAAATTTACAAAATAAAAAAAATAAAAAAAATAAAAAAACAGCTCATCAATAATCCAGAATCCCTAGACAACAAAGAACCTGAAAATAAAATCCTAATGTTTATCCTTTAGCCCTCAACTTTGTTCAGCAACCAAAGTCAAAAGTCTTAGAACAACAATCGAAGAAACTAGAACAAGAAAGATCATCGAACAGAAAAAGCTTACAGGGCGTTGGCTTGTTGAATATCAGACTCCAAAATCTTGAGGGAATCTGTGTAAGAATTCCTCCCCTGCTGCTGTTGATAGCACATCATCTCCATCTTAACTAACAACTCTCTTTTATCTTGCTCTGTAAAAGCAGCAATGAAATTTGGCAACCTTTTTCTCCAAGAACTTTAAAAAAAAAAAAAAAATTGAAAAGGGAGAGAGAGAGATAGAGAGAGAAAGCAAAGAAAGAAAGGGGGTTTGTTTGATAAAATTGTAATCACCGAATAGAATAGAATTATAGAATGGATGAAGCGTCGAAGCTGCGAGAAGCACAAGAGAAGATTAGAGGAGAGAGAGAGAGAGAGAGGGTTTTGCGATTTAGAGAAAACCAACACGCAAAATAGGACAAACTAATTGCTGAGGGAGGAAGGGAAGGGAAGAAAGAATCACAACTCTTCTATTTCAATTTTTTTGATCTTTTGTATTCTCTCTCTCTATCTCTCTGATGGCTTCCTTTTGTACCAAGACTCCACCTTTGTTTAGTCTCCTTTCCTTCTACTACTTCCCTTTTTATTTTCTTTCTCTCTCTAGATATATATATACATACATATATATATATATCCTCTCGTCATGTAATTCAAGTGGTAAATTGGAGCTTGACTTGGGTCTTTTGGTTGGGTGCTGAAAAACAATCAATAGTTGTCATCATATACTGAGTTGTCTGTCCTCGTATTAATAAAAGTATTTTTTTATTATTATTTTTTATCATTTTATTTAAAAGTAAACTTTTTTATATTTTATTTTAATAAAATGTAATTATGTATTAATATTAAAATAATGTTTTTTTAAAAAAAATTATAAATATATAGTTATTTGTATATAAAGTGAATTAATAAAACTTAAAACTTCTTGCACACTTTCTATTAAGTAATAATTTTTTTTATTTATTACAAAATCTCTAAAATTAAAATCTTTTGGACAAAGGAGTAGTATGCTTTTTTTTTTCTTTTTTTTTTTATTATGTAGTTTAATAAAATTTAATTTGAATTTAATATTAAAATAATGTATAATGAGATGTTTTTTCGAGAAACTCATAGTTCAAATTTAAACAAAATTTTAAATTTAAACTTTCATTTAAGTTAATTGTAAATCATGACAAAACAAATTAGAGTCTTGAATTTTATAAATAATAAAAAATAAATATTTATATAATATTTATGAAAAAAAAATTATATATTAATATACCAGTTTAGTAATTTAAATTGGATGTATATGTTTTTTATATTTCGAATGAATAAGTATGAATATAAAAAAATGCTCTCTTTGTACTGTCATAAAATATTTATTTGTTTTTTGCTTGTATATTAAAAGATAACCGTATTTAATTTTTAATTTGTGGTATATTTGTGTGATGTTTTTTTAATCTTTCATGTTTTAGTTTGAGGTAATGATAAGTGTAAAGTTGATGATATTCATAATCCAAAATATATTTAAATGTACTAAATATATATATATATATATATTGTAAGGAGACTAAGAAAAACGACCATTTATATATTGTTGGATAAAATAATATTTTGGGTTATTTTATAATATATTAAGTATATATATTATATTTTTAATAATATTATTTAGATACCATATCGAACTTCTTTTTTTTTTTTTTTTTTTTTTATGAGCACGTCCTGTATTTGGTATTGTGTATTTTTTCAAAAAAAAATTAATGTCAAAAGTATATAAAATATGCATGAAAATATAGCCATACTCCTTTTAGACCTTTTTTTTTTTTTTCCAAGAAAAGGAAATTTGTTTAAAATATTTTTTTTTTTAGTTTTTTAGATCACATTCTTTTTATAGAAATAGTAGTTTATGTATAATGTTTTGGATAGAGTTTATCCATTTAAAGGAGATTATATAATTATCTTAAATTATATTTAAAACAAAACATATATATTAAATACAAACTATACTTTCATATCTATAATGATATTAAATGTTTATGAATTTTATTTATGAGAGTTTTTTTATATATATTTGAGAAAAGTCAAAATTTTATGTACTTTTTCATATATATCTATTTTTCTTTTCAAATAATTATTTATACATATTTAATTGTTAATGTACTTTTTCATATATATCTTTTTTTTCTTTTCAAATAATTATTTATACACATTGAATTGTTAATGTACTTTTTAAATGTAAAGAATTAACCAAAATACTTGCAAAAGTTAAAATTACAAATTTATACGGTTTTAGCCATTGTTCAAATAGTACACTAATTGACAAATTAAGTTCGATAAGACAATTCACATATGACTTTGTTTGGGGTGTAAATTCAAGTCCCATATTGAAAGTTGTGAAGAAAATTACTCACCTTATAACTTTCAAGTGAACTCCATTAGATTGAGGTTTTTTGGAGAATATTCAAAAACAAATCCGTGCGGGCTCAGCCCAAAGCGGACAATATTATACTAGCGAAGTAGACTGGTTGTCATTGGCGTCGGTTGTGGTGGTGAAGAAAATTACACACCTTGTAACTCCTAAGTACGGTCACAAGTTCATCCTACACTAACAGATTGTTTTTTGCAGGTCTATCCAGTTACTATCTTTTTATACTCCATCCGTCCATCCATTTTTTCATTTTAGTCCGTCTAATAACAAAGTATCTATTTTTTTTAGTAACTGTACTATCTATTTAATATTACAAATACCCTTACAACTTACAATATATTACACAAATGTCATTACCTTTGTATCACACACACTAATAAGGTTATTTTGGTCATTTCTACTTTATTCCTATTATATTCTAATATAATACTAATATTTCTAAAACTACGTGTAAAAAACAATGGATACTTATTTGTGGGACGGATAGAGTATTAATATTATATATTTGAGAATATAAAAAATAACAATAACATTAATATTAATGATTAATTAAATGAATGAAGAGAGAAACAATATTGATTAAAATGAAGTGAAAAATTATAAATTATAATAATTTAAATCATAAAGTTAAAATAAAAAGTTATTTTTAAATTTCTAAAAATGATTAACATTTCAAGATAATTTTTTTTTTTCTTTTTAAAGTTATGTAGTATAATTATAAATTTATAATGAATATAAAAATTAAAAATAAATAAAATACACTTAATTTTAATTGGGTCAAATCAATAAAGATTCTACTCATGATTAACAATAAGAAAGGCTGCTTTATTCGTTATATTTTATTATTATGTGTATTGGTGTGAGTATTTCAATAATTTATTTACAAGGTAATTTGGTTGACTGGTCACTTTCTTGTTTAAATTAAATTAAATTTTATTTTTATATATTTTAAAATTGATATTATTAATAAAAAAATTAAAAACATCTTTAAATATCTATTTTATTTAATATTTTATTACCTTAAAAACAATTTAATATCAAAATTAATTCTACAAAACCATTAACCATTAATATAATTGGTGTGAGTCTTTTAAATGTAGGCTTTAATTATTGCAAAGATAGATGTAGGAACCAATAAAGCCTGTACATTTTAAATGTTTTTGGTGTAGTAGGTCTGCTCTTTCTAAATTTTTTTTTTTTTTTTTATATTTCTGTGTCCACCGAAATTAAATCATTTGATTAGGGACACAATCTTTAAGGTAAAAATATTTAATTAATTAATAATAATGAGTTATGATATTATTATATTATTTTTTTTATGTAATTAATAATATTTATAATTTTAAGTAAATTTAATATATATAATTAAAAGATTAAAATATATATTTAAATATTTAATAATTATATAACAATTAAAAAATATATGTAATACGGAAATCATTTAGTAAAAAATAAAATTTTCTATAATATAAGTAAATAAAAAAATATCAATTTTATAAAAAATGTATAGTTTTAAATATGGATAAAAATATTTATTTTTTAAGGAGAGAGATATAAATAAAAAGGGTTTTGAGTGGGTCGCACGTTCATTTATGATGTTGTATATTATGTAGTTAATTAAATTGATTTATATTTGTTAAATATGTTTTGATTTAATAATTTTTACCAAAAATAAAAATATATCCATTTTTACGAGACAAACAAAAATAGAAATAATGTCAATTGTAGTGGGACGGAGTGAGTATATACTATTATTCATTCATCGTACATTTAACAAAAATATATTGTTTTTTTTTAAATTGTAATATTAAATTATTATTTAAATAAAATATATATATACAAAATCCAAAAAATCACAAATTTATTTTCCATATAAAGCATTTTATTCAACCAATATTTTACCCTTAAAAAAAAATAATAAATAAAAAAAAAAAAAAAAGAGGCAGCCATTGAATTGAAAAGTCAAGAGTAGCAGTTGATTAGGTGATTAATTTCATTAAAAATAAATAAGATTAGTTGGTGAGTGTATATATATATATATATATATATGTATTAATTAACAGATGATTTAAGGTTTATTTTGCCGTGTTTGTACAATCTTCTGAATCCAATATTTTTTTATTAAAATAAAATAGTTTATTAATTTGCATATTTTAAAATTTAAAATAAAATAAATACAATATTAGACATAATGCTATATAGAAAATTTCATAAAATTAAATAAAAATCACATGTAACACAATTTGAAGTTTAGATTTGGAAGTCTGGGGATAAAATTGAAGTGTATTATATTTAGAATGAAAAAATAAATTTTATTATATATTGTATATATATATATATATAAATTGAATACACAAATAAAGACATCAATAATACCTTTTTCCTATTTTTTTTTTATTGTTAGTTTGGGGGATTGGATTGGATTTATATTATTCATCCAAATTTTTTCCCTAAAAAATACCAAATCAATACCTATTTTTTATTTTTTATATTATACTAAAAATTAATTTTACATTCAAAACATCACATCAACACTTATTTATATCACATCATACAACAATTCAAATTCAAAATTTTTACTATTCAAATCCCAACTCAAAATTCAAACTCCAAACAAACACACCCTAAGTAATGTCATATAGTTTCTTATAAATATAAATATATATACATATATATATATATTGTATACAGAATATTGTATTCAATAATTATTTCATTATAAAAATTTCTTAAAACAACAAATCCCAAAAATCATTATATGGCGGCATACATTACATATACATATTTATTTATTAATAATACTTCATCTGTATTAATACAATAGTTTTGTTTATCATTTTTGTCCGTCTTAAAACAAGAGTCTTATTACCATAAATAATCATATCACTATAAAACTACTTCTACTTTTTCATTTTTATTACACAATTGTCACTATTTTTTACACTAATACAATCACAAAAGCAAAAAAATCTTTTATCTATATTTTTTTATCAACTATCAATATAATATCAATATTTTTTAAATTTCGTGTCGAAATAATTAAGAGTATAGTTGATGGATATATTACATTAATATTAGATTGAATTATAAGTGTCTTCTGTTGGCCGGGAATCTTAGTCCGTGGACCTGGCCCGCGCACGTGTCAAATTACATCCTAAATAATATAAAGAATTTGTTATTTATTTTTTTATTGTTTAATTTTATTTTTATATTATAAAATTCTCACAGTAATTATTATTTAAATAAATACAAGCAAACATATAATAAATATTTTGATATGTTTTGCAAATGTATTTGGTTAATTGGGAATTTGGTTGTTTATTAAATGCATTTATTTAAATCAAGCTTGTTTTTTTTTTTTTTATTATTTGAAAGTAATTTAAAAAATTTCAATTCGAATATATTTTAAAAAATAAAATATTTATGAGCTTCTATATTGTACTGTATATTATTTTGTTTTAGTGGGCCTACATTATTTTGGAGCTTCCAATTGGGCCTTTCTTTCTTCATAGGCCCATAAATATAAATATTTTTTAGACAACATTTATATATATATTTAATTAAATAAAATAATAAAAGGACAACCACCTTTGTAAACTATTTTTTTGTCAATAATTATAATTATTTTTAAATTGTAATTACAAGCAATTTTATATTTGCATCCCTCCAAAATAAATAACAGTTATTCAAAGTACATATTAGTCGACATTAATAAGCAAAAACACCATATTATTATTTAATAATAAACATTTTTAATAATATAGTGTATATATATATTTAATAACTAATTTGTAGGGTATTATATTCGACAAAAATTGGCCCAATGAACACTTTCGAATAATGGCTACGGATTTTCAAATTATAAAAAATAATAATAATAATAATAATAATAATAATAAAACAAAGCAATAGTCAATAGATATATAACTAAAATACATAAATCAATCATTAAAAAAAAAATTCAAACTAAAACAAGATATCTGACTATTATAAAAATAATACTCTATCCGTCCTAATACAATAGTTTTGTTTACTATTTTTGTCCATCCCAAAACAATAGTCTTATTTTCATAAATAACCATATCACTGTATAACTACCTTTACTTTTTCATTATTATTACACAATTGACAGTACATTTTACATTAATACATTCAGGCAAAAATATCTTTTACCTATATATAAACAAACTAATAATAAAGGTAAGAAAAATCATCATATACAATAAAATAATAATTAGAAATATAAAAATTAATAAAAAACGAACATAATTTAAGTTGGAATGAAATATAAGATTTTTTTTTTAAATCCTTAAAAATTAAAATTAAAATCCCTAATTATTAAAATAAATAAAAAAAAAAAGAAAAGGTCACCCATATTCGCAAATGGACGTCCGGTGGTGCTCTCCGGTCTGACTCTAAAAGTGGCGGCCGGCCGGTGGTATGTTATCCGACTCCGGCAATAACAACACGATCCAATAGTAGACTACAGAAATTGGTGAAGAAAAAAAAAAAAAAAAAAAGAAAATTGATTGAAAATATTAAAGTATTAAAAATTTAAGATTCAAAATCTAAATATCAAACCTCAAAATTTCGAGCGGAATTTGAATTATTGTTTTGAAATTATAAATATTATTAATATTAATAAAAATAGCTTCATAAATTAATTTTATGGAATTTCTAAAAATAAATAAATAAATTTAAATAGACTCTTTTTATAAAATTATATATGTATATACATATACATAAGTTCAAATCTAAATAATTAAATAAATCTAATCTAAAATAATTAAATCTAACAAATATAATCAAATCTAATATAAATCAAATTCAAAAAATATCTCAACAATAATATATAAATTGCTACAAAAATCCCGTATTTATACCCCTCTCTCTTCTTTCTCTCTCTATATACAACGTTCAATTATTATTAACACAACTGTTTTTTTTTTTTATTTTTTATTTTCGTTCGTTATTTTCTTCCTCCGATTTTGGTAAGATGGAGTTTTGCTATCCAAATCATCTTTCTGTCTTAGCATTCGATACTGATCCTCATTCTTTGGCTAATCTTCAAAACATGCTTCAAAAGTGCGAGTATAATGGTAATTTTCACTATGATCTTTTCTTTCTTTCTTTTTTTATTTTTTTTATTTTTTTTTATTTTTATTCTCTTTTAGATTTTTTTCGTGATAAAAATTAATTTGCAAGAGTTTTTTTCGACAGTAACGACTTGCAGTTCGACGCAAGAAGCCATAAACTCTCTGAACCAATTTCGATTCGACTTGGTAGTGTGCGACGCTGACAACGTATCCGACGACGAAGTTTCCGAGCTTCTTGGTCATGTCGATCGACAAAAGGATCTAACTGCAATTTGTAAAGTTCTAGCTCCTTCATTACGTTTTTTTTTTTTCTTTTTTCATGTATTATATATTAAAATAATATTTGATAGATATTTCATTAGAAAAAAAAAATATATTTTTAAAAATACATATAGAATGCAAATAATAAAATTTAGAGAAGTTCGAGAAAAGAAAAAAGAAAAACCTCTAAATTATCATAGTTTAATTTATTTGTATGTCTATTTGCCAAATAATTTCTTAGTTTTTACTAACTTTGTGCTCTTAAAATAAACACTATCTATGTTTCATTATTATTATTATTATTTTTTATAATGCGAAAATTCGCAATCGCTGCTGCACTAGGTAAATTCTGGTTGAATTTAATGATTTTCAAATTAGGTTCGACAAGTCAAATTATTCTAGGTGAACCATGTGTGCCAAGTGACCTGGAGGTGTTGGAGTTTAAATACATGACCTAAACCCAAAGAAAACTCTTTCAGAGTGTGTTTGTTTGGGTTTTGAATTTTGAATTAAGAGTTGAATAATAAAATTTTTGAATAGGAATAGATGTACTACGTGTTGATGTGATATTTTATAATGTAAATTTGATTTTTAGTATAATATAAAAAATATTAAATATATATATATATATATATACATGCAGTGACGACGGCAGAGAGAAAAATAGAAACAACGACGAAGAACCTGAGAGAGCACCATTGTCATTACATAAGCAAGCCGGAGAAGATGAATGACGTCTGGCTCCTATGGCAGTTCGCGCGCAAAAACCGAGAGCAGACAACACACAAGGAGAAGGAAGAATCTGCAGAGGAATTTGGCGCCCCCGCCAATTCTTCGAAGAAGCGAACACAACCGGACACAGAAACCAGCGAAATTTTCGCCGAGCCATGTTTGAAGAAGCCAAGATTCCTTTGGACCGACGAAAGGAAAAAACTGTTTGACGACGCCTACGAAGAGCTTATAAGAAACAACAAGAGTCCGTACTCACGTGTTTATAATCACGTTTATAATCGATCTTAATCAATCTTCCAATTTGATTCTTACTAACTAACAAATTTGAATCCGCAGAACCTACTCCGAAGAACCTGTACGAGATACTGATTAAAATGATGGGAGAAATGGAGATACCATTGACGAGAGAAGTTGTGGCGAGCCATTTGCAGAAGTTTCGAGAAAAGAAAAAGGAGAAAGAAGGTGATCAAGATTTGGTTATGGCGACAGCCAATAATGAGACCATTGTTAGTTCTATTGCGAGGACACGACCACCATTGCATTTGTATTTGCCTTTGCCGTTGGCTCAACAAACAGACAATAGCGACTTCAGAGCAACGGCAAACTCGATGTTTGTCCCCAGCTTAGAACAACCCATGATTACAATGGAGCGGTATCTTGAACTGACAGGGGACAGAATATCGAGGAGCGAAAGCGATGGTGCTCCCGAGTCGAGGTTTAACAATAACAACAACAAAAATAACAATGTGGCTCCTTGGACGAGCCATGTTGCCGGCGCCATACCAAGTAATATGCAAAGTTATCCACTTTCAGAGATGTCCAATGGCCACGCCTACATGAACACCCCTGCGCCAAGTTATCGACCTTTGGAGGCGCACAATGGGCACGCCTGCACGAACATCATTAGGCCAAGTTATTTGCCTTTGCAGGCGCCCAATGGCCACGCCAACATGATCACGACGGCGCCAAGTTATCTGCCATCGGAGGTGCCCAATGGCCACTCCAACATGATCACCACGGCGCCAAGTTATCTGCCTTCGGAGGTGCCCAAGGGCCACTCCAACATGATCACCACGGCGCCAAGTTATCTGCCTTCGGAGGTGCCCAAGGGCCACTCCAACATGATCACCACGGCGCCAAGTTATCTGCCTTCGGAGGTGCCCAAGGGCCACTCCAACATGATCACAACGGCGCCAAGTTATCTGCCTTCGGAGGTGCCTAATGGCCATGCCAACATGATCACGACGGCGCCAAGTTATCCGCTTTTGGAGGTGCCCAATGGCCACGCCAACATGATCACCACGGCGCCAAGTTATTTGCCTTCGGAGTTGCCCAATGGCCATGCAAACATGATCTTCATGGCGCCAATGTATCAGACTTCGGAGGCGCCCAATGGTCACGCTTACAGGAACACGGCGCCGATTTCAGAAGCCCCGAATGGCCATGGCGACATGAATACCACCACGCCTTCTTCTCATACTCAATAGATGTTTTGGTTTAGAAGATGAAAGAAATTGCTTGTAGATTGTTCACTGATTTTTGTTAGTTTTTCAAAATTTGTCATAATTTATTTACAGTAATTTTTGAAATATATATATATATATATGTATAGTACAAAACTGAAATTCAGACCAGTGTGGTAGATGACAATTACCAACATGAAAAATCGAAAGAACCTCTTCATCTTCTTTCTTCAAGTTTGCAACCTAAAGAGATCTTTTTTCAGTTAGTGAAGCTTCTTTCATTTCGAAACAATGACATTAAAATGGCTCTTGTAGAGTTTCTTAACTCCCGACTCACTTGGATTTTTCTTTCGATTCTTTTTTAGTATCTTCTTGCGTCGAATCAGTTTCCGAATTCAAGAATGTAATCTTCCCAAACGACTCCTTAGCATCCCCGAAGAAGTCCTTCACTTTGTCGACAACTGTTTTGAGCTCATCCTTTTGAGGGAGCTGAAGAATCGAAAGAAAAACATATCAACAAGAACTCGGGATTTCCCATAACATTCGAACTTTTTATCATCAATTTATTCACTACCTCGATTACATCATTCGCAGCTAGCGCAGCCCTCAAGTTGCTGTTTTCCTACAGCACAAAAACAATGTAAGAACGCGAAAAGATCACACGCGGGTAAAAAATTTCTTCATCAAGAAATAAAACACAAAAGGATGATAATCGAAGCATTACGACAAGTTTGTAGCCATAACGAAACTCTGTAGCAGAACGCAGCGGGCGAAACTGCTTCATCGCCATTTTCTGTAGTTCCTTCTCGTCCTGCTCCAAATCAAAGATTTTGTCGTCATTTGAATTCACCATAAGCACAATAAAACCTAAAAAAGTAACATCAACAACCCAATAGACTTACACCCGCCACTTGGCAGTACTAAATTACCTTTTCGATATAAATTACAAGCTCCATTCTCAACCACAATGCAATAATCTAGTCGATACAATTTATCTTGAAGCATAAATCAAAAATTTTGTCGTCATTTGAATTAACCGGAAGAACAATAAAATCTATAAAAGTAACCATCAACAACCGAATAGACTTACACCTGCCAATTCCATTTTCAATACAAATTACAAGCTCCATTCTCAATCACAATGCAATAATCTAGTCGATACAATTTATCTTGAAGCATAAATCAAAGATTTCGCCGTCATTTGAATTCACCGTAAGAACAATAAAATCTAAAAAAGTAACCATCAACAACCGAATAGATTTACACCCACAAATTACAAGCTCCAATCTCAACTACAATGCAATAATCTACACAATACAATCCATCTTGAAGCATAAATTCACGCATCTTATGTACAAAATGAGCTGGTTTCAAATTCATTTTCGATTCAAAGAACTACATGTTTACTACAAATCCCATCAGTTACGTAAGAACACAAAAGCTTAAGATGATATGAGATCAAAATTAGGTAAAATCAATAACATGAAAATCCCCAAAAATATCAAGAAAAACTTGTGAAACAGAGTATAATCATCACTCACTTTATAAATAACAGCTGCGAGATTCCTGGCCAGTGTGTCTTTGTAAATATATTTCCCCAGAAAATTATCCTTTGCAGCCACCATGATCTTCGCCGTCGTGCCGCCGGTGACGATATTAAGCGGGTACCAAAGATAAACCTGAGCAAGCAAGCCATTAGAGTTATACAGAGAGAGAATTATAGAGAGAGAGTTATATATAGAGAGAGAGAACAAACATTGGCCATGCGGATGAAGATGACAAACTTAGGGTTTCCATCGTCTTCAAGCTTGGGGAGAGGAGGAGGAGGGGCTCTCTGGTACTGCCTGGAGGCCATTCCTTTCTTTCCCTTGGCTTCAACAACCATCGATTTGCGCCGCGTCTGCTGCTGCAATCCCTTCGCTTTTGAAGAAGATAAAAATGAGTGTCTGATGAGGGGAATCCCACCTCCTCCATGAGTTCCACCGTTCGATAAGGGCAGCCTCACTAGTGGATTCAGCGACGACATGCTTACCTCCATCTCTGCTTCGAGCAATATCTAATGCAGTAATTCTCAGAGATTCTTGATTCTGATGATGGGGGTAGGTTGATTGCTGTTCTGCACGCCCCCTTGGCTTAACCTTATCCACAAATGTTTTTTTTTATAGTTTTGCGTTTTCTTCTGGCTCATAGAACTTGATCCCAAAGCCAATTATGCCCACAACTTTCGAAGGGTCATTTCTTAGCCTGAAAAATGGAAAAAAAAATCACATTTTTTTGCATATATTTGAACTTTTCACAGTTTTACCGATCTACAGTTGAAGACAGAAGAGGCAGTTATAATGAAAGGGCCAACGAAGAGGATAATTTGTTAGGTCATAACCAGAGCTATTATACGAATTGAGCCCTTCTTAAACTCGGCTTGGTTTGGCTCTCGAATATTAACAAGTTGAACCTAACAGCATAAACAGACTTGTTTAATTAGCGAACGACTCCAACTTTGTCCGCGAATGTTAGTTAAAATAATATTATATTTATAACGAGCTTAATCGAATGTAATCAAATCAAATACAAACACGAGCTCAAACAATAAATATTCTTAACGAGCCGAATTCAACACTGCAAACGAACTCTAAAGCTTAACGAATGAACACGAGTCTTATTCACAAACGCTAACGAACGAATACAACCACTTAAAATTTTGCTCGGCTTGACTCATTAACCACTCTTGTTATAACCATGAGATTATAGGTTCAAACATTGACATTTTCGGATTTTACCTGTCATGCATCGTTCGCACAGCTGTTATAAAGAAAATGGCACAAGAACAAACAAACTCGGAAATTCTAACTTTTTATTCCCCAGTTTATGGAAACAAACAGAGAGCTTGCAAGCCACAAATGGCCAAGAACAATAGAATTTTTTCCAGTCATATTGAGGTACTAACACGAAATTACATAAAAGAGCAACGTGAACAAAACATGACAAATTTCATACCATTAGTTTGGTGAATAATTCCACCCGTACGACAAGAATTAAAAAAACATCAGCTCGTTCAGGCCTGAACTAATCAACATAATAAAATGTGCACTTTGTTCCATATTTTCATCTATAAAAGGGGAAAGCTTCAGTTTACGACAACTGCGATCCCGTCCCAAGTTTTGGATAAAGTTTTCATGGAAACTCAACCTTATTATATACTCCATTACAAAAAAGATCCACTCTTATGCAGGCACAGCTTGTTTCTGCCCGGAATCCTCGGCTTGCAAGCTCTTATAGTATCTAACCAAGACATCCCATCCACTAGGACACATGAAACCATCCGGAGGATTTTCGCCACTTCTTGCATAAGCTCGCATCTACACAAGTCCGTGTGAATATATCAAGCAAAAGCGTATAAAGATTTGGCGAAAGAAAAGTAAATATTGAAGAAAGTAGGACATTGTCAGACATTTTTTCTGAAGTGAATTAATAATTGATAAAGAACGGAAGTAGCCATATGTTGCAGAAAGTGATGCAATCGTAGAGCCATCAAAGGATAAAAATGCAACATAAATTTTGGTGTTAGTAATGACGCTATTGTAGATGATGTTTTAGTTTTCATTTTAAATATTTGCATGTTAAATACTAGGCATTTACAAGATTGTTGTCTTACCTTGGTGCCGGAGATAAAGAGAAAATCTTTAGCACGAGATGGATCAAAAAATGCCATCTTATTTACAGTAGTGTCGTAGGCAGCAACCTGTGATCAAGAAAGTTAGAGATACCTATACGGCACATCTTATAATTTAAATGTGTAGAAGATAAAGGGTACGGAAACCCACTCTGAATGGCAAAATGTTCAACTTCTCAAGACCCGGCGCCATGCTTAGCACCTTCTTGCCGTGATCCGGATTGTACAGGTCCCTCTTCTCCGTTGGGTGACCCATCCCAGCTGGATCGCGCCCCACAATGTAGAAATTAGCACCTGCATTTATACGCGCCTTTGCATGCCACTGGACTTCAGTCGGTCCCGCATAATGCATAGGCGAGGGAAAAATCGCCACAATGGTTGTTTCCGGATCAAGAACACCGTCTTCCAATACCTTTATTGTAACGATAACTTTAGTTTAACATACAATTGGCACACACGGAAAAAGAAGTTGAAAAAGATATAAATACCTTGCTGTGTTGCTCCATCCGAACATCAAGTGGGACATCGTCAGCCTTTATGAAACCTCCTAGAGGATGGAGCAGAAGAATTGGATTCTTGAAACCCATTTCCAGAAGTCTCCTGCGAGTATCATTCATGAGCAAGGCGTGGCCATTGTGCACTGGGTTTCTCAGCTGGAAAGCAAAGACTGCATCTGCCTGGCGTTTATCGAATTCTTTGCGCAGCTGCTGTGGAGAGAGCCTGTAGTGGTCGAGGCCATCATTGTATTTGATGGGCTTCAGCACTTCCAGATCCCCGCCAATTAGCCAATTACCAGCTGGTGTAATTACCTCCTCCACATATGGTAACCCTGGAGCTATGGTTCCCCATGTTCTAGCAATTCTTTCTTCCTTGTTGTGATTGTATATTTCGATCCTACCAGTAAAACAGCTAATTTAGAGAAGCATACATGTAAAACATAAGCTTTTCGTAGTAGATGCTACTAACTTATTGCACAATCTGATCGATGCTTATCTCACGCATAAGATAAACAAGATCTCAGAGAATAAATACATCAGAAACTAATCAGGCCCGAAAATGCGACCACTTGTTTCAATCTATTAGCACAATCAGAGTGTTTCAACTAACACAAAAACCTTGTGAATGAGCTTCATCTTTCTCAAAATCTGTCACTCTTACAAATATCGTACAACAAAGGAAGTTCTTACATCAATCCAAATCTGTCGTCTTCATTTTGGAAAATTCATTGAGCTTGAAACTACATCAATAAATCACCATCCGCATCATCGACAGACAAACTTATATCAAGGGTACAATCAAAATTGTCACCCCATGAAAGCATCAAGGTCGATTTACATAAAATACCTATGTTCTTCATAAAAAACACCAGCACAGATTTTCCCAACCTATTGGCAATTCGAACTTAATACATATATATATATATATATATAAGTGCCAAGTGTGTTTACCAATCCCCAAATACTCCATAAACAACTAAAATATATATCAAGTCAACTGTGTCAGTTCCATAGGAAGTAAATTAAGTTTGGCAGTCAGGAAACTGATTTCAATCCCTAATACAGATAATTCCATTCCATAAGCTGCATAATTATAAGGACTGATATCCACCATATACATACACTAATGCCTAATATTATAATCAGAGATTAAACAAACAAGAACAACAGTCACCATCACCATCACCATATATATATATATATATATATATAAAACACGATTCAAACCTTAGAAGACTGGAAATAAGCAATCGAACCTGCTAAGAATGGCTACCAAATCACCATCAGGCCCAGACAAAGCCACGCTATCAGAACCCCCAATTCTGGCCTTATCCTCATCATCAATGGCCAACACAATCGGCAGCGACATGTTGACGAGGCTCCCATCCTTCGTCCTCAAGCAATTGAAATGCAAACTCTGCAGATACTCGTCCTCCCTCATGAACCCCTTCAGCGGACTCGCCCAACCCTCGCTCAACACGTGCACCCACTCGAGATCGACGGCGGTAAGCCTCACTCTCGGCAATGCCTCCGCCTCTGACATTTTCAAACCCCTTTTCGCCTCTGGAACCACCAGATCCACCAGCGAACCGCCGTCCGGCTCGATCAAAGAGCTCCTCACCGTCAGAGAAGCACTCCCCGGCCCCGCCCCGGCACGAGACGTCGACAACGGCACCATCGCCTTGAACACCAAAGGATTGGAACAGTACGTGGGCTTGAAACTAAATTTGGCTCCCCAATTGCCCTTCCTGATTGAATGGGCCTGTGTTGTTGATGCAGCAGAAGAAGCAGCAGCAACAGTGGTAGTGCTCACGAGCTGTAGCCTAACGGTCAAGGCCATTTTGTGAATTAAACAAAATTAGGTTCAATTTTGGGACTCCGCGGGTGAAAGGATGCGAGAAATATTTATTGGCTAAAAGAGAAGAGAAGAGTACAGCGCAGCAGAGACTTGGATGGCGACTCCGGATACGGGAGAGAAGACGACAGGACGCGACACTGTAGTGGCTGTGAGCGTGTCATTCGGAATCTGAGATGACGCTGCCGCGAGAAAACGCATCCACAAGTTCCATTTGGCCGCACCTCCACACCTTCAATGGCTGCCCACTCGACTTTCCTTTGATGGCTTTTCCAAGCGACACGAATCCCCAAATAATTGCTGAAAAGAACGAAAGAATATGCATATGTAAATATATAAAGTATATTAAAAAGAACATATGTACCCCTTCTGTCACATTTTTGTTTATCCAATATAACATTTATTTTTTTATATTTAATATTAAAAATATGTTTATATTTATATAATTTTTTGTGCAATTATTCTTCTATTAGTATTATAAGATACTAATTCAAGTATTTTTCTTTTTCAACGTAACATAATAAAGTAAGTTTTTTTGTAATTTTTTTTAATTTGTACAACATTTTGTTTTGATATAATAATTAATATTAAAAAACAACACACAAAAAGTAAATGTCACCTTAGAGACAGAGGGAGGTAATATTTTATTTTGAGTACAATTTACTAAATAAAAGTATATAAATATAAATTTAATTAATTAACTATATAATAATATCAACTATGTAACATCATCATTTATGACTTATTAAAAAAAAATGTAGAAAATATTATTATCTATTGATATTCATATTACATATATTTTTTATTATGATATAATTTTAAAAAAATTTAAATATATATCCTATTTTTTTTAATTATATATATTAAATTTATTAATATTATTAATTATATAAAAATAATAACAAAAATAATATCATAATCACTATTATTAACTAATTAAATAATATTACATTAAATATAGTGTCACTAATTATCAAAAAAATATAATATATATATATATTTTATTCTTTTTAAAAAAATGATAATTTTAAAAATATACTCATTCTTTCCTTTTTTAATAGAATTTTTTTTTCATAACGAATGACATATTTATATTTTAAATAAAATTTATTAAATCAAAATATAATTAAAATTTCACATTTTTATAAAAAATTAATTTATGTTATTTATATATAATAAAATGTATTTTTTTATTTACTTATATTGTATGAATTAGTTTCTCTATAAATATTCATATTTTATATATTTTTTATTATTATATAATATTTAAATATATATTCTAATTTTTTAAATCATATTATATTAAATTTATTTTAATACTATCAATATTATTAATCACATAAAAAATAATAAAATAAAATCATAATTCATTATCATTAACTAATTAAATATTAAATCATAATAAAAAATATAAATATAAATATTATTTTATATTATACAAATAAATTTAAAATTATTTATTTATTTATTTATAATTAATATAAATTAATTTAGAGTTCTAAATATGATTAAGAAAAGAGACCTAATAAATGAGTTTTTAATAGTTTCTACGTCATGATGTATGATGGTTATAAAATTAATTAAGTTTTTATATCTTTTAAATATATTTTAAATTAATAATAATTACCAAATTTAAAAATATATTATTTATTATAAAACATATTAAAATTAAAAGATATTATTTTCTATGAAATAAAAATATAATTTTTAAAATAATAAAAAATGTATATTCTTTTTTTTATAATAATATATATTAATTTTTATTTAAAATTATTAATGATACATATTAAATAAAAAGATAATATAATAATATAATATTATTAACTGATTAAACATTCATATCCTTGATAATAAATAACTCTAACGAGGCTTGTTGGGCCTCTTCATGGACTCCTATCTATTTAGCCCAAATATTTCAAATATTTTTTATAACCCAAATGTCTTGTTAGCCATGTTCTATTAAATCTTTTAAATAATATTGGTTTATTTAGTTTTCTTTCTCCTCTCCCTATTTTGTTATTAAAAATTTAATTTTTAAAAAATCATTCTTAGTATTTGTTTTTATTTAATATAGTACTCCCTTCATCCGGAAGATGGAACTTTTTGTTAGGAACACGGTATTTTAGACAGTATAGGTTATTAAGTTATTAATAATAAATTAAGATAATATTTTATTATTTTTTTATATATGTAATGTTGTTGGTATTTTAAATATTTTTACAATTATATATAAACTATATGCAATATGGATATCATTTTTTAACAATAAAATTTTATATAATACAAATGAATAAAAAAATATATTTATTTATTATTATTATCATAAATTAGTTTTATAAAAAATGAGGAGTTTTAAAAGTAGATAAAAATATTTGTTAATTGAGAAGATATATAGAAATAAAGAGATTTTGAGTAGGTCTACGTGTGGTGTTAAAAGCTTAATTAAATTGATTTATATTTATTAAGTATATTTAAAATTGATAAATTTGCCAAAAATAAAAATGAATCATCTTTTACGAAATATACCAAAAAGAATAGGAAGTATATGTTTTTTAAAATATTAATTCAAAAAAATTTACTATTCAATTCACATTGAAATACCAAACAAATCTTATAATTATTCTTACCTTTATAACACCATTTTATTTAAAATACATATAATATTATATTTATTATATTCCCTCCGTCCCATAAAGAAATATTCATTTGTTTTTAGTATGTAATTTTAAAAATATTAGTATTATATTGAGATATAATAGAAATAAAATAGAAATGACTAAAATAACCTTATTAGTATGTGTTATATAAAAGTAATGTTATTTGTGTAATATATTGTAAGTTGTAAGTGAATTTGTAATGTTATGTAGACAATACAGTTACTAAAAAAGAAAATGGATACTTTGTTATGGGTAAGACTAAAATGAAAAAATAGATACTTTGTTATGGGACAGACGAAGTATAAATTTATACTCTTTGCTAAAAATAAATATACCTATTAGCTCTAGATTTTAATTTTTACATATTTATATTTTAGAATGAAATATTAGTTTGTTTATTTTGTACTTTTTTTGATAGATGTATATTCAATCGTTATATATTTAACAAATTATGTTGACAATATAAAAATAATATATTTTTTTTAATTTTTGAAATTTTAAGTGGATAAAATTTATGTATCATATATATATTAGGTTAATGTATATATATATAATATTTTCAATGATATTTGTAAAAGATTATATCATAAGAAAAAAAAAATATTTAATGAACAAATTTATTATATTAGCATAAAATGTAGTACATATAGATTGTTACATTTGGACTAAACAATATTTTACTCATGCTAACACAAGAAAAAATTATTCAATTAGGGTGTGTTTGTTTGGGGATTGGATTTTAAATCCGCTATTCATCGTATTTTTCCTCCCCAAGAACATCAAATCAAATGCCTATTTTTTATTTTTTTTATATTATACTAAAAATCAATTTTACATTCAGAACATCACATCAACACCTATTTATATCCTATTATACAATTATTCAAATTCAAAATTTTTACTATTCAAATCACAATTTAAAATCTAAACCCCAAACAAACACACCCTAAATAGAATATAAGGTATGTTTGTATAATTTTTAATGATAAATTGTATTTTAAAAAAATACAATAAAAGATTATATTTAAATAAAGAAGATGATAAAAGTTATAAATATTTAAAGTTTAAAAAATGATATAGGATTAGAGACCAGTGTAATAGTCTAATCATCTAATAGTCTACTCCCTCGGTCCCAATACAATAGTCTTGTTTATTATTTTTGTCTGTTCCAAAACAACAGTCTTATTTCCATAAATAATTATATCATCGTAAAACTATCCCAATTTTTTTATTATTATTATACGATTGTCACTACTTTTTACACTAATATACTCATAAAGACAAAAAAAAATCATTTATTCTTATCAATATTTCTTAAATTTTGTATCAAATACAGTAAGACCATATTTTTGGGACAAAAAAAATATTATTTTTACTATTAAATATTTCCAAACTTTTGGGACTTTTCTTCCTTTGTATCTATTTATTATTATTATTATTATAAAAAATGATGAGACTGACATAAAATATAATATTTGATTGCATTATTATTATTATTATTATTGGGAAGGCATAAATGTATATTTTAAAATGATTGACAGCAAGCCATCTTTGAAAAGCATATTAAATCACGTGGATTGCATTTTGTTCCATTATAATAAAAGAACATATACTAACATATAGGAAAAATATAAAATAAATAAGTAATAAATAAAAGATCTTATAACTTTAATTAAAATCCTGAAAAAGTCTATAAATTATGTGGGGGAAAGAACCAAGAATTAAATTTATTTACTCAATTCCGTCTCATCGAATAGTTGTTATTTTCCATTTTCGTTCGCTCCAAAATAAGATTATTATTTCCTAATTTAGTAATTTTACTGCATATCTAACATAATAAATACTCTTCTAATTTCACTATATTACACAAAATATCATTATTTTTATATTAGACAATACTAACAGGAGTATTTTCGTCTTTTTACTACAATCCATTATAATACTAATATTCAAAAATTTATGTGCAAAAAGTAAACGATAACCTTGCATCGGGACGAAAGAAATATTTATTTTTAAAAATCAATATTTTTTAGTATTCACTTTATTATTTTCTTTTGAAAATTACTTTTATTCTCTCTTTTTATTTTACTATATAGTATATACTTCCACCGTTTAAGGTTTTTATGCCATTGTTTTTTCACACTTATTAAGGAATTACATATTAGAAAAATAATTATTTTGAATTTCATTGATTTGATAATTGATGAAATGAATTATATTTAGGAATTTAAGTATTAATAGATTTTATTAATTTTTTATTTTATATAAAAAAATAATATATTTAAGTGGATAGTCAAAAAATAAATAAAAAATGATATAATTTTGCGGAACAAAAAGAGTATTTTATATATATATATATATATAATAGCTATTCAAAAGTTATTTTATATTCTTCCCATCCACTAAAATTATATGTTGTTCCTCTTTTAGTCGTCCATTAAACTTGCAAAATTTATTTATAATAAATAATTTTATTTTTTCATAATTTTATTCTTTTTTAACAAATAATAATTGATTTGTTATTATTTTTTTTACTTACCTCATTATTTTTTTTATCAAATATTTAATAACTTTTCTATAATACTTCTATTTTACATTTCAATATTAAAATATTTTTTATTTATGTGTCTAATCAAACTTATATAATTTATTCGTACAAACTCAAATTTTATATATTTACGAATAAATATGAAGTTTTGAATATATATATATATATATGGCTATTGAAAAAAGAGATGAAAAAATAAATTTGAATAAATTTTAAGTAGATCATGTGTGATGTAATATTTTGAAAAAATAAAAAATGGTTGTTATTGCATGTTATTCGTTACTATTATCTAAAATTTGTTTGATCATTTATTAATTTGTTTGGCCAAGTCTCGTATTAATTAGTGGAGTTTTTGTGATTTTTTGTTTTTATTTCAAATCAAAATTAATACTTGCTCCATCAAAATTAACTGTGAGGTCATGAGTTCAAACTCCAACGTTTACAAGTTCATCTGCCACACACATGGTTCGTCTAGTGTGACTTGTTTTGTCGGACTTAGTTTGCTAGGTACTAGGTTCAACCGAAGATTTACCCGGTCACACTAAAAATGCTAGTGATTAAAGAAAATTCTTATTTTTTAGGGTAAACTGTATTTTTAGTCCTGTAACTAGACCCCCTTATCATTTTAGTCCAATAAGTGGAGCCTGTCGCAAACTAGTCTCATAAATGAAGAATTTTCGCTGTTTTAGTCCTCCGGCGCCGGAGACGCCCGCGTGGCTCGCCGGAGGTGACGTGTCCGCCAAATCAGCGACACCTGGCGGACACGTGGATTTATTTATTTTTTTTCATTTTTCTAATTTTTTTAAAAACTTATTTTTAATTTATTTTAAATTTTATTTGTATTTTTTTATTTGGTCCAATTAAAAAAAAATATTTAAAAATATTTTAAAAATTGAAAAAAAAATAATAAATTCACGTGTCCGCCAGATGTCGCTGACCTGGCGGATACGTTACCTCCGGCGAGCCACGCGGGCGTCTCCGGTGCTGGAGGACTAAAATAGCGAAAATTTTTCACTTATGAGACTAGTTTGCGACAGACTCCACTTACTGGACTAAAATGATAAGGGGGTCCAGTTACGGGACTAAAAAAACAGTTTACCCTATTTTTTTATTTATTTTAAATATTATATCAAACACAATTTTTTTTATAATCAAATTATATATTTCATATTTATTTTATATCTAAGTGTTGGATTTGTTTGTTTAGTGTTTTGATTTTTTCTTTAAAAAAATTACAAAAAAAATAGAAAATTGTATTGATAATATAAAAAAAATGATAATTTATATTGAATATTGATTTTTGTAAAAAATTGAAAATCGTATCAGCAAAAAATAGGTGGACAAACAAACCCATTATTATTTTAAAATAATTCAAATGTACATGTTTGGATTTTATTTTATTTTATTTTTTTTATGCCGTGGGAATCCGCAATCGCTATTTGAAAATATTGGATCATAGTTTGGAGTTGAAAATAACATTTGAATTGAATAAGTATTTAATATAATATAAATAATATTTATTTAACATATTATTTTTTTCAAGCTTAATGTATCTTATTATTATTGTTATTATTTTTGTATATTTCACTTTAAAAAAATATTTTTTATTATAATAAAAATATTCATATATAAATATCAAAATATTTTTAATTTTTATAAAAATATTTACTTTTTATTTACAACAATAAAAAATAGTAAAATTATCTTACATATTTTCATTAACAAATAAAATACTAGAATTATTTCTTTTTTCTAATATAAAAATATAAATGAATACATTGAGTTGGAATTGATTAAATTTAAAATTAATTTTAATATAATAAAAATAAATATTTCATTTAATATTTTCAAAATAAATAATTAAAAACACACTTTAAAGCATTTGTTTCCTCTAAACGTTTGATATATTTAAAATTTTATGTGTAAGATTTAACATTATTGTTATAATATTGATTCAAATCTTAATGATATTTAGGAGATGGTTATATATTTAAATGGCAAGTTGTGAGAAATCTTCAATGATTTGAATTAAGACTCCTTTTCCTTTCATATTTAAATAATTTCTAAAGTAGTTTGACTAAATTTACGAGATAAAGATGCATTCTTTTTATATATTATATCTTTTCCGCCTCGGCAAATATGAGTTTTTGGTCATGGATACTAGGGGTGTCGAAAGTAAATTCGACCCGAAAAATCGAACCCGTTCGACCTGAAATTTTTCAGGTTCGGATTTGGATATTTTGGGTTTGGGTATTTCGGGTTTGAAAAAATTCGGGTCGATCCAAACCTGAAATGAAAAAAATTCGTGTCGTGTTCGGATCGTGTTTCGAGTTGACCTGATAACCTGAAATATAAAAATCAAGTTAGTTTTTGGGTTTCGTGTTTTGGGTTGACATGAATTTTTTTTATTATTATTTTAATTTATAATATTTATATTATTTTAAATATAAATTAATATAAAAATTAAAATAAAAATTATATTTTTTAGGTCAATTTAATTTTTTAAAATTTTCGGGTCTGTTTGGTGTCGGGTTTGTTCGGGTTTCGGGTGACCTGAAACTAATTCAGGTCAACCTGAACCCGACCTGAAAGAATTCGTGTCGTATTCGGGTCTAGGGTTTTAGGTCAGATTTCGGGTTCGGGTTGACAGTTTTTTTGTTATTCCCATGGCTCAACCCGACACGAACACGACCCAAAAACACGAATTGACACCCCTAATGGACACTGTATTTTAGAAATTTTTATTTAAATTACAAATATATCATTATTATATAATTATTTTTTATTATAAATATATCAAAATTTATAATAAACTTACACTGATCAACAATAAAAATACTGTTATTTTTTAATCTATTATCAAACCTCACATAGACACGTTAGAGTGGGACAGAGGAGTATTTATTTTTGGACGAATGAAGTACATAGAATATCTATTAGCAATTCAAAATACTTCATCCGTCTCATAACTAGGTATCCATTGGGATTTAGTAGGAGTAAAATAGAAATTAATAAAATAACGTTATTAGTATTGTGTGATATAAAAGTAATGACATTTGTGTAATATATTGTAAGTTGTAAAGATATTTGCAATGTCATGTATATAGTACAGTTAGTAAAAAATAAAATAAATATTTTGTTATAAAACGGACTGAAATGAAAAAATTGGATAGTTTGTTAGGGACAGAGGGAGTATCATATCTAGCTTCAATTTGTATTACATTAAAATTTTGTATTTTATTTTAGTTATTTTTACTTTATTCCTACTCTATCTCAATATAATACTTATATTTTTAAAATTATATGCAAAAAGCAAATGGATATTTACTTATGGGACAGAGGGAGTACTATATTGTAAATTGAAAGAGTATTTATAATGTTAGATATACCGTGCAATTACGACGGACCAAAATAAAAAAAATAGATATTTAGTTAAGGGTAAAATGAGTATTATACTAAAATTTTTAAACTTTTTTGTTTTTAATTTGTAAAAATTAAAAAGAAAATTAAAAACGTAACAGTTGTTCAATTTTAGTAATAAAATTACAGATTTACCGTACAATAACGATAATACAGACAAGTATATCTGATGCTAAAAATGAAAATTCAATTCCGATTAAAAAAAAGAAAAATGAAAATTCAATTCCGAACGAAGGAGGAAACTCACCCGAGACGAAAACCGAACCATTCTCGTCAACAAACAACAACGACGAAGAACAGTCCAGTACAAACAACGTTTCGTTTTATTGGATTTCATGACAACCAGATTGGATGTTTCCGCTCTTTCTCCTCGTAATAATCCTTTCTTCTCCGGCAATCGTCTGTAAGAATTTTTTCAGAATTTATATTTTTGTGTAGTTTTGGCCTGGTCTGAAGCTCAGCTGAAGCTTGCTGCTTCCATGGTTTTGGGGGGATCTTCCGTAGCTGATTTCGAGGTTCAATTTTGATGGAAAGAACTTTATTATTTGATTTTGATTTTTGTGATTTGTAGAAAAGGATTTCGATTGTTCGTTGACAAAATTTGGGGATTTTCGATTGATTCCGGAGAATATTAGGGCTTTGGAATTTTATTACAATTCATTTGTTGAAAACATGATCAAGAGGATATTCGGTAAGAAAAACAACAAGCAACAGCAGAAGAAGAAGAAGAGCGAAGGAGGAAACAGAAGATTCAACAATGGAGGTAACGAAGAAGCTGGAAAGAATTCGACAGAGAAGTTATTTCAAGATCATAGGATCATCAATGGAACCTTATCTGCCTCTCCTTCCTCGTACGAACTGCTGCCAAGTCTTAAGAATGCTCCATTTTCGGACAAGGAATCTTTGTTCATCCGCAAGCTGAAGATGTGCTGCGTCGCATTCGATTTTTCGGATCCGTCGAAGGATGTAAGAGGGAAAGAGATGAAAGAGCAGACATTGATCGAGCTAGTCGAATTCGTGTCGCGTTCGGATTTTGAATTGTCCGAAACCGCCAAAAACGAGGCGGTCCGGATGGTGTCCGCCAACATTTTCCGCGAGTTCCACCCGCAGCTGCGGGCCGAAAAGCCCGTTGACGGTGTCGATTTGGACGAGGAAGAGCCCGCGGCCGATCCCGCATGGCCTCACCTCGAATTCGTATACGAATTCTTCCTACGGTTTGTCACGTCAGCTGAACTTGCCACAATCGATCGAACCTTCGTTCTCAAGCTCCTCGATTTATTCGACTCCGAAGATCCGCGGGAGCGCGATTATTTGAAGACGATATTGCACCGCGTCTACGGGAAGTTCATGCCGCACCGGCCCTTCATCCGGAAGGCGATCAACGACGTGTTCTACGACTTCGTGTACGAGTCCGAGAAGCACAACGGTGTCGCGGAGTTCCTCGAGGTTCTCGGGAGCATAATCAATGGCTTCTCGTTGCCGCTTAAGGAAGAGCACAAGTTATTCCTAGACCGGACTTTGATGCCGTTGCACAAACCGAAGGGTTTGGCGACGTACCATCAACCACTGTCGTATTGCGTTCTTCAGTTCGTCGAGAAAGACGGGAAGCTCGCTGACATCATCCTCCGTCGCCTCGTTAAATACTGGCCTGTCGCCAATAGCTCGAAGCAAGTCCTGTTTCTTAACGAGGTCGAGGAAGTCTTAGAAATGACGCAGCCCGCGGAGTTCCAACGATGCATGGTGCCGTTGTTTCGGCAAATCTCCCGATGCTTGAGCAGCTTGCACTTTCAGGTACTATACTGTTAAATGATCATCTCATCTGAAAGTTTAAATTTTTAAATATATTTTTTTTGTGCGATAGGTTGCCGAGAGGGCGTTGCTATTGTGGAGCAACGAGCGCGTCGAGAACATGATCAAGATCAATCGGAAGGTGATTCTCCCGATCGTTTTTCCGTCGTTGGAGAGAAATGCGAGGCAGCATTGGAACCATGCTGTCCACGGGTTGTCTCTTAATGCGAGGAGGATTTTTCAGGAACTCGACCCCGATCTTTTTGGCGCGTGCCGAATGAAGTTTCAGGAAGACGAGGCGAGAGAAGGTGGGATCAGGGAGAAGCGCGAGACGATGTGGAGACGGGTCGAAGAACTTGCGAAAAATCGAGTCGAGTTATGAACAACTAAGTAGTCGAGCCCTGTTGCTAGAACAGGGCCGGGCTGGGATGGCTCCGCTGTTTTTTCATCTGTCGTGTGTCGAATTTAATTTAAATTTTTTTTTTTATATATATAACTTGGAAAATCTACAGTCGCTACTTTCGACCAAACAAATTTACATTTAATTTTGGAATTTCATGAAATCCAATGTGGTAAGTACCTTTTTATTTAAAATTTTTTCACGGACACAACTTTCAATATATATTTTATTATTTTACAAAAATTCAACATTTAACATTAACTATTATTCTTTTATATCAGTAGTATATGTAATTTCTTGTATAGACGTTTTTTTTTTTTTTTTTTTTTTTTTATCATTTAAAATTAAAGTTAACACTATTCATTTAACATAGTTTTCAATAAAAATATATTCTCTCCGTTCAAAATACAATAGTTTTGTTTACTATTTTTGTTCGTTCCAAAACAATAATCTTATTTCTATAAATAATCATATCACAATAAAACTATATTTACTTTTTTATTTTTATTGCACAATTGTCACTACTTTTCATACTAATACAGTCACAAGGGCAAAAAAATCTTTTATCTATATTTTTTACCAACTACCGATATAATATCAATATTCCTTAAATCATGTATGCAACCCAACCCAATGTATGCAACCCAACCCAGGAAGTAATATTTTCTCTTACAAAATATCACATAAAAAATACTACCATTTCAAATCAAACTCAAACCATAACCAAACAAACCCACAAAAATAAAAAAATAATAAACAAATAAACTAAAACACTAAACAAACATGATTTATTCAGTAAATTGTAAAATACTCCCTCCGTCTCATAACAAAGTATCAATTTTTTCATTTTAGTCCGTCCCATAATAAAGTATCAATTTCTTTTTTTTTTTTTTAAGTAACTGTACTATTTACCCAACATTACAAATATCCTTACAACTTACAATATATTACACAAATGTCATTACCTTTATATAAAACATACTAACAATGTTATTTTAGTCATTTCTACATTATTCTTATTATATCACAATATAATACTAATATTTTTAAAACTACGTGAAAAAAACAAATAGATCCTTCTTTCTGGGACGGACGGAGGCAGTATAAAATATCATCTCATGATTTCAATTAATATAAATTGTGTTGTTGATTTGCTATATGTTATCCTAATGAGCACCTTAATCATTTCAATTTTTATAACATGCATGCTACTAAGAATATATTTTATATAATACATATATTTATATTGCAATAAAAATCACATTTGATCTTATTACAAACAAGATTAATTTTGTTACCATATTTTATTTTATTAAAAAGAAAAAAACAATCATGTTTGGTTGGCATCATTAAAATTTTCAACTTAACATGGCAACGTTACAGTCAAGTAAATACAACACCAAGGTATTAAATAAATAATAAATTATATGCCAGTCACTTAACGGTAAAACAAATATAATTAAGTATATTTGTAATATAACCAACCATATTAAAATATACTTATTCCCTTTCATTTGAAAGTTTTTTTTTTTTTTTTTAATAAATATAATATTTTATTGGCGAAATGAAAGTATATAATAAATTTTGATATTTTTGTCATTTAAGTTTATATATAATAATATGTTTATAATCTAAATAAAATTAGTAAAAAATGACTTCGAGTTAGGATGAAAGAAATAGTGCCCCCTCCACCCCAATACAATAATCTTGTTTATCATTTTTGTCCGTCCCAAAACAATAGTCTTATTTCCATAAATAATCATATCACTATAAAATTACTTTAATTTTTTCATTATTATTACAAAATTATCACTATTTTTTATACTAATATACTTATAAGAGCAAAAAAAACCTTTTACTACTTTTTACCCGTGTCAAACACAACTCAAACTATAATTTTAGAACGAATGAAATATAATAATTATTTTTACTTACTAATATATTTTTTAATTATTTACTCATAATATTTTATTTTATTTTTTATATATCTATGTTAACAAGATATAAAAAGTGGACGGATGGAGTATAACTCTATCCGTCCCCAAATTAAATATTCATGAACCTTTTGAACGAAGTTTTTCATTTTTTTTTTAAAAATATTAATAGTATTATATTTGTATACTACAAATAAAGAAAAAAAATACCCTATAAATGTAATATTTTTTTAATAATATATTATAAGTTATAAAAATATTTTTAATTCTATGTAAACAATTTTTTTTTTAGATGAATTGAATTTGGGTATAGATAATTGTATAAAAAAATATAAAATACTAGTTTAAGTTGAATATTTATTTATTTATTTTAAAGTATTGTGCTATTTGTTACTCCTTTTGTCCCACGTACCATGTCCACGTTGCTGTTCTATCCGTCCCCACATATCATGTTACTTTCTTTTTTTAGAAAATGATTACACACTTTAATCTCATTTTAAACTTTTTAATTTTATTTTTTAAAATTTTAATTAAACGAATTAGTTATCTTAATCTTAATTTATAATTATTTATATTATATGATAATTATTTCACTGTTCTTAATTATCTTCTAATTACACAACTTCTAAAATACCGTGTGTACAGTGTAGCAAACACGGTATGTGGGACGGAGGTAGTATTATTTTTTGGAATCGAAATTAAAATTTAGTGTTGAAATTACAAAACCAATATAATTATTGGAAATGAATATTATTTGGTTCCGATCAAAATGAATAAAGAGGTGTTTTTTTAAATAATATATATATTTTTTTGTTGAAGGGTATTGGCTAATACAAAAGAGAAATATAAAGAAAAAAAAAAAATATTTCCGTATTTAAATAATATTTTATAGGAGATATATTTTTTTTCAAATACCATAATTAAAAAAAAAAAAGAATTAAAAAAATGTGTGTTGGATGTATATCTGAAAATTAGATTTGGCAATTATACAAATATAAATAGTAAAATAAATTAATTGAAAATATTAATATCACAGACGGATTAAACCAAACATCCCAAAATCACACCATTGCCATTGCCATCACGTCATCGTCTCTGCTTCAATTCAATCGAATTGAATATCCATTCCCTTCCCTACCCTAATTTGATTCGGTCAAATGTTATGATCCCTAATTTCCACCCCAAACCCTAAAAGCTCAATTCCATCCGTCGGACCCAGCTGAAGAAGACTGGACCGGTTGTTCCGTCGCGGCCGTTTCTTCTTCCGCCGCACCGGCGACGCCTTCTTCCATACCCCCCACGTGTCCATCGCCATTTATCCTTTAACACCGCCTTCCCCCTTTCAACATCCCCTCCCTCAAATTTCCCGCGATTCCCTGCCCGCAGTGGATTTTCTTATCAATCGGCTGATTTGTTATCTTGTTGCGATCCTTCTTCCACTTGTGCGGTCTTTTAGGGCTACCCGAATCCCGATCCAGGCGCTGGTTAGGTTTTACTTGATTTGAAGAGATGGATTAGGTTATTGGAATTTTCTTTTGATTTGATTGATTCTTTTATTGCGGATAGATAGATTTGATATATCTCGGGGCTTACTGTTTTGATCAACTGGTTGGGAAGTACGGTTGTTGCTGCCCCTAATTTGGGTAGTTTTTTTTTTTCCCTTTTTCTTTTGGTCTTTCTGATCTGTTTCGCATCGTGAATTCGTTGATTCATTCTGTATATATATATGTCCAATTGGTTGATATGTTGTGCGATGCTGAAAGAGTTATGTCCGTAGGGTTCGGCACGAGAGAACTCAGTGATGTTTTTGGTGCGTTGTTTTAGTCTGTCATTGAAAATTGAGGGTTTTCTTGTTTGAATCCCCTGAAATTAAAAGGGATTGATAAAAGGGAAAAATAAAAAGAAAAAAAGAAAGTAGATATTTCTGGTTCGGAGATATTGAGATGGCACTGAACTATTCACATTGGCCTCTGTTTCCTGCACATATTTCTGAAGATAATTTGTTGTCGCCTATGAGGCTTGCAAATGGTTATTTTATGAACGATGTTCGGAGGAGTATGAACGAAGATGGCCTCTTTCGGCCATGGCCGAGGATCCCAGGAGAAGGCATGGAGCGAAACTTCCTCTGTTGGGAAGGAGCTAATACCTGTAGCTCTCAGGAGTCCACTTCAGATGATATTGTTGACCTTTTGCCTTCTGATCCCTTTGGTATGGATATGCAGAATACTTTAACAGTCTTCACAGGATGGATCAAGGATTTGGAGCTTGAATATGGTGGGAAGATATGGGCAAACGACTGCAGGGCTGCCCAAGGAGGCGATACTTTCTTTTCTAAGTGGAATATGACTTGTGATGATTCCTTGATTTTCTCACTATTTCCTAACACTAATTCGGTGTGCAAAAAACCAAACGTGGACTGTTTTACGAGCTGTTCTCAGGTACGTGAGAAGCCAAGTACCAGTAAAAGTTCTTTTCCCAGCAGTGAAAAGTTAGATGAGAAATTGGAAGCAGCCAGAACAGTGGAGGAGAAGGATATTCAGGCTGGATTTGTCCCATTTGATATTGGCTTTCAACATCCCCATGATGTAACCTTCGGCAATGGGGGTGCAAGCTCTAGTTCTGGGCTGGCTTCGGGTGAGAGGGTAGAGAGTGTTGATGAGTGTGAAGGGATGCCTCATGAAGCTTTAGGTTATGCCGTTGCGTATTTGGGAGTGAAGGACCTTTTGTCTGTTGAAATGGTGTGCAAGTCCCTATTAACTACTGTCCGAGATGATCCGTTGCTGTGGAGAACCATTCATATTGACAAACCTCTTAGTGAACTGATCACCGATGATACTCTTGTGAAATTGACTAGCCGGGCGCAAGGACACCTCACTTGTCTGAGCTTAGAGGAGTGCAAAAAGATCACTGATGATGGTCTGAAGCGGGCACTTGAAATGAATCCAAGATTGACTAAGGTCTGTCGTTCAACTGTGTTTAGATATTCTTTCTTGGTATAATATTCTATATCAACTTCATACTTGGATTCTTGGTGTACGTGTTTCTTACTTTCTGTGCTAGTGGGAAGCTCAAGGTTTATAACTTGGATTTCATCAAATTCGCTTAAGTTTGTTAGAATTTTTCTGAAGTTCCAATACACTGGTTTGTTCTAGAAGAATGATTTGTTTGGTTACATGTTGGATGAGATTTATGTATTAATATTTGATTTATGATGCAATATATATGATTAAAAAAATTTTAAAATATGTATTAAAGTGTTTTAAAAATTATATCTCCATAAAATATATACAATATAAATATCATTTTGTAGAAAATAAAGTTTATATAATACAAGTAAAAAAACTATATAGATTTATACATAATGAACATAAATTAATTTTATCAAAAACAATGGGGAGTTTTGAATATATATAAATGTATTTGTTTATTGAAGGAAGAGAGAGAAGATTTTTAATGTGTTCCAATTTATGTAATATTTGGAAAAAACTTTGGGAGCATAGTTCCAATTTGAATCCAACAGGTACCAAACACACCTATGTAGGATTTGAATGTTTAAGGATAATGAATTACACTTACTATAATTAATATTGGTTGAATCTGATAATTGGTTTCACAAAGTAAGATATAAAACTTCAAAAACAAACTTGTCTGCAATTAATATTATAAGTACTTTGATGATTATTGGTATCTAATGTATACACGTGTTTACTGTCAGTTCGATGATTGATTGATCTTTCCCATATTTTTCTTGGACATGAGGTTTTTCTATTCACATAAATAATAGAAATTGTTTCATCTGAAATTATCAGCACATTATTTCTATGCCATTGCTGCTTGCGACGTGTAAAATTATAGTAAGTTTTGTTCAATTATACAATATTTATTGCTGAAAACCTAAAAAGGACCATATTCCCTTTATAATCTCTGTATTGAAAGAAAAGCTGCTTGATGAAGTGGATATGTCATAACTGACAAAACATGTTGATTACGAACTAAGCAATTGACTGAAAATAGAGTTCAGAAATGTCTTCCAACATGTTTCCTTACGGTAGTTCTATGTCTGGACAGGTAATAGTTGGTCTATCTTATATCATAATGTCAATGCTAATTTTTTTTGTACAACTTACAGTGTGTTTCGTATAGGGAAATGGACATAGAGAAACAAAAATATACCCATATCCCTCCCATTTATAGAGAAATCAAAGGAATGAAAAGTGAGAGGCAAGTAGGCTGTGTTTCATTTAGCAATTATTTTCACCCTTCCTTATAAAAATATTTTATTCTCACATAAAACATCACATCTAAATTACTATTCAAACAAAACATCAACAAATAATACTCCCTCCGTCTGCCAAAATTATGTAATTATTATGTTTTTGGCCATATGCTAAAATTATGAACAATCCATAACAACTGTATAACCCTTATTTTAACAAATACCAACCAATTTGCCATTACATTTTCTACATACCCCACTATTTCTTTTTATCACTCCTTTAGTAAATTTACTATAATACCTTCACTTTATTTTTTACTTATCCCATTTTAACATTAAAATATTACTATTTTATATTTTCTGTGCCCAACCAAACTCTAGTAATTCTATAATACGGAGGGACTAATAATAATAAGAGCGGATAAAGTATACTTCTAATTTCTTAAGTATGACTGACAAGCGATTAGGACAGCGGTACTAGACAAGCGATTAGGACAGCGGTGCTGGACAAGCGATAATGCTCCTCCCGTATGCATCAGGATGAACAAGCAAAATGAAGGATAGCTTGGGTCAGACTCAGATTAGAAGCTTAAAATTTTACCTAAGTTATTATAGGAAAGCGATAAGAAGGCGATAAAATTTAATTCTTCTAAAAGCAATAAACTATCTAAGGAAACGATAGTTCTATTCTTAAATGAAAGCGATAAAACTATTAACCTAAGAGAATGACAAATTACTTATCTACCTAAAAATGAAGACTTGCTAATCTATAATAGCAATAAAACTCTAACTAGGAAAACAATAAAATACTAACTAGAAAATATTAAAGAAAGCTAGTTAAAACTTTGAGGAGGATATAAGATTAGGCAATTCTGGATATGGTTTAAGTTTCTGATCACGGAGCAAACTATTGAGCTTCTACCAAATTAATCTCTGCTTCGGCCCGCTGTAAAGCAGGCCCTTCGATATAAGTTTCAGTCTCGCTTGAGAATTCCCACTCCATTGAAATCCTCTCTTACCCAATTCATCGTTTCCTCCTGAATCGTTTCATCCTCTCCTTTTCTAAGCTACTCCACTGAAATACAATAAATTGTCTCCTCTAAATTGATTCATCCGTCGCTGCATTTCTCTATAATTTCATTCTCCATACCAAACATACTTTTAGATTATGAATATCTTCGTGCAAATAAATCACAATTGTGAAAATGCTGCAAGTATATCAATGCATCTGGCGTCTGTTACAACGACTCTATGTCCATGAAAACCATGGCCTTAGGAAGGTTATGAACTCAAAAAGGGCATCCTTGGCATTTAGTAAAAATCTTTTGCATTAAAAAGGAATGTATAAACAAGAACTTTAAAGATAAATCTGGATTATATGCTACTGTTCATTGAATCAAGATTTGTGATAAATAATGATACTTCTAATATGTAGGTGCAGAGTTTTCATTTACTTTGGTTTTCGGGTGGCATCTATAGTAATATTTCCACATGTTTCCCTTTTATTTCTCTTTCACGTTTTGCATTTGCCACAATCTTTTCTGCCGCAAAACTTATATTTTCTGGTATTTGGAGTTTACAGCCAATATGGCAACCAAATGTTGTGTAATGGTTTTTTTTTTTCCAATCATATGTACGCTAGTAACTTCTTTGTTTGAAACCAGTATTATGTTTTCTGTTATTGTTTACATGACTTCGATGCTGTTAGCTGTTTTTACCACATACTGAATCATGTTCTTTTATGCAGCTCTGTGTTCCTGGATGTACACGGATCACTATTAAAGGTGTAATGAGTATTGTAAGGTCATACAACTCTGGTAAACGCGATGGAGGTTTAAAATTATTAAGAATTGGTGGAATTTTTGGTGTGAATCGTGAAATATTTGAAGAGCTGAAGTTTTTATTGGGTTTTGACGAAAATAAGCTTGGAAGTGGCTACAAACCACATTTCTACTCCCGGGACACTTACTACCTTCCGCACCACGATGATCGCCCCATTGATATAGAATCATGCCCAAAATGCGAGGCATTCAGGATGGTGTATGACTGTCCAGTTGACAGTTGCAATGTCAAAGATGAGTCCTCTGAGGTCTGCAGGGGTTGCAATATCTGCATAGCTCGGTGCATTGAATGTGGTAAGTGTCTTGACAAAATTCCGTATTTAGAAGATTTCTGTCTGGAATTGGTATGTTTCAGTTGTTTCCTGTCAAGAGGCTATAACCAAGACAATGTGGACATGGGGATTCCCCCTTTTTTGGAGTTGATGATGACTTGAGTTATAATGTTAATCGTCGTGGCTGAGAAACTGTTTACGACCTCCTATTGAAATCTTGGAAGAAAAACATGATACTGTGAAGCTATTAGAGCGTCTAGCCTCACTTTTATTCTGTTGCAGTATACCAGATGATACTGTCGATGGCATTAGGCGGCCCTGTCTTGTGTTTGTTGAACCATATGATATTCAGTATACTTGGAGTAGGTACCCTCCAAAAAAAAAAAAAAAAAGGAAAAATGAAAATTACCAAAAAAGGAAAAAGAACAAAAGCAAAAAAAAGAAGCTTGAAGGAGTTGTTGCAGAATGGAAATGAGGTAAGAAGAAATCCATCTTCAAGATGGAGAATCATGCTGAGATAGTAGAAACTATCCACTTGTTCCGGCCCCGTGGCCCGATCTTTGCTGTAGATGCCCTGGAAAGCTAATTGACGTCTACTTTAAGTTTTACTTCCACCTGGGGCAATCAGAAATCTTCGATGGTTTGCAGATGCGATGTGGGCCAAAACTCAAACTCAAAACGTACATGGAGTTCGTGACAATGTTCTTCAGAGGTCTCCGACTATGGTGTAGGTACTACACACTTTTTTAAGTTTGTTGCTACCTCCATTTTGAAATTGTATGTGCCTGTGGCTATGTATGTAACATGTTGGGATGCCGTGCAGCAACTTTGTGCAGGACGAGTCCTATGTTGATCTGGAATGTCTGGTCGACACTTGCTCTATACTTAAAACTGCACTTGTTGGTAGTAATATGTTGTTGCAAATTTGTTACTTTGTCTGTTTCTCTCATGTGAGTGAGAAACAGATTTATTGAATTGAATGCTCGGATGGATCATGGATGGGATGGATGGGTAATCTTTTGCTTATTATGAATAAAGACTCATCTTTATCTTTCAATATTTATTGGATTGGATTGAATTGGTGTTGAACTTGTTTTGCTTTGTTCTATCCTGACCATTTGCCAATGTTTTAATTCGATTTTACTAATGATTGGCCATTACTTTGAAATTTTAGAATGAATTGATGTTACAGTTGCATTGTTACTTGGATTTAGGTTGCTATGAGCAAAATTATATATTAGGACATTAGAGTATTTTTATGAATGAAATATGGGCAGGTATTTGATTTCAAATAATAAAAAAAATAATGGGTTTGTTTACTTTGTGTTAAATTATTTGTGAATTTATGGATAAAGTGTATATTGTTGTTATTCACTATTTTCAATAAAAATAAACTTTTTGCTTTTTAAAATTATGCTCAATTTTTATTATATTTGTCTTTTAGATTGTCTTTTTAGTTTTTTTATTCAGTAAAAAAAAAATACTATATTATATTTTATATTTTTACTATATAAAAAAAAGTATAGATCAAAATTTCATACGTTAAAACGTGTAGAAAAGTTTTTAGCACAAATTGAGAGACAAATATAAAAATATTTTTAATAAAATAATATATTAAAGCATTATTAAAGTTGAAATTAAAATTACAAATTCATTTTTAAATTAAAATTAAACAAACCTACTTCGAAAGGTTTCAGAATTGTGCTGTTGAATGTAAAGTTATTTGCTTAAAGAAATGCTAAATGTGGAATATTATGAAACAACATCATGGCCATGTACGTTTGGAAGTGTTTTGGAATGATTATTAGAATAGAAGATAGATTGTAGGATGCGACAATCTCTCTGTCCCATAAATATAGTCTTAATTGGATTGGACACGAGATTTAAAAAGATTTAAAAAATATTAATATTATATTGATAATTGGTAAAAAATATGAATAAATTTTTTTTTTTTTTGCCCATGTGAGTGTATTTAGTAAAAAGTAGTAACAATTGTGTAATAATAATGAAAAAGTAAAGATAATTTTACGGTGATATGTGTATTTATAGAAATGAAACTATTGTTTTAGAACGCACAAAAATAATAAACAAATTGAAAATACAAGTAAACAAAAGTTTATTTGTTGAATTTGTCTAATTGCAATTATGTAAGGCACTATTATCAATTTGATTCTTCCTCAAATGACTTTGTATTAAAAGGTGTTCGGTGAGTTTCAAATGTAATGTTTATATTTAAAAGAATATTTACATTTCTTTTAAACAAATATTAAAATCACTGTGAGAATAATAACAACATTAAATTGAAACAATTTCTTATTTTAAAGAAAATAATTTGAACTTCTTTACTAAATATTATATACAAATTACTATTTAAATAAGTATAATGTTGAAAAGTATAGATTAAAAATTGAATAATAATTTTTTCGCTTTAACAACTTTAACTTGCAGCGGAATAAAAGTACTTAGAGGAGGAGCCAATTGAAGATCATACTTAATTTTTAACCTACGACACCAAAGGATTTGATGGGAGCGTACAAACAACCGAGTCCACTGGTTTCCACTTTGTTAAGTGATGGCAAGATCAAACGGAGGCGACTTAGGTATACTTGAAGAAGTTGCAAAAAACGCATGAAGAAATGGGCAGGGGATGTTCAAGAGTTCAAGGAAGGGACTTGGGATTGATGAAATTTTACCAACAATGATGTGTTTGGGCATTTCACAAAGGATTCATGAGGCGATATGAAGGCCCATTCTCGATCGTAAAGAAAGTTGACGAAGTGGCGTACAAAGTGGAGCTATCCAAGAGCTTCTCCCAACATCATCCAGTATTCCACATGAGCTTCTTGAAGCTGTATCATATGGACCGCCGAGACCCAAGCTGAAACATGTCGGAGAGGGTACCATCCGGGATGCGAACGACGTACGACAAAGTAGCCGATGAGATTTTGGTGGATCGACTAGTGCGCCATAAGAACCGTCTGCCTTTGACGGAGTACTTGGTGAGATGGCAAGAATCGTATAAGTCCGAGACGAGTTGAAAGCCGGCGGATAGGCTTTGGCAATTTTTGGACTTGGTGTGCGAGTCTAAGGCATTGAGGGCAATGCCTTCATCAAGTGGAGGAGAATGTTCCAAATCGAAAAATGAACCAAAACCCACAGATTTATTTATAATTAGTTTGAAACATTGTAGAATTTTAGAAATAAAACTAAAACTTATACATAAATGTAATAGTTGAGAGTTGGTATATAATAGAACTTTATGAAATGTCGTAGAAGCCCTAGAATATTTCAAAAGACAAATCGTAACCGTTATATATAAATCATCTGAAAGTTATAAATAATGTACAATCTTGTTTCCTGAATTTTATTTGATAAAAAATAAGTAAAATAAAATAAAAATAAAATAAAATGCTACTAATTATTTAAAAAAGAAAAAGAAAATTGAAAAAAAAATAATTTAATTACTATAGTGGGGAGTATTGTTTTCAGCATCTTTAACAAAGCCTTCAAAATTATAGATAAATCTGTGGAAAAAGCAGTTTATAATATATTATAACTCTCAATATATATAATCATTTATTTCATATTTTTATTTCATTACTATTCAGTTTTTCTCCGAGAGGATAGAAGTTTGTAATCATCAATTTCGGCGATTATTTTCTAACAAACTTTCAAAAGATATTTAAATATTATAATCGAAAAAAATGTCTTTAGTTATGATCCATTTTTTCCTTTTTATTTGTTTTATTATTATTATTATTATTATTATTTTTTATTTTTTTTTTTCAAATAGTTTTTTCAATTGACTTGTTGCAGTTAGACAAATTGGAATTAAACAATTTAGTCCGTGACTGCAATAAGTAAGCAAAATTAATTTTTTAACTATAAAAAGAAAAAAGTAGAAGAAATGAAAAATGGGCTGACTAGCTAAATGGAAAAATAACTCGGAAAAAAGAGACTATAAATTGAGATAAACTTTTTTTTTTTCGAAAGCAAAAATTTATTTGGAGTGATTAAAACAAGAGATTGTTTGTTAAAGTATAGCAAGAAGTCGGAAAAACCAACAAAAGTGAGTTGTAGTCAATTTTTATTTGATTGTTACTGATTAATAAGAAATCAAATTATACTACCTTTTGGTATCCACGTGGGAGTTTTTGTTTCGACAAAGCGTATATTGTTTTCTTTGGTCCAAATAATATTTGGCTTTTTGGACAAAGAAAACGGCTAATATCACGTGAGTATTATGGATATCTGTCTATTTTAGTTTTTTGGCATCTTTGTAATAGCTTACGAATATCAATTTCAGTTTATTATTGAATTTTTGGTAGCAAGAATATTTTGAATAAAAAAATTGTAGATATATATTCATTTAAGATTTTATTATTATTATTTTTTAAAAATTTATAATTTTCTTTGAATTTTAATTTTGTTTATTTCTTGATATGAATTTTCGTACATTTAAATTGAATTATTTATTAATTTATATAAGAATTTTATATCATTGATAAGAATTTTTTATTAGTTTACACTATTTTCATAAAATTTGGTGTTGCAAATATATAAAGCATACTTGTATATTAATATTTTTAATTTTTATTGCATTATTATTCAATATATCAATATTTTTTATATTTATATTTATTTATTTTAATAAAATATTTTATTTAATTATCTGTTAAATTTATAATGTCATTTTTATCTTGTATATTATTATTTACCCAAAAAAAAAACATACATCTAAATAAAATTAAAATCAGAATTCAACATTTTTCAAAAAAAAAAAAAAATGATAAATAAAAAAATAGAAATGATAAAATATATATAAATATAATGGATGAATCCCTCTAATTTTATTTAAAAAATAAGATAAAACTCTAGAAAGTTCCACATAAATGAACTCAAATATTATAGATATATACCCTATTATTATAGTTTAACTCCTGTCAAATATGTATTTACACATAAAATATATATATATATAATATAAAAATCTTAATGCAATATATATTATATATGTATTTATAAAAAAACTAGTAATTAAAATAAAATATTATTTCATATATTATTGATACAATTTTATATATCTAATATAATTTTTTTTAAAAAAAATTACTTAAAAACACAAATTGAACACATCCATCAGTATAGATATATATTAGCTTGAATTCGTGTATATAAACCGTTTGGATTTTGAATTGGAATTTGTATAGTCAAAATTTTTAATTGTAATAATAGTATGATGTGATATAAATAGGTATTGATGTGATGTTTTGAATGAAAAATTAATTTATAGTATAATATAAAAAATAAAAAATAAATGTTTGATTTGATGTTTTTGGGGAAAAAAATTTAATGAATAGTAAGATTTTGACACCCGGAAGAAATGGAGTTCGTATATCATATCATTCCACTTACTCGAATAAATAAATTTTGGTGTTTGTTTTGGCGAAATAGTTGGAAAAAAAATTATAAAAAAAATGAAAGTATATAGTGTATTAATATATTTTTTTAAAAAAAAAATCGTGTGGAAGAAAAAAATAGAAAGAACGAACCCTAAAAAATAATTCTTGATCCATCAGTCTGGCTAATATCTTTGTATTTGTATAATTTTTTACACAAATATCACACTAATAGAAATATTTTTGTCATTTCCTCTTAATTTGTACTACGTTTTTATATAATAATAAATATTCAAAGATCAATGTAAAAAAAAAAAAAAAAATGAAATTCTTATGTCGGAGATCGCAATAATAATAAGATTTTAAATATAATCTTCTAATGAAGAGAAAGAGAACAAACAAGCGAATACAAATTCACATTTTATTCAAACGACAATAAACAAGAGGAGAGACACGTACAAAACAATCAAATTACAAAGGCACACAAACAACATTAAAAATTTCTCAAGAAACCTAAGCCTTGTCTGTATTACCATTGTTCTTCGATCTCTTACAGATGCTCTTTATCCATTTCAGGCTCAGCTTCTTCTTCTCAGACTTGTTCTTGTTGCCCTTCTCCTTGCCGTTTCGAGTCTCCGACGGCACCGGCTCCGGATCCCATTGATCCGCCCAAGATAGCCCGTTCGACTCGTACACGTCCATTTTTTCACCCTTTTCTTTTTCTTAGAGATAAATAACTCAACCTTATTCTTCGTCTCTTCTTCAAACCATGAAGAAGATGTCGAACGACAAGCGAACCGAGGCTATATTGCAGGGGAAGAAGTCCCCGACGAATTATAGATAGTTTTAGACAAGCAACAATCGAGGGATAGAGAGGAAGTCGCTCTCGTCCTCTCGTTTCCAATGGCCACAATTAGCTAAAGAGGATTTTGTAAAACCCCAAATCATATATCACCACACAAAAGTTAAGAACATGCAACAAAAAAGATCGACAAGTAATATAATTTCAAGACATAATTAAGAAAAGCATAGAGAAAAGGAGACGGTATCATCGAGCAAATAAATTTCCTTAAAAGGATAGGAAGTTTAAGGCTTTTAGACAGCTCAATGTACTTGTCAGATGCAGAACGACCGTTTCACCTAAAAGTTCGAACTATTAGAAAAACGCAGCCATTAATTATTTATCTGCAAACGAGAGTACCCAACCTAGGCTCAGATACCATGTCAGATGCAGAATGACTGTCACACCTGAAAGCTCGAATTGTACTAAAAGAAGATATTAATAGATAAGCGAATGTAGAATAATACGAACCGATTTATCATTTACCCAAAAGGGGTCGCTTTGTTTGCGCTTCAATGACAATATTCGACATGGCCGGCAATTTCCTTACAAAGCAACTTCGCCTCCTCGGCTAATTTCAAGCTTTTGACGACAACAAGTCCGGTTAATCTATGTTTCGACGCAGGTTTGAAAGCATTCACTTCTTCTTCTTCCTTTCCCAAAAGAACAGCATCCCTTGCCGGTACGACATTCTCCCACCAAAACTCGCGTAAAACCCCGTGAATTAATTCCCAGTAACTAGGTTCTCGACGAACACGAAATATATTGCTCCCATTTGGAGTCCAGCAGTATAAATCCACCCAATCTCGATTCATTACCTCCATCTGACCTTGCACCTGAGGCATGTAATAAAATGGCATTGTCGACCACGGCAACATCGTCTCCGGCTTTCCTTTATTGAAAGGGCATTTTACTTCCAAAATCCCGCCCCCCGACAAGCATTCGAGTAGCCCATCTGGCGAAGCTCCAATCCAATGAAACCGTTCGTCTTCGTGAACTGCGAAACTCAATGAACTCACACGACGACCCGTAATGCTTTTGTATCGCTCTATAGCTGCATCTTCGTTAAGAATTCCCCACTCCAATGGACCTTTCCTAGACCCCTCGATCGATTGATCAACCGTAGCGTACACTTTTTCGTGCCACAGCTCATACCTACGGTTCCCTTTCCAAAATCCTAGCGCAGTGCTGAATGAACTAGTCGTTAATTTGTCCTTGCGCAATGCAAACCATTCGTCCGACCGTTGGGGAGGAGAATCTGATGCGGCAAACTTCCCGTTGTTCAACATACAAGAAACAGAAGGATAGATAAGAGGCATAGATGAACAGGAATGCGTCGAAGCACATGTCGAAAAGTTTCTTGTGAATACTCTTCCAAACTTTCTTTTTCGTGGAAGCGGCACTAGACGAATGCTCGGCAATCTAGTAACGCAAGCATTCGTCATTTTTCGACTACCCGTTCTTTAGTTATCAAGAGATGCCTAAAAAATTCACAGCCAAATTTCCGAGTTAGGCAATCACAATAACAGCATAACAATTGAATCATAAACAGATGCAAACAAATCTATGAACAATTACAGCAGATTAACCCTAAACTTAGCTCCTTGATAGCATAAGATTAATCAAAATTAGGGTTTAATGGTGGAACAATTAGCACAGCATTTACAAATGGAATGAGAAATTGATAACAAAAACTACACCTAACAGAGATCATAAAAGTGAAAATATTCCCCAAATTCACAAAAATCATTAACATATGCACCAAAACCTCTTCTATTAGATACTTTCCCAGGAAAGACAAGAAGTCGAACAATCCTAACATGAAAACCTCTAAGTTTGGTAGCTCGACATAGTTCGTCGCTCAAATCTGATAGCAGAATCGAAACCTTAGAAACTAAACTACACGAGTATGTATGCAATCAAAGTAGTCAGCTCCGATAAAGGAAATAGTTTTCTTGTGCGAGATTCAATGACAAATAACGATTGCCGAATCGTAAGAACAACGAAAGCCATGAACACCAAGTGTTCGTAAAAATGCACCTTAAGAGATTAAACACTGCGCGGCGCAGAGGCAACTAAACGGCCTCCCAGAAGGACATGAATTGAAAAGGTATTATAATCCCCGGCAAGATTTCGCAGCGGATTCAGAGGGGAGGATTGATTGGGATTGGGTTGGGCTCGGGGCGGAGGAGATGAGATTCCAACTGTACGGAACGATTCCCTGTAACGACGTAGGGCGGATGAAATAAAAGGTTCAAGTGCAATAAGATATTTATACGGGTTTAGCTGTTATTTTTAATAAATATTATAAAAATATAATACTCCTCTAATCCATTTTAATATTTTTGTTATTTTAACTTTACGAATAAATAGAATTGGTAATAATATATTTATAATTTAAATAAAAATTAAAGTATTTTAATATTAATATATTACTCGTATTATTTTATTTGAACTCGAGATAATTACAAGTCCAATACAATAATAACAATTTGTATGATTATAATCTAATTTTCAACCTTAATACTCCCTCCGTCAACAAAAAAAAAAAAAAAAAAAAATATATATATATATATACAATTATTTTTGGCGGTGTTTAAGAAATAATAGTATTTTAATTATAATTGGTAGTTAAAAGTAGTGTAATGATATTTTTGCCTTTGCTTTTTGGTGTAAAAGTAATGATGTGACGTAAAGTAAGGATATTTGTGGAAAAAACCTAAGGTATTTAATAAAATATTACTTGGTAGTTGGACGTCCCAAAATATAAATATGTATACTTTCTAGCGGGGGAGTATTATTTAATCTCCCTTAATAAAAATCTAAATTATATTCATTTTTTTACAGTTAAAATTAGTTTAATATTTCATATCATATTTTGTGTTCAATTTGCCATTTTTATGTATTTACATCTCATGTTTTTTTTTAAGAAAAACACTTTAATTATATTTTAAAAAATTAATTTAAATTAAATTAATTAATTATTTTACTTATTTTTATTAATATATTTTTAATTATTTATTAATTATATATATATATTAATTTTTGTATCTATAGTGCTTTGATGCACATAGGAGACCAACAAAACATTTGATATGATATTTTATTATAAAAATATTTTTTTTACAAAAGTTGAAATATAAAAAAAATTAATTTTTTTAAAAAGATATTAGTAGAAGAAATACCAAATCCGTCAGTGCTCAAATATTTGACAGATATTTTAATAAAAACAAATAATAATTATTTATTTACTTTTTGTATTTTATAGTAAAAAAGAAATTCTTCTATTATAAAAAAAGTTATTATTATTTAAATTTATATTTATTTTTTATAACTGTAACAAATTGTTTATTTTTTTTTATTTTAGTTCGTACATAACAAAGTACTCCTTCCGTTCAAAAATATTTATTTACTTTTTGCACGTAATTTTAAAAATATTAATATTATATTAGAATATAAGTAAGAATTAAAGTAAAAATGACTAAAATAACTTTGTTAGTATATGTGATATGACATTTGTGTAGTATATTATAAGTTATAAGGGTATTTGTAATGTTATAGTATTTATTTTTTTAGTAAATGTATTATCTGCTTAACATTATAAATACCTTACAATTTACAATATATTATCATTATCTTTATATCACACAATACTAAAATTATTTTAATAATTTTTATTTTATTTTATTATATATGGATATAATATTAATATTTCTAAAATTTTCTAAATTATTTCTCATAACGGACTGAGCATTGCTATTATCTAACTCACCATATTTATGGGAAAAAAATAAAATCTGAAAAAATTAATACTTCCTTAGGCCATGTTTGGTTCGTGAAAAATTTGATGCAGGCATAGTTACAATATCTCAACAAGACAAACAGTACCTTAACAATCTGGCAGTTCCAGCGCCTGCTAAAAAACCCTTCCATCGCCAAAATTACAGGAGCAGGAATTGAAAATCGAATCATGTACATGTCTGAGAAGCCCCACCGGCAAGAGACGCAACCCGCCATTGATTTCTACAGCAGCAAGCGGGACGCTCCGCCTCCTAACAACAACGTTATCGTCCAGCTCCCCCTCCAGTCGCACCACCACGTGCCCGACGGTGGAGGCGGCGCGAGCAGCGGAGACGATCCTACTCCTACGGCGGCGGCCTTCGTTTCGTCCAATCCGCCGTCGTCTGGTCCTAAAAAGAGGGCGGAGACTTGGACACACGAGGAAATTAGGTCCCTGATATCGTTTCGAAAAGAAATTGACCTGTTGTTCAACACTTCGAAGTCGAATAAGCATTTGTGGGACAATATTTCGCTGAAAATGAGGGAAAAGGGTTTCGATAGGTCGCCGACTATGTGCACAGACAAGTGGAGGAATTTGTTGAAGGAGTACAAGAAGGCCAAGCATAATAGTCCAGATGGGAGTGGGAATGGATCTGCTAAGATGAATTACTACAAGGACATTGAGGAGATTTTGAGAGAGCGGAATCCGAAAGTGGACTCGTTTATGCACTTTGCTGATAAAGGTCTTGATGGATTATTTCTTTATACATTTTTTCCAATTAAGGTCTTAGATTTCTAGATTGCTGTTTTTTATTTTTATGCTTTGGAGATTTAATTTCTGTATGCTTATAGATCGAGGTTATTTTTCTTGTCTGGATTTCTCTTGAGCTTATTAGGAGATTGCAAAATTGATTCTATTTGTTCTTTGTTGGGCATTGTGATTTTCAAGCTTTTTGTTTTGTTGATTCTTGTTCCTATGTGTAGTATAGATTGGCTTTTGTTTTTGCCTTTTGTTATTATTTTGTTTTTGGGCTGTATAAGTTATTGTTACTTTTCTTGTTAGATTGTTGTTTATTTCTGTTGTATAAGCATATGTTGAATCTACGGGTAGTCATGCTGTTCATTTTTCATGAGGATGGGGTTACATGTAATGTTTCCAACTATTGGTGGAGGATGAAATTGGTGACGTAGTGAACTGCATCGAAAGTCCAGTACTAGTTATTACTTCCATTTACGGGAATGGGTAACATTCGTGGGTTGGTTTTTGGGTCAATTATCTGTTTTCTGTCGATGTGTGCATTTTGGTAAGAAAGTTAAGAGTTTGATGAGCAAGTTGAATGTGTTTTATTTTTAGTGCTACGAAATTATGAAGCATCGAATTCCTTGTAATAATAGAAAAGGGTAAAAAAGAGAAATAGACATTTTTTGGGGTGTCTCGATTCTATTCTAGAAGTTTCTAGGTATCGTAAGATGTCCACGGCTTGCAAGGTGCACTTACGGCGTGCCAGTGCCATTCTTCTGGTCATACAATGGATTGAAAAAAAAATGACTTTCAGAGAAGTCTCACTCAAATATGTTTGTTTAAATAAATGCAAAGAACAAAATCGTGCCAACACTTTTGCGTGTTTTATTTTAGAGGGAATAACTTTTACATTCCCTGCATTCTATATTTGTATTGACAAGATATTTTTGTAATATAATTACACGTTTGTGCACTCACACACATATATTTATAATCCCTAGATTTCCTTCCCTTTAAGCTCTTTCTCAGTGTATCAATTTGATATCCTTCCTGTATCTTGCTGTTCTTCCTGCATCTTTATCCGCGGGGCCATTTCTATATAGTTGTTGGTGACCATGAGTCACCGATCTCCTGGCCCAGCTAATGTTCTTCTGAGTCCTGATTCTTTATTTCTGGAAATGTACTATGAATATGGTAAGCAATCCTTATTCGAGCGTGGGATATTCTTTGAAGAATATTTTGATTTGTGACCATGTGTGATTTATCAGCTTCATCAGCATTCATTAATTTACATATGTCTGTTTTTAGTGTGATTTTAACCGTTGTCCGCAAAAACATTTGATTTGGAGCTTTATTGTGTGTATCTAAGTAGTCATCTCTATAGCGACATCTGAATTCTGTTTGCCCCCCCCCCCCCCCCCCCTGCAGGTATTGATGACACCAGTCTAACTTTCGGCCCAGAGGAAGGTATGTTTACAATTTTCGTGCTTATTGGAATTTGAAACTTTGGTTTTCTTCCTCTTATTTAGGAAGGGTAGCATAGGTGGAAGTTTAGATATATGTTCTTGTCAAGAAGTTTTTGGTGCAAGTTGATATCATGATATGTAATTTAGAGTCGTCTTATTTCTAGATTAGCTTTGCTGCATTCGTCATGATGCAGTATCTCTGTCCTTATTCTAGCACATTATGCATTTATTATGTTTTCTATATCATTAAAAAATGTCCGACAGTTCTGTGCTGATTTGAGCCAAAAACATGAACTATATATTGAAAATTGGATAAATAAATAATTGGTGTACTTGCAAAATTTGATAATATTGTGTATAGAGGCTTCTGAACAAAGGCCCTGAAAAAATCATCTTTTAATTAACAGCCTAAGGCAGCATTTGGCTCCAACTTCATTCTGAGTACTTTTCTTGTGGCCTGTCCTTTGCCTTCCTCGTAAGAATTTCAGAATTCTAAATTTGAATTTTTGTCATTGTCTATCCCTATAAAGAAGAGCTTTAGTGTTGCCATTTATATAACAGTGCTCTACATAATTATATATAATCTTTGCCTTGAACTATCTAGTTGTTCGACAATATATGTGCTGACATTTCCCCAAATTGTTGACAAATGACAATGTGCCCCCTGTTTCTGTATTCTTGATACTAGTCTTTGACCTATGTGCTTGAACAGAAGAAAGGCTTTGTATATGAAGTAATATTAGTTTGCTGTTTATAACATTCATGCATTGAGAAGGTAAACATCAGTTGTGTCCTTGTAATTGTATGAGTTCATAAGTCTCCTAATTACTAGGACAGAATTGATATTTAGCGGTCCTTTTACGAACATTTTTGCGTGTTCTTCTTTATAAATTTACCTAGTTATTGAGTTATTTATTTAATCCACCTTCACTATGAATGATCTTTGAGGATTATTAACAAGGGGGTGTATATCTTTTGGTAAATCCTTGTTACGCAGCTCATGAAAGATCAGCATTGAACTTAGAAAGACGTTTGGATCATGAAGGGCATCCTCTTGCCCTAACTGCTGCTGATGCTGTTGGAGCTAGTGGAGCTTCACCATGGAATTGGAGGGAGGCTCCCGAGAACGGTCGGTCTAATTTTTTATTTTAGTTTTGACTGGACCATACATTGTTTGATACTTTTCGGGTGTGTTTACTTTGAGTGATAGGGTGTCTAATATTATTTTATCCAATCTAATCATTTGTTTACTTTTAACGGATTAAAGTCCGATATAATAATAACTAATTAGGGATAATTAATCGTATTTAGATGGGTTATCTCAAGTAATATAATCTTATCCTTCAAAATAAAAACACCCTTCATGTAAAATGTTCTCGAGTGACTTAAGTGGCTTGACAATTGAATTAGTTGGTGAAAACCATAATTGACTTCTGCTTCAGATGATTGTGCCACTTTAAATCCGATACATCTTTAGATAAATTGAGACATAAAATGTTTTCAAATCATTTAGTGGATAGATTTAGTTGGTGAAAATCATGGTCGACTTTTGCATCAGATAATTGTGCCACTTTTCATTTGTATAACAGGCGAACACAGCAACACATGCTACGGAAGGGTAATAACCGTGAAATTTGGGGATTATACAAAGAGAATCGGAATAGATGGCACTACAGATGCCATCAAGGAAGTCATCAAATCTGCATTTGGACTTAGGACAAGGCGCGCCTTTTGGCTGGAAGATGAAAACAACATTGTTCGATCACTTGACAGAGACATGCCTTTGGGAAACTACAATCTTCGCGTGGATGAAGGTATACACACGGGGAATGCTTCATTTCTGTGATTATTAAATTATATGCTAAAGCTAAGATTAGTTTTTTTCGTGTCTCACCATGGCAATCCTAATCGCAGGCGTAATGATAAAAATTTGCTTCTACGAGGAATCTGAGCACTTGCCTGTTCACACTGAGGACAAAACCTTTTACAGTGACGAAGATTTTCATGAATTCCTATTGAGGCGCCGATGGACTTGTCTGCGGGAGTACAATGGCTTCCGGAATGTCGATGCCCTGGATGAGCTTTGCCCCGGAGTTATTTATCGCGGCGTCAGCGAGGACAGACTCTAGACCTCAAAACTCTAAAAATATTGCAGACTGTATGAAGAAGCTGTCTTTTTTTTTTTTTTTAAATCAAGTTTGTTTTAGTTTATCGGAGTATGAAGAGGAAGAAGCTGTGTTGTTTTTATGTAGAATGAGAAGTTCAGCAGCTTGACTGAAAACATGAATTAAACCATACTCTTTTCTACATTGTTGATTTTAACAATTAGGCGCATTTGGTATGTAGAATAAAATTATGGAAAAATAGTATTAGAGAATAAAATTATAGAGATAGATGAACATTGATTTTTATTTTTTTAAAAATTTGGTATATACATAGTTCTAATGGATACGAAAGATAGGATAAGCAAGAAATTGTTCACTTTTTCTTATTTTTTTTGAATAAATAAAATATATTATATATTGTTTTTTGTTTATTTAAAAAAAAATAATATATTCTATATGTTCATTACTTTTATATTAACTATATAATTTTTTATAATTTACAAAGATATATATTCTTCTAAACCACGTCACAAGTTCAAAACTTCGGTCTCAAGCTACTAGATTCGGCCGAAAATTCATTCACAGCCGCACTCTGAGAATAACGTTGCGGGTTCTATTGTCATAAAAAATAAAAAAAAAAAATAATTCACACACACGATACACACTTGAGATTACAGAGTACATCCTTCCAAGAAAAATTTAAGAGAATTAGGATCACAGTGCTGATTTATGTCCAAGGTCGGTAAAAAGATAACACCACACCCCACACAAGACATGAAAATATGGATCAGATCAAACTGGTGAATCAATGATTCACACACACTTGAGATTACACAAACCCTCTTTTTGCAGAATGTTTTCGCCTATGCCTCGTCCCATTCATCGTTCTTGTAGGACACGAGAGTGTCGACCTTGTGAATCTGCAGATGAAAATCTACATATTAGATCTCAAAAAATAGACATTTTTGTTCTTTCTTTAAGGGTGCTTTTTGCTACCTTTGTATCGAAGGAGTGCAATTTCACCATTTGTGGATTGGCAATCAGCTTAGGATCACTCTCAATCCATGTGAAAGGGACGGCGCAATCTTTGTCGGTGTATGCCAAAACATCAAAAACACCTACACAATTGCCAACCCCATCCCAAGATTGTATAAAAACCAAGCAAACGGATATGCATATATATATGAACATATTTAGCTATATCTGTCCCTATCTTACAGGGCTCATCGAGGCAAGGCAAATATGTGATGCTGGAGGCTATCTGCCGCATGATCGCTTGAATTTCCCTCATAATTTCTTTGTCGCTTTTCTCCCTAGAAACTCTGTACATTTTTTATATAAAATAGTTTGTTGGCAACACAAATGGAACCAAACAAAATGCTAAGAACTGATCATAATCTCATATAACAAGGACTTCGTTATACCCCTTCTCCACGGCCTCATTATCCGTCTCGATCCTGAAATTCCACCTTTCTAACACCTCGCCGGTTGCTTTGCTCATAATCACCAACACCACTCTCTGAAGCTTCCCAGCTTCCAGCCACTCTATACATAATTCATTAAAGGCCATGTTTGGTATCACCTCAATTTCAGAAAAGGTTTTGACAACAGATTCAACATAAATAGCAAAATGAATTGCAGGAAACGTATCTTATTGTCGCTATAAAATCAATTTTCGATCATAAACCCTCAAATTTAGGAAAACAGATGCATCAGATCTTATTTAAGAACAAACAGTAGCCATATCAATAGAAAATGGAAATTACCAGAAAGCTGAGAAGTCAAATTTGAAATGAAGGATTTGACCCCTTCATCTTGAGTAAGCAACATTGGTAGCCCATATTTCTTCACTCTTGCGAAACTTTCTTCTGGATAGACTCCACGATTGTACAATATACTGTGGCGAAGAAGATTTTTCACACAAATTGAAGGAAGCGAATTTTCTAAAAAAATGATAAGAAATTCTCACCTATTTGCAGCATAACCTGAAGAGAAGTTCCGAAAAATGCACAAATCAGTGTCAATTAGAAGAAAACGAAGCAAAAACCCAACAGCAATTATTAGCAGGGAAAGAGACGCACCGAAGAATTCACTAACGATGGCGGCGGATCCTCGCAGAGTGATTATATCTTTCGTCGCGCTTTTTGATGCCATGGCGATTCCCTCTTGTTCTTCAACTAGGGAAAGAGAATTAACAGCACGAATTGAGATTGAGTTGATGGCAGGAGGAGTTCTCTGATAATAACAAATCTCAAACTTGGGAGCAGAAGAACAATTGGGTCCCAAAATATGAATTTAGGGTTTTGAGGGATTGCAACGGCTAGTTTCCATTATTTCTGGTGATTGATTGGGTGGGGTATGGCCGCTAACGCAACGGTCGATTTTTATTTTTTTTAATTCTCAATACAAGTACTTCCAAATCTTCATTTATTTATATTATTTTTTTCTATTTATTATATATATATATATAATATATAAAAAATTTATCACTTAAAGAACTGCATAAAAATATATAAAGCAAAATATTTGGATCGAAGGTTATCCTAGTGTGTTTGTATGGGGTTTGGATTTTGAGTTGAGATTTGAATAGTAAAAATTTTGAATTTGAATAGTTGTATCATGTGATATAAATAAGTGGTGATGTGATGTTTTGAATGTAAAATTGATTTTTAGTATAATATAAAAAATGAAAAATAGTTGTTTGATTTGATGTTTTTTTTTAAAAAAATTGGATAAATAGTGTAAATCCAATCCAATCTCCTCCCAAGCAAACACACATGTGTTGTGTGTTTATCCAATAATTTTTTTAATGCTTTGCTTTTTAATTAATATTAAAAAAAACAAATATATTTGCTTATATACTATATATAATATATATTCTATTTACTTATAAGTGGGTTTAGCCATTAAGCCACACTCTATTTCTTAAGAGATACTTAAATTTTGTTCAATTTATTATTTATCCTGTGTTCTTTAGCCAAAAAATGCTCAATATTTTTTTTTAAAAAAAAAATTAATATACTCGTTACTTTTATATTAACTATATAATTTTTTATATATCATTAAAAAAATAATAATAATAAAACAAACAAATCCTTATTAATTTTTTTTTGTTATTCTTATATTTTTCAGTAAAATACATATCTTATTCTTGAAAATTATTGAATTGGGTTACTTCCTCCGTTCCATAATAAAGTATTCATTTAGTAACTGTATTATATACCTAACATTACAAATACCCTTACAACTTACGATATATTACATAAATATCATTACCTTTATATCACACCATATTAATAAGGTTATTTTAATCATTTCTACTGCACGTGCAAAAAGCAAATGAATACCTAATTATGGGACATAAGGAATATTATTTAATTTATTTTTTAGAAAAAAGACATGCACAAAAATTAGTCGAAAAAAGCACTATATTTGTGTTCTTTGGTGGATTTTAACGGCATGTTTATATTATTAAAATTTATTTATTTTTTTATCAAAAATATCTTATCAAATAATTATTTTTATTTTTTAATATTATACTACAAATTTATTTTACATTCAAAACATTATATTAACATCTATTTATATCACGTCAAACAACTATTCAAATTCAATTTTTTACTAATTCAAAAAATCCAAACAAAAAAACTAAACCTCACATACAAAACACACAATATACAATTAAGAAATAATTTAACATGTTTAATAGTGTTTTTGAAGTAGTTTTTAATTTTTATTTTTTCCCGTTTTAAAATGGCATTTTGTTTGTCTTTTTTGAAATCTTGAGCTTTATTTCTTTTTTTTTTTTTATAGGTAAAATCATTATTTGATTTAAAATTTTAGAAAAATATATATCTCAATAGTAAAAAGTGAAAAATAAAATCCCTAAAAAAAAAAAGAGTAAAAAGAATTATTTATTCCATAAGCCAAAATTATGTTACTTATGCATTTTTTGATTATCTAATAAACTTATGCACATGGATTTGTTTCTTTAGAAATTTAGTTTGAATTATTATTATTATTATTTTTATTTCTTTTATGTAAAATACGAAAAATTTATTTTTTGTGAAACACTATAGTATATTAGATATATTAGAATCTTATCAGAGAAAATTTAATTGAGAAATCAAATTTACCTACAATTGTATTACTTTTATTTTAATAAACAATATTTACTTCTATGTCCCACATATAATGTCATATTTTTCATTTATATGTATATCATATTTTATATAATTTTTTTTAAGAGATTATATATTTTAATCAAAATTTAAATTTTATAATTTTTATTAAATTAATTAGTTATATTAATCTTAATTTATAATTATTTGTATTATATTATAATAATTTTATTAATATATTTTTAATAATTTATTAATCATACTCTTCTTAAATTCTTGTATCTATAATAATCATGACATGATATCGGGAATGGAGAGAGTAATAATTTTGACGCTATTTATTTTTATTCACCTAACTATTTTTTATCAATATTTTAATAAATTTTCTATAATCTTTTCATTTTACTTTTTACATATCACACTTTAACATTAAATTATTATTAATTTTTAGTTTCAATGTCCAACCAAAATTACATAATTTTTTCAAACGGAAAAAGTATATATATATATATATATACATCAAATAGTTCATGACTCCATTTAGATAAGAGACTTTTTACTTTTCTTTTTTATTTGTTATATATAAAAAAAATATATGTATATTTTATTATAGTAAAAAATTATCACTGGATCGGGTGCTAAATTTTTAAATTTAGCATCCATTTTTATCACTAAAATTTGTGTTTTACTTTATTGTGTCTAACATTAAAAATATTTTTAGTTGTATAATTTACTCATAAATATTATTGTATTTATATTGTAAAAGACTAATAGAGATATTTTTATATTTTTATTAATATTTTGTATTCAAATATAAACATGCAAAAAATATTTTGTATAATACTTTTAATTTATTTTATTTTAAGTATATGCTTCATCGGTTATCCAAATTTATTCTTATTTTGTTTTTTTTTGTCATCCAAATTATTTCTACTTATCTTTTTAGTAAAAAAATATTACTTTTTTTTATTATCTTTACCATAGTTTTTTTTTTTTTTTTTACTAATTTTTCTTAAAATTAGTAACCGAATGGAGTATTTTTTAATATCTATGCCCACATAAAAACTACCTTAGTTTCATGAATGAGGTATATAAAAAGGAAACTGAATTGGTATATTTATTTAAATAATCATTGTATATTAGTATGATACAAAATAATTATACTTACCTTCATTATCATCCAAATTCATGTCATTTGATCAAATATAGTTAAAAAAAAAAAATTAGAAAAAATAAAATTATGATTTTCGTATGTCAAATTTATTTTCACTTCTCTTTATAATCTGTTATTAAATTTATTCTATTACTAAATTTGACAAAATCAACAAATCAATATTTAATTATTACTTTTAATTTAATATTTATTTACAACAAATACTGCTTATATTGTTACATTATCTATCTTCGTTATTTTAATTTCTAACTAAATTTTCAAAAATACTTTCAACTACCTTTTTTTCCTCTTATAAACTTTTTAATAAAATATTTAATTTTATTAATCTTTGTTTTGGACCTAAATGGATTAGTTTTAATGGACAAAATGAATAGTAAAAAAAGTATTAATATATGATTAGAAAAATAAGGAAAGTGGAATGAAATAGGAAATAGTTTATATTTAATGCTAAATACTTCTTTCTTCCCACTTAATTTTCTCATCTTCTTATTTTTCGTTTGTTTCTCATAATTTATCATTTTCTTTTCTAAAATATAATTATACACTTTAATCATATTTTAAAATTCATATTTTTAAAAAAAAATTTATTTTAATTAGATTATTTAATCATTTTAATCTTAATTTATAATTATTTTTATTAAATCATAATTATTTTCACTAATACATTTATTAATTACTTAATTACCCATTACACAATTCTTACAACTTCATGTCTAAATTATACAAGCCAATTTAACCCGGATAAGATAACATTATCAACTGTATATGTTAAATAATACTCCATTTGTCCCAATACAATAGTCTTGTATACTATTTTTGTCCGTCCAAAATAATAGTTTTATTTTCATAAATAATTATATCACTATATAACTACTCTTACTATTTCATTATTATTACACAATTGTTACTATCTCTTTGGATTTTAAATCTACTATTCATCTCATTTTTTTTCCTAAAAAATATCAAATCTAAGACCTATTTTTCATTTTTTTCATATTATACTAAAAATCAATTTTACATTCAAAACATTACATCAACACCTATTTATATCACATCATATAACTATTCAAATTCAAAAATTTTACTATTCAAATCTCAACTCAAAATCCAAACCCCCAAACAAACACACCCTAATACACTCACAATAGCATATCAATCATTTTTTAAATCTCGTGCCCAACACAACCAAACTATAATTTTGAAACAGAGAGCAGATAACATAGCCTATATATAGGCCTATAAATGTACATACACGCTACAAGGAAACAACCGTTAAAATTGTAATTGGATAAATTATGGTATCGTTTCCAAAATGGCTAATAAATAGCAAGTGGGGGACCATTTTTGGAAATGATTATTTAAAAAAAATAAAATAAAATTATGTCAACACGTTTCGTCATTCTATATATTTTGGTCTTTAATTTATTTATTTAATATTTCTATATCTAGTTACTGTCGCTCTCGTTGTGACAGTATTCCATAACTAATTAATTCCATATGGGTCAGAAATTGTTTAATACCCCTTTTGCGTCGGATTTAGATATAGATACTAGGTAAAATATAATTAGTAAATAATTTAAAAATATATTAATAAAATAAATTATTATATAATAAAATTTGTTATAGATTAAAGTTAAAATAATTAAATAGTACAATTATAATTAAAAAAATTTAAAATATAATTAAAATATATAATTATATTTTATAAAAAAAAGATAAGATAAATAAAGTATGACTGAAATAGAAATAAAAAGTAAAATGGATGTTTTATGTAACACATTATTCAATTATAAATATTAATTTTAAATGTGTATAAAATCTACTATAAATCTTAAATCCATTATTTTAATTAAGATAAATATGAGTATATCTTTATTTGGTTTTGATTTCAAATACTCCCTTCGTCCTATAACAAAGTATTTATTTTTCCATTTTAGTCCGTTCCGTAACAAAGTATCCATTTCTTTTTTTTAGTGACTGTACTATCTACCTAACATTACAAATACCCTTACAACTTACAATATATTACACAAATATCATTACCTTTATATCACACGTACTAACAAGGTTATTTTAGTTATTTCTACTTTATTCCTACTATATTCCAATATAATACTATATTTCTAAAACTACGTGCAAAAAACAAATGGATACTTCTTTTTGAAATGGGGGAGTACAATCATATAATATGTGTTTGTTTTATATTTTTTGCTTTGAGATCGATTCTTTAACGGTAAAATTTTGAATTAAATATATTAATTTGATGTTTAAAATGTAAATTTTATTATATTATAAAAATTAAAAAAAATAAATATTTAATTTAACTTTTTTATTAATAGAAAAAAAATCAACTAAAAAAACCTACCGGCAAACATAAGGATAATTTCCTTTTATAATATACGCCGTGCATTTTATTATTTAGATAGGAAAATAAATATCATTGCATTGGTTAAATATATTAACCAAAATTTGATAAAGAATTTAAGGAAATAAAATATTCTGTTGCTAATTATTCATAAAAGCGGCAACAAAATCTCATTATATATATATAGTAATAAGATTTTGAATTCTGCACTAACCGTACGAACACGTCTACACGACGCGCCGCCACGCGCACCATTGGCGGGCACACTTTTCCGGTCGAACTTGATCAATCGTAAAACCGCACGCTCTGTAACCGCACGATAGCTTCTTTCTCCGACGAGGTGTGCAGCAGCGTAGACGGACGGAAGCACGGTTTCCGGCGGTAGCACGGTTCGTTGCATTGCCGTACTTTGTGCATTCGATATTCTCGAGAATCGTTAGGTTTTTTTGCATTACATGGAAACCGCCTGATTGTATTTTATTTATTTCCCCAAAAATAAATTGTTCAAGCAGAATCACGCGATTATTAGTTTTGTTTTGTATTCAGAATTGTGGATACTTTCGAATTTGGGAGAATTGAACTGCAGTGGATAGGTACGAGGAAGACGGTGGGTGGGGTAGGGTAGGTGTTACTATTAGAAAAAGGTAAGGGAAGGAGGAAGGTGCTCTGTTCTATAATTATCTGAAAAATAGATAAAAATGATAACAAGATGATGCCATAATATACCTCGTAGACCGTCGCATTCAGAACTAGCCTCCATAAGTGATGTATATTAAATTCAAATTGGGGAGGCTTCTGATTCTGGTCCCCTTCTCTCTAGATTTCTGTGATCAATGGCGGAAAGGAACCACGTGTAGGCACAGTCATGGGTCTTCCTACGCGTCACAAGAATTTTTGCTCCTGTTTTCCAGCTTTGTATTAATATAGTAAATTAATAACAAAAAGCAGTATAGGCTAGAGCACTTCATGAATAAAGCTTGGAGTTGTATTCCATATGCTGAAACTATTCCTATACCAACCTTTTAAGGTCCACGTGATTGGACATACTTGATCCAGTTCTGGTCGTATGTATTTTTTATACGCACTTATCCTAATCCTGTGAGTATGTTTTGTCGTTTATTTCTTTTCAAATTGCTTGATGGAATATAAGTATAAAAATACAATTTTCTTGGTTCTTCTAGGTTTAGTTTTGTTTGATGACAACCCAGCTTGCTTAATAATGGTTTAGTTATTGTACATCTTGTATTTTCTTGTCAATTCTTAGTCTGTTATTTAATGTGGAGAATCTTTCTATTGGTGGGATATTTGTTGATGACTCCCTTGGTATTTTACAGGTTGTGTTACTGCATGTAGTTCTTGTTGAAATTTTCTGGTTTCTGATTAGTGGGAAACTGAACTGAGGTGGATTTTTTGATTTGTTTCTTGTGGTCTAGATTTTCTCATGGATGTCAATCTGAAGTTGGTTAAAGTGGCAGTTAGCCTTTTACTTGTGCTATGGCTTCCGTGGGATTTCTGGAAGAAGAGAAGAGATATCTGTGTATTGAATAATCATTCAATGCGAGGAGAAAAACCTCCCCTCGTGATCAGGATAATTGTTTTATTGAATTTTATGTCCTGCATTTCTTATTTGGGGTTCTGTCTTAGTGAGTTTTGGAGAATTGAGACTGGCCTAATTGAGAATGTCTTATCAAGTGTAGCTTGGCTTCTTGCATGTGTACTTGCTATTTATACAATGAACAATGTGCACAAGAAAGTGCCATTAGTTCTAACTCTCGGGTGGGCTTTTTTAAGTATTTGTGATTTGTTGCTTGTCTCTGCTTATCTCCTGCATTGTTTTGAACTCAACCAAGTTTCACAGTACCTTCCAAAGCCTGAAATTATTGATTTCGCTTCACTGCCTTTGTCGCTGGTACTATGTTTCTATGTTATGGTTAATAATCGTACCCCAAAGATGAGTAGTTCCACAGAACCCTTGCTTACAAATCAGTTGCAGAGAGATCCGGAGCTGAAATGTAATAGTGACCCTTTTTCTAGTGCTGGAATCTGGAGCCATATGATTTTCGGGTGGCTTAATCCTCTCTTTGTAAAAGGTCACCGCGAAAAACTTCAGTTGGATGATTTACCACCAATTCCTTCTTCAGAAACTGCTGATGAAGCTTCTAAACAGCTGGAGGAGTGTCTCAGAAAGGTGAAATCTCAGAACGTCACCCTTCCAAGGGCCATTCTTAATGCCATATGGATTCCCCTGGCCACAAATGCAGTTTTTGCAGGTATGACTTCTACATTTGGTGTGATAGCTCAATAGAACTTGAATAATTTCTTACAAAACCGAGTTACACATGCTAAAAAAATTTCTCAAGCAATATTTTTAAGATGCAAAGATCTATCTTGTCTTCTGATTTTCAAACTTTTTCTTCATCGACTTGGCCATGTAATGTAATTCGATTAAGTTTTCTGATCGGATTCCCCCCCCCCCCCCCCCTCTCTATTTGCAGGGATCAATACCATTGCTTCCTACATTGGACCGCTCCTAATCACAAGTTTTGTGAACTTCTTATCTGCTGATGAAAATGTTAACTGGCACCAGGGTCTATTTCTTGCATTGATCTTCTTCTCTGCAAAGACAGTGGAGTCTCTCACTCAGAGGCAATGGTATTATGGGGCTCGTCGAATAGGAATCAGAGTCAGGGCAGCTTTGATGGCATTGATATACAAAAAGGCTCTCACAGTTAGGTATGGCGACACAAGTAGTGGCAAAATCATTAATTTCATCAATGTTGATGTTGAGAGAATAGGAGATTTCTTCTGGTATCTCCATGGTATTTGGCTGCTGCCAGTTCAGGTTATCTTTGCTCTGGTCATCTTGTGTAAGAACTTAGGCGCTGCTCCCTCTGCTGCTGCTTTCCTAACCACAGTACTTGTGATGGTGAGCAATACCCCACTCGCTAATATGCAGAAAAGGCTCCACGGCAAGATAATGGAAGCCAAAGATTCACGAATAAAAGCAACTTCGGAGACCTTGAAGAGCATGAGAGTCCTGAAATTGCATGCATGGGAATCAACTTTTTTAGTGAAACTGCTTCAACTTAGAGAAACGGAGCGTGGATGGCTCAAGAAATACCTCTACACAAGCTCGGCAGTGGCTTTCCTCTTTTGGGCTTCTCCAACATTAGTATCAGTTGTCACTTTTGGGGTTTGCATCATGTTGGGAACACCATTGACATCAGGCACTGTACTATCTGCTTTGGCCACTTTTAGAATTCTTCAAGAGCCTATTTACAATCTGCCAGAGCTTATTTCGATGACTGCTCAGACAAGAGTCTCAATTGATCGCGTTCAGAGTTTCTTCATGAAAGAAGATCATAAAGTTTTGCAGCAAAGTCGTACTCTGGTTTCACCAGATATCTCCGTTGAGATTGAGGCTGGTGAATATGCTTGGCAGAATAGAGATGGTGACAAACCAGCAATTAAGATCACAGAGAGACTCACCATCCCAAAAGGCAGCAAAGTGGCTATCTGTGGTTCTGTCGGTTCAGGAAAAACCAGTTTTATCTGCAGCATACTTGGTGAAATACCTATAATCTCAGGCTTGTGTATAAAATCTTATGGGTCAAAAGCATTTGTTCCGCAAACTTCTTGGATACAAACAGGCACAGTTAGAGATAATGTATTGTTTGGAGAGGAAATGGATAGAGCTTCCTATGAACATGTTTTGGCAGCATGTTCCCTGAACCAAGATATTGAGATATGGGGTGACGGAGATTTATGTATGATTGGGGAAAGGGGATTGAACTTGAGTGGTGGACAAAAACAACGGATCCAAATGGCGAGGGCATTGTTCAGCAATTCTGATATCTATTTGCTGGATGATCCTTTCAGTGCTGTTGATGCTCATACCGGGGCACATATGTTCAAGGTAATAGAAAGTTTTACTTTGACCTGCTTCTATATTATTTCACTTCCTTGTACAACTAATTTTAGTTATTTGTTTATATTTTAATCTTTTGAACCTGATGCTATGCAGGAATGCTTGATGCAAATCTTGAACAAAAAGACCGTGGTCTACGTCACACATCAGTTGGAATTCTTAGGTGCTTCTGATCTTGTTTTGGTAATTTCAAAGATTTGTTGCAGCTGTACTTATCTTGAATATTTTATTTGAAACATGGTGACAACATTTCTTAATGAAAATGTATCCCTTGCAGGTAATGAAAGATGGCAAAATTGCTGAGTCAGGAAAATATCAAGATCTCATTGCAAATCCTGATGGTGAACTTACAAAACTAATGGCGTCTCACAGAAGCTCTCTAAGTCAAATGAACAATCAAAAGAAAATGAGCTTGGCAAAGAGTTCCCAGGCTAACCAAGTGGAAGTAAGCAGAATTAAGTTTGTAGACCTCAGCAGAAGTAGCAAGGTTTCTGAACAGAGTATGTCTGATGATACTGAAACCGGCAGAGTGAAATGGCATGTGTATGCAACTTTTGTCACATCTGCATACAGAGGAGCGCTTGTTCCAGTCATCCTATTATGTCAGATCCTCTTCCAGGCGTTGCAGATGGCGAGCAATTACTGGATCACTTGGGGATCGGAACAAGTTGGGAGTGTGACAAAACCACAGTTGATTGAGATATTTGGTTTTCTTTCTGGCGGAAGCTGTCTATTTATGTTGGGAAGAACTGCCCTACTGTCCACCATTGCTATTGAGACTGCCCAGCAGCTCTTCCTTGGCTTGATAACCTCAGTTTTCCGGGCACCATTGTCATTTTTCGACTCAACACCTTCGAGCATACTTCTAAATCGAGTAAGTAAATCTTAGTCTTGTTATATTGAGTTGTGCAGTCTGATTTGGTGTGGAAGTTAGTATGGCTAAAACTTCTGTTCTTGTTCATAACAGTCATCAACAGATCAAAGTACAGTAGATACAGATATTCCTTACAGGTTAGCTGGACTAGCATTTGCACTCATTCAGCTATTGAGCGTCGTTGCACTGATGTCCCATGTCGCATGGCAGGTCTTCATCCTCTTCCTTGTTGTCTTCGCCCTCTCCCTTTGGTATCAGGCAAGGACATTTTAACATTCCTAATGAGTTAATCCAATCCATGAACAGATCCTTGATCTAAGTTCTTCAAGCTTGTTTTTTTTTTTTTTTTTTGTCCCTCAATTTTGAACCTTGTTTTGTTGCAGTCATATTACATCGCCACGGCAAGGGAATTGGCTCGAATGGTTCCAATCCAGCAAGCACCGATACTCCATCACTTCTCAGAATCAATATCCGGTGCAGCAGTGATCCGGTGCTTCAATCAGGAAGCTCGGTTTTGGAAAAAGAACATGGAGCTCATAGACAACTACTCCCGCGCATCCTTTCATAACTCCGGAACAATGGAATGGCTTTGTGTTCGAATTAATTTCCTTTTCAATCTTGTATTTTTCCTCCTCCTCGTCATCCTAGTCAGCCTTCCAAGATCCACAATCGACCCCAGTAAGTATTTAGACATCCCTGGCTGATCCAGAAAACCGGCATGCACCATATCTAACAGATTTATCTTGTTTATTGCAGGCCTGGCAGGACTTGCAGCCACATATGGTCTGAACTTGAATGTGCTCCAAGCTTGGGTGATATGGAATCTCTGCAATGTTGAAAACAAAATGATCTCCGTTGAGAGGATTCTGCATTTCAAAGATATTCCATGTGAAGCTGCACTGGTCATTGAAGATTGCAGGCCAAAGAAAGGGTGGCCACACAACGGCACAATCGAAATCAAGAACCTCTACATACAGTACAGCTTTGCTCTTCCAAAAGTTCTAAAGGGAATCACTTGCACCTTTCCTGGTGAGAAGAAAATAGGTATCGTGGGAAGAACTGGCAGCGGGAAATCGACTCTCATCCAAGCGCTTTTCAGAGTTGTAGAACCTTCCCATGGCTGCATTGTGATCGATGGATTGGACATTTCGAAGATAGGTTTGCAGGATCTTAGATCAAGGCTGAGTATAATCCCGCAAGATCCAATTCTGTTTCAAGGAACCCTGAGGATGAACATCGATCCTTTGGAAGAACACTCGGATCAAACGATATGGGAGGTAGTTTAAAATTTGCCTAAAGTCTTCACATGTTTCGATCTTTTAACAATGCTCCATATTAACTCATCTTCCAACATGCCAGGTTTTACGCAAGTGCCATCTTTCCGAAACCATGAAAGGAGACGAACAATTATTGGATGCTCCAGGTTTACTCTTGTTTTTCTTACAATGCAAACATACTTATTGTTCTATATACATGTTACTGAACTTTTGAAAATCACTGCAGTTGCTGAAGACGGCGAAAACTGGAGTGTTGGACAAAGGCAACTTGTCTGCCTAGCTAGAGTTCTCTTACAAAGGCGAAAAATATTGGTTCTGGATGAGGCTACAGCTTCTGTGGATACGGCAACCGATAACTTAATCCAGAAGACCATAAGAGAAGAAACTGGTGGATGCACTGTCCTAACAGTGGCTCACCGGATACCTACAGTGGTCGACAATGACTTAGTTTTGGTCCTCGGTGATGGTAAGGTTCTTGAATACGATTCTCCTTCTCGGCTGCTCGGAGACAGTAATTCGCAGTTCTCAAGATTGGCGGTTGAATTCTTGACAAGATCATCCACAGAGGAGGATCGTAAGTGAAGACACATGCACTCATTATTCGCGGCGCAATGGAAGAACTGTGAGAGGAAAATAACAGCGCGCCGAATTGTGTATGCGATAAATTGTTTTTAACATAGAAAGGATTTTATGAAGTGTCAAAGTTTTGCACTTGATAGCATCAATGTAAATATAGCTTATGATAGTCCTTTGAAGAATAAATAACATGTTACTTTCTCTATTAACCTTTTTTTTATGCTCTGATTTCCTTTAGTTTTGTGAAAACATCGATTTTTAATCTGTTTCTTGTCTACTTCTGCAGAAAACAAAAGCAGAGAAAGAGCGACGCGATGCGCCAACGAGCTTTCTCAGACAGTGCTCGGCGTAGGCTTTCGCGCTTCTTCGTAGTTTATTACACATATACATATAAGGTGTTACACAACACATTGTTGTCTTCTTTGCCTATTTTGCGATGAAAAATGTCGAAATCTAATGGTGGAATGTATTTAAGTGATTTCAGGGTTGATGGAGATGTTCCTGAGCAACTGCTTGCAGGAAATGCCCACAGCTGATCCAAGGAGTGGATACACCAAAAACAATATATACATATATATATATATATACACACACGCGCGTGGAGTGGCCTTTCACCTTATAAAACTAGGGGAGAAGAAGGGATTCGGACTTTCAATTTAAAACCAATTGGTGATAGGTGGAGTAGTCTTTACCTTATAAACCTATCCCACACATATTTTCTAATGTAGGATATATTCAACGCTCTCCTCGAGATGATAATCTCAAAAATTCATATTGATAATATGCTTTGATAATAGGTAAAGTGATCTTTCACCCTTATAAAGAAAAGGAGATTCCAAATATTTTCCAATGTAATATATTCAACACCGGATCGAATATGGACTTTGTCTTCCAGCGAAAAATGTCTCTTATATTAATACATAGCTTAACTATATTAATTTTCCTTTTAAATTGTCATCTAATAATGTTTTTAATTTTTCTTATTGGTGAAAATTTATATTTATATTTTTTGTCCATCATATATATATATATATATACTGTTATAAAAGGCTAAACAAAATATCAATTATTAGAATAAGCACAATGGTTTGTATTAAATATAGGTAAAGAAGTTCAAATCTTTCAATGCCTTAAAATTTTGGATGTCACGCAACTTGTCTTGTCATCTCGCCAGTATCGCATGCATATATAAATTTATTTACTTTTTATTTAATATATTATGAATTTTTTTAATATTATCTAAAATATTTATTTATATTACATTAAATAATTTTTAATTAAAAAATTAGTATCCAAATTTTTAAAAGAACACATTTCAAATATTTATTTCTTATTTTAACTATTATGTATACAAAAAAAAAAAAATTAGAATTATTGTGGGTTTGTTTGTGGAATTTTAGGTTGGATTTTAGTATTTCAATTTTTTTAAAAAAAAATTTATATCAAATCAAATATTTATTTTTTATTTATTATAATACATTAAAATTTAATTTTACATTCAAAATAACAATAATTTTTATATCACATTAAGAAAATTATTTTAAGATAAAAATTTATTTTCAAAATCCAAACTCAATCAATATACCCCCATAAACAAGTGGTGGAATAATATTTAATAAATTTTAATCAATAAATTATTTTTATATTAATAGTATATTATAAATACAAATTATTTAAAATAATTTAAATTATAATTATAATTAGTATATACTTCTTCTATCCTAAAACATTAGAGATATTTGGGATTGACTCGAAAATTAAGAAATAATAATATTACATTAATAGTGGGTGTAAAAGTATTTTTAAAAAACTAAAATACCTTTAGTTTAAATAATTATTATGAAAAAATAAGAATAATTTTATAAAAATATGAAGAGTTAGTTACCAAAAACAAAAATATGACTATTATTTTTGGAAGGGCGAGAATATTAATTACTAGTACAAGCACCAGTCAAACCCAGCCCAAATTAACGTTAGCAGTCATTCACGATAAAATGTTTACATTTCTTCAATCAACATAATATCTTATTATAAAGTTTATAAATCAAATCATATAATTAAAACAAAAACTTACAAATCAAAGGTGTCGTGGTGTAGTTGGTTATCACGTCAGTCTAACACACTGAAGGTCTCCGGTTCGAGTCCGGGCGACGCCAAACCCTAAATTTGATTAAAGGTGTTTCGTGTATTTTGCCACGTCTCATCGAATTAAAAATATATTTATGGGACAGAGAGAATTTTTATTTTTTATTTTTATTTTTTTACCCATATGCTATTTTGGTTTTAGCAAAAGCAGGTCAAAAAACGTGACAACAAGAAAGGCGTGGAACGCGACGTGGCGAGTGATGTCACGCCTCAGGCGGCAAAACTAGAAATTTATTCATTTAAAAAAAATTAGCATATAAAATATGGGCGTTGACAATTTATTATTATTATTATTATTATTATTATTATTAAATAAGCGAATAATAAATTAACAGTTGAGGGTGTTTTTATTTTTATATTTAAAATAATTTCAATAAAATTTTGTCATTTTTCCTAATGCAAAATAAATAATAGTAGTATTTTTATGTTTAAAATAGGAAGAAAATTATTTTGGAATTGATTCTAATTTATTTGTTTAGCATGCAAATTATTACATCTTTAAATTTGAAAATGGTGTTTTTTAAATAAAAAATAAATAAATATAAGAAAAGTCACTATAACAAGTTTATAAATCTAGAATATTTAATTTTATTATTATTATCTTTATAATAGTTTGCCTTTTCGCTATTATATTTGAATATTCAAGGTCGCAATATTATTATATTATAAGAAAAAATTAAAGTCATGAGAGATTCCTCATGTAATATATTATTAATATAACGATTATGAATGTATTTGGGTAGTGTTAATTATTGACACTTATATATATATATATATATATATTTCATAAAAATCATAACAGCCCAAAATATTATTTTTACTTACACGAATTTTTTTATCTCACATATAAAAATTTAAAATTAAAACACTAAACAATGAATTTTAATTATATTGTTTTTAAAATGGTATAATAATTATGGGTATTTTTTTATAAAATATATTATTTAAATAAAAAAAAGTTGTAAAAAATATATACTAATCTTACTCTCTTTGTCCCACAACAAGGGTGACGTTTGCTTTTTGCACGTAAATTTTTTAATATTAGTATTATAATGGACTGTAATAAAAATGACGAAAATACTCCTATCAGTATTGTGTAATATAAAAATAATAGCATTTGTGTAATATAGTGTAAGTTGGAAGGGTATTTATTATTTGGGTAAACTGTTTTTTTAGTCCCGTAACTGAGACCCATTTATCATTTTAGTCTCGTAAGTGGAGTCTATCGCAAACTAGTCCCATAAGTGAAAAATTTTCGTTGTTTTAGTCCTCTGGCGTCGGAGACACCCGCGTGGCTCGCCGGAGGTGACGTGTCCGCCAGGTGCCCCGCCAGGTCAGCGACACCTGGCGAACACGTGGATTTATTATTTTTTTTTCAATTTTTTTTAATTTTTTTAATTTTTTTTAATTAGACAAAATTTAAAAAAAATACAAAAAATTAAAAATAAGTTTTAAAAAAAGTTAAAAAATTCACGTGTCCGCTAGGTCAGCGACACCTGGCGGACACGTCACCTCCGGCGAGCCATGCAGGCATCTCCGGCGCCGGAGGACTAAAATAGCGAAAATCTTTCACTTATGGGACTAGTTTGCGACATGCTCCACTTACAGGACTAAAATGATAAGGGGGTCAGTTACGGGACTAAAAAAACAGTTTACCCTTATTATTTTAGGTAGATAGTACAATTACTAAATTATGAAATGGTAACCTTATTTTGGGACGGACGAAAATGGAAAATGACAACCTTTCAATGGGACGGAGGGAGTATTATATTTTCTAGATCCGTCAAAATTATTTTTATTTTGCTTTTTAATTTTTTTGTTCCTTCCGTCTCACTTAATTCTTCAACTATTTATATTTTAGTCTCATGTAATTTGTCTTTTTTCTTTTTAGAAAATATAATTATACACTGTTTAATCATATTTTAAAATTCATAATTCATAATTTTTTATTTTAATTAAACTATTAAGTTATTTTAATTTTAATCTATAATTATTTTCTATCACATTATTTCTTTATATTTTAAATTACCAACTAAAATTTTAAAAAATACTTTAAAATTCTAAGGGTGTGTTTGTTTGGGGGTTTGGATTTTTTATTGAGATTTGAATAGTAAAAAAATTGAATTTAAATAGTTGTATGATTTAATATAAATATGTATTGATGTGATATTTTAAATATAAAATTGATTTTTAATATAATATAAAAAATAAAAAATAATCTCATCGTCGATCATAGCGAGCTAATTTTATGGGATAGGACTAATAATAATAAATCACAAATGATTTGGTGTTGAGGTCCCGGGTGCTCCAAGAAGTTCCCTCTACCGCATGTCTTATGATGTCTACATTATTTTTCATTAAATATATATTTTACCCAAATTGTAGACATGAAGTTCAAAATCAAAGCAAATTTGTCCATCTCGAAAAAACAAATAAATTATTTTTAAATAACATATTTACATTAGCCTTTCCACACCCACGTGGAATATTCCCAGATTATTCCGGTAAAAATAAATAAATGCGTGTCTAAAAAAGTAATTAAAAATAAAAATAAATATTCTTGAATATCTGGTTTCTTATTTTCCAAGCAAGAAATGTAACCTAAATCTGATATTACAAATGTAAGCAATTACGACCACTCACCCTCAGATTTTAGAATTTTTTCTTATTAGTCTTATGAATTGTGAAAGATACTATTAAATAATTTATTTTTTTTATTATTTTTTTTGAATATTTATATTAAAAACAATATATATATATATATTTGTAAATAGACTGCTCAGTATTTCAAGTTTATTTATTTATTTATTTATTTATTTTTACTTTTGTACATAATATTTTATATTTTATATATTTTTTTTATATAGAAATGCAATTCAAAATTTATGTTAGATAACAAAGGGAGTTCGATTTTGAATATTAATTATTATATCAAAATATATTATAAATAAGAAAAAATGACAAAAGATACTTCTATTAATATTTTATAATACCTGTATAATGACATTTATACAAAAAAAAAATATACATATATACAAATATAAAAATATTTTTAATATTAATAACAATGACGTAAAAAATAAATGGATACGTTGTTAAGGGACGAAAATATTATTTATTACCTTTCCAATCCTAATCCAAACAAATACCAATATATATATATATATACACATTTTTGTAATACAATTTTAAATTTCTTTATGGAAAATAAAATTACATGTATATTTCAATTATTGAAATAAACAAATCTATGTACTCCTCCGCCGGATTTATCATCAAACAAAACAGTGGGAATGATTGGTTTTGCTTCAAATCAAAATTCAGACACCTTTCCAATAAAAATATATTTAGAGTTCAAATTTTGAGTTGGGATTTAAATAGTAAAAATTTTGAATTTGAATAGTTGTACGATGTAATATAAATAGGTGTTGATGTGATATTTTGAATGTAAAATTAATTTTTAGTATAATATAAAAAAATAAAAAATATATATTTGATTTGATATTTTTGGGGAAAAAAATGAGATGAATAGTGTATTTAAAATCCAAAATCCAAACAAACACACCCCTAGTGTATTTATTCAATCATTCTTGTTTCTTAACGCTATCAGAAATAATAATATAAAATATATTATACAAAAGTTTTTTTAAAAAAAAAATCTAAAATTTTATTATAAAAAAACAAAAAATTATTAAAAAAATCAAATATTCATCTAAAATCGTATATTTTATATTTTTGACACAATTTTTTATATCACATAACAATAATTATTTTATGTAAAGACGCCGGATGAACGAGGCAAATAAACTTGTTTATTATTGTTTTTAATTAATATTATAAAAATATATATGTACTATATGTATTCATAAAAATAACAATTCAAATTAAAATACAAAATAAATATATTTACTTTATTGTGTTTTGAAATTGACAGGATTATGATTTGAGTTTTTTTTTTTTTTTTTCTATAAATAATATATTTTGATATTATATTTTATGAAAAAAAGTAATAAAATTATATTTTTTTATTGAAAACATTTTCAATTTAATTTATTTTAGTGGAATGATTTTTCCCAAATATGATTAAAAAACTATATATATATTAACACAATATATATATATATTTATTCTTAAAAAAATAAAATATTCATATAAAATATTATTATTTTTTAAAATTAATAATATAATTTCCTATATATAATTTTCTATATATTTGTTCAATAAGAAATAGTCAGGTGATGCAGAGGTTGGACTTGTGACAGCGTGGTCATAGTAGTATATGAAATAATTATTTTTTTTATATTATATTATAAATTTATTTTACCTTATTTATATTATATAAAACAATTATTCAAAACTCTAAAATTAAAACTAAAATCAATAAACAAACACATCCTAAGAGGTGTTTGAAAAATATTATGGAAAATTGTGGAAGAACAAATTCTTAAAATATAAATACAAAATTAAAGTTCAAAACAAACTCCATCACATCCAGCGGTTTTGAAAAAGGTCAAAAAAATTCTTCCCTTTTTGCTTTTCCCCCAAGAAAACAACGGCACCACAGTTTTACATGAACCATGGCTGCCTGCCCCTCTATAAAAACGCTCCATCAGTTTCTGCTCCTCACCATCTTCTGCTCTTATTATACACTCCATTTCTCTCATTTTTCTCAGTTTCTGGCCTCATGGCGAAGATTAAGATCGGAATCAACGGTATGCTCATACTCATTTATATAATATAGATCCGCGCTTGTTTAAGTGTTTTTGAGTTATTTCATTTCGCTGTTGCTTTGATCGATCAGTAGATTTATTGTAATTTCTGAGAACGGCCTATGAAATTCGATTCTAATGTTTTTGATTGTGTTATTTGGGGCTTGACTAGGGTTTGGCAGGATTGGTCGTTTGGTTGCGAGAGTTGCTCTGCAGAGGGACGATGTGGAGCTTGTTGCTATTAATGATCCATTTATCACGACTGATTACATGGTGATTTTTCCCTCGTTCATTTTATATATATATATATATATGTATATATATGTATCTATGTATAATGTAATCTGGTTGGAGTTTGGCTTGATTAATGATGCCTGAAAAACGAAATGTGTGTAGACATATATGTTCAAGTACGACACCGTCCATGGCCATTGGAAGCACAGTGAGGTGAAGGTGAAGGATGAAAAGACCCTCGTCTTTGGTGATAAGACTGTAAAAGTGTTTGGAGTCAGGCAATTCCCAAATTCTTTCTTGCCCTAATTTCAAAATACATGAATGATTGAATATTTTGATCGTTATTGAATGTTGGTCTGTAAATTGTGATTTGCAGGAACCCTGATGAAATCCCGTGGGGTGAAACAGGTGCAGAGTATGTTGTGGAGTCCACTGGGGTCTTCACGGACAAAGATAAGGCTGCTGCTCACTTGAAGGTCAGATTCAGATCCTCTTGAACAGATCTAATATTGATTTGTTTCTTACATACATGTTGCATTAGTAGTTCTTGTAAAATTTATTTGTGTAATGAATATTAGGGTGGGGCTAAGAAGGTAGTGATAAGTGCACCAAGCAAAGATGCTCCCATGTTTGTTGTTGGTGTGAATGAGAAGGAATACAAACCTGAGTACAATGTCGTCTCCAATGCTAGCTGCACCACCAACTGCCTTGCTCCCTTGGCTAAGGTATCATCAAAACATCACTTTTGTCCTACCTTCGACATAAAAATTCACATTCATGAATTGGATTTGATTGGATTGGATTGCAGGTTATTCATGACAGGTTTGGCATTGTGGAGGGCCTTATGACCACTGTTCACGCCATTACTGGTTTCGCCTCTTTCCTTCCTACACTTAAGTTTTATCGTTACATCCTATATTGTTCTTGATGTAATAAATTGTTTGTTTGATTTGTGTGTTATTACAGCTACTCAAAAGACCGTCGACGGCCCGTCTGCTAAAGACTGGCGAGGCGGCAGAGCGGCCTCCTTCAACATCATCCCCAGCAGCACTGGTGCTGCAAAGGTATTATTACCATTTCTTGAATTCATTCGCCCGTGTTTGTTTCCACTATGTTGTCGCTTCTAACCATGTGTCTTTTGGATTAGGCTGTCGGGAAAGTGCTTCCATCTCTGAACGGGAAGCTGACAGGGATGTCGTTCCGGGTCCCTACAGTTGATGTCTCAGTTGTCGATCTCACTGTCAGGCTGGAGAAGGAAGCAACCTATGACGAGATCAAAGCTGCGATCAAGTCAGCGCATCAGTCGATATGTCGTATAGTTTTTATTACACCTAAGGAGGTTGTCTGAGTTTCTTGGTTGGTTTTTTGCAGGGAAGAGTCGGAGAACAAGCTCAAGGGCATTCTTGGCTACACTGAGGATGACGTTGTCTCCTCTGACTTTGTTGGCGACAACCGGTAAGATCACTCTGCCTCGTTTCAAGCTAACGTTGAATCAAACCTTAAAAATGTAGAAAAATGATACGATGATTCTGTTCAGTTCGAGCATATTCGATGCCAAGGCGGGGATCGCGTTGAGCAACAAGTTCGTGAAGCTCGTGTCGTGGTACGACAACGAGGTCGGGTATAGGTGAGAGTCTGTTATTGCATCAAATTAGATCGATCAGTGATGGTGTTTTTGATGGTCATATGATTTTTATTTATTTTTTGTTTTTTTGCAGCTCCCGTGTGATCGATTTGGTGGTTCATATGGCTTCTGTTGCTTGAAGGAGGAGACTTCTCGCCTTATTTGCGCTTTCTGATTCTTAAGAATTAAACTCGTGTTTCTGAATCACATTGCTGAGACTATGAGTCGTGTTTCTCCCTGTGTATCTCTTACTGTGAAGAGAGCTTTTTATTTGTCAATTTGAATGAGATGTCGCATTTTCAAATTTATAATTAAGTAGTCTCAATCCGGGCGATATATTATTATCTTTGTCATTTAAATCTATCTGCAATTCTTTTTTTAGACTGTTATAAAAATAAATATTCCCATTTCTATATTTGGTAAAAAAAATATTGGTTTTCATAATTTTGTACTTCTTCCGTTCCAAAAGAGTTTTTTATTTTTGTCCGTCTTAAAACAATTGTCTTAAAACAATTGTCTTGTTTCCTTATTTAGTAACCGTGGTCTCCACTTTATATCAAAATTATTCATACTTTTCCAAACTACAGGATATTTTAGTATTTTACATTCTATTTTATACCGGAGAGAGTATTATAATGTGCAATAAGTGACAAAAATTATACCTTCACATTAAAATAATTATAAAAATATTGAATATATATTTATATAATGGAATCAGTATTACCCTTTTTTGTTTCTAAAGAAATTTTAAAATTGTATATGCTAAAAAAATGTATAATAGAAATAGTTGATATAATTATTGGGTTTGTTTTCATTGTTTTAGTTTCAGGTATATATATATATATTTATGTAAAGTATAGAAAATTTTACAAATAATATAAAAATATTTTATATTGAATATCGATTTTTGTAACATATGAAATATAATATAGTATATATATTTAATGTACCATGGATTGCAAATTTTCCGGTTAAATATAGATTTTATTATAACTATGAATATGTAATCATAATTGATCAATATATTTAAATAGTATGTAAATACTATTTTATTTGTTTTTCTATAAAATAAAGTTAGTTGAACATTTAGGATTATTATCTTAATTTATTTTTTCTTATCGAAAATAATAGAGTATCATTTTTTATTATTTTAAAAGCTACTCTCAGTCCCATATATTTTAGAAATATTAGTATTTAATTTACAAAAATATGTACCAATGTAAAATTATGTTTAATGAAAAAATATACTAGTATAATACAAAAATAAAATAAACTCGTGGTCGGCAGGATTCGAACCTGCGCGGGCAGAGCCCACATGATTTCTAGTCATGCCCGATAACCACTCCGGCACGACCACTTGCTGTTATAACGGTGAACGTTTATATATTTAACGTTTATATATTTTGAAATTATCGAACTAATTTAAGCTCAGAACTTGAACAATTGGACAGTCCATAAATATTACTCTCTCTCTCATATTTATATACAAATTTGTTTTATCAGAAATATTAGTATTATAATGGAAGAAAGTATAAAAAAAAGATAAAAAAAATTAAATTACCCATATTAGTATTGCATGATATAAATATAATGACATTTGTGTAATATATTGTAAATTGAAATGGTATTTGCAATGTTAGGTAGATGGTCGAATTACTTAAAAAAGAAAATGAATATTTTGTTATGGAACAGACCAAAATGAAAAAATGGATAAATTGTTAAGGGACGGATGAAGTATATTAAACATTTATTTTTAAATTTTATATTATAGTAAAAAATTATTTTTACGTTCAAAATATTATATCAAATACCTATTTATACGAAATTATACAACTATTTTAATTAAAAAATTTATTATTCAAAATCCAAATTTCAAAACAAACACACCCAAAATAAATAGCTAGATTAGCCCAAACGTTCGAACCGCTAGTTTCGATTTATATTTACTCATTTTTTAAAATTTTTCTCTTTATTTTCTATTTTAAAAATTCTGTTTTTATTAAAGAATAACCCAATGTAACTTCGGTTATGTTGTGTTGAATTTCTTCTGTAGTGATAATAATATAAGAAAAATCTACCAGATTGTTATAAAATAAAAGAATATTGATATAATAAGTAATATTTTATTTGTCCCATGACAATTGAGTATAAATAATTAAATTAAATACCAGATAAAAATAACTTATAAAAAATAATAATATATTAAATAATAATATAATTTAAATCCAATATAATTATATAAAAATTATTATGTAATAAACAACAATAAATGTAAAAAAGTATCGTAACAAAAATATATTTATTACATTGTTACTTTTATATTATTATTAATAATAATAATTTATTTTTATTACTTTTTGTTGATGTATTTTTCAATAATAAAAAGTAAAATTCGAAAATAGGGAATTATCTCCGAATTTGATATAATTAGTGCATGAGATTAGGAATCCCAAAGGCAATTTATGTCTATTGAAGATGGTTTCTTAAGTTAGGAACAGACCAATTTAAAACCCTTTAAAGAAACGGTTTGAACCGCCGTATGGTCGGTTACAGCAACCACTGTTAATCGCCCAAAAAATTCTCTTCTGTCGACACGTGTGTTAACCGACTCACCAACCGCTCTCGCCAGTTACAGCACTCAACTGACTCGGCTGACCGCCTCTGAGAACCTCACCGCCTTAAATGAGCGGCTGGTCCGACCGGCTACTCAGCCACCAAAATAACCCCTGACTCCTTAGACAGATCGCAGGCCAACCGACCAGTCCAGATACTAACTGGTCGCTAGACCAAACGACTCCTTGGTCGCCCCACCAAGCGACCACCATCTGATCTCTTGTCCGACCTCGTATCGTCCGTCTCATTCTTCTTCGCCCGACCTCACTTGGTCCGACCTGTGTAATAACCGTCCTTCTTCGACCGACTTCCCCTTTCGACCGACCGTCGTATCAGCCGTCCTTCTTCGCCCTACTTCCTCTTTCGACCGACCGCCGTATCAGCCGTCCTTCTTCGCCCGACTTCCTCTTTCGACCGCCCGCCGTATCAGCCGTCCTTCTTCGCCCGACTTCCTCTTTCGACCGACCGCCGTATTAGCCGTCCTTCTTTGCCCGACTTCCTCTTTCGACCGACCTCCGTATCAGCCGTCCTCCGTCCGACCTCAGTTGGTCCGACCGCGGGCCAACCGACTATGGACCATCCGACCGACCCAACCGACTGCGAACCATCCGACAGCGAACTAACCGACCGGCTCTATTTGTCTTATCTCCTTAGATAAACAACTGGTCCAACAGACTATCCTCTTGACAGACCTTTGCGTCTGTCCATACTTCTTCTTTGCTCGACCTTCGTCTTGACAGACCTCCGCGTCTGTCGATACTTCTTCTTTACCCGACCTTCGTCTTGACAGACCTCTGCGTATGCCGAAACTTCTGCTTTGCCCGACCATATCACGCCCGAGCTCCGCACCCGACCTTATTATTCCTGAGCTCCGCACCCGACCTTATTACACCCGATCTTGTCCTGTCAGACCTCCGTATCGGCCGATCATCCTTCCTTGTTCGACTTTCTTTTGCCCGACTTCTGGGCCGTTTGACTTATATTCATACCCATCCAGAATTCTACTGCAATTATTTATTATTATTTTTTGTGTTCAACACTTTTATTTTTATAAAAATATAGTATTATAACTGTTGCTTTTTACTATTTATAAGTTAAAAAAATATAAAATGGTACTACCTCTGTCCAATTACGAGGATTTCATTTATATTTTGGATGTTAGAACTCTGAATACTTATTATTATATGAATACGTAGTACCGATTAAGAAAAAATTGCAAAAATATTTGAATTGGTGTATTATAATACTAATATAAATATATTTATATAAAAAAAATTATACAAATATAAAAATATTTTTAATATTAAGTATAATGACACAAAACGTAAATGTTACTTTAAAGGCGGATGAAAGGAGTAATATTTATTAAAGTTGAATGAAAGACTAAAGGTGTGTTCGTTTGTAAGACTTTTACAAAATTTTACTATTCATCCCATTTTTTCCCCCCAAAAACATCAAATCAAACACCTATTTTTCATTTTTTATATTATACTAAAAATAAATTTTACATTCAAAACATCACATCAACACCTATTTACATCACATCATACAACTATTCAAATTCAAAATTTTTACTATTCAAATCTCAACTCAAAATCCAATCCCCCAAACAAACACACCCTAATAGTATTTCTTTTGTCCAATCACAAATATATATATATATTAATTTTCTATTGTTCAATTATAAAATGATCATTTAAAAAATAATTCATTTTTTTAATACAAAATATTCATATTTTATCATCATATAATTATTTTTACACAAAAAGTAAAAAAAGTAGTAATATAATAATTTTAATTATATACATATTGGGTGTGTTTATTTTGTGTTTTGATTTTAAAAAAATTTATATAATATAAAAATAATCAGTCTATTTAGCAATTAATCGATCTTTTTTGTGTTGTGGTATGCAAATTTGTACTTGTAATATAAAAAATAATATTTTGTATTGAATAATTAACTTTTTATTAGTGAATTATATATATTATATTAACGTGTATATATTTGTACTTTTTTAAAATAATATTTATAAAAAATTGTTCATTAAAAATAATGAATGAAATTCATGAATACACATAGTAGTATATTAAATTTCTGGGAAAAAATTATTTTTAGTTCCAATATAATAAAAATTTATCAATTTTGGTCCCAATATAAAAATCTTATCAATTTTGGTTCCAATATAACCAAAACTTATTATTTTTGGTCCCAATATAATTTTTTTTTATCAATTTTAGTCTCAATATAACCAAAACTCATCATTTTTTTGTCTCAATATATTCACACTTTTTTTTGGGTCCCACCGTCGACAAACTGACGAAAAATATTGATATGAAAAGAAATCAAACTTTATATTTATATTCGAAGAAATTGCACAATCTTGCAAGTCCACGTCAGCATTTCTGTCGGTTTGTTGACTGTGGGACAAAAAAAGATAAGGTTTGATTATATTGTGACAAAAAAATAATGAGTTTTGATTATATTGAGACTAAAATTGATAAAAAAAATTTATATTTGGACCAAGAATGATGAGTTTTGATTATATTGAGACCAAAATTGATAAAATTTTTATATTGAGACCAAAATTAATAAATTTTAGTTATATTGAGATGAAAAATAATTTTTTTCTAATTTTTTTTGAATAAATATATTAAAAAAATTTGAAAAAAAAAATCATTATTTTTATAAAATATACTTTAGCCCTCAACTTTAACATCCACGGACCACAGCCAGTCAGCCACTGGGGCACCAATTTCTCCCCGTCTTTTCTTCTTCCCCTTATTTCCTTTCTTCCTTCTTCTTTCCACGCTTTCCTCAACGCTTCTTATTCTTCACCGGTTCACCCTGTAGTCCTAAGGTTTAACGAATAGAGGAACCGTATCCGAACCGTGTACGTGTAAAACTCGGTTCGATAGCGGTCCGGTTTGAAACCGGTTGGGCAAGTTTATAAATAGTTACGTCGTCTTCAGGAGATTTGCCGGGGTTTGCGCGAAGAAACTCGACTGAATGTCTCTTGGAGGTACGGAAATAATCGACTGGTACAAATTGCATTTTGTTTAGAGTCGACTAGATCTCTCGACTGACTTGTTTGTTTGTTTTAGTGTTTTAATTTTTTGTTGTCTTTATATTACTATTCCCTGCTTTTGTTCCAATTGGCTGATTTGATTTAATCGTTTGTGAATGTTCACTTGAAATCGGATTCAGTAAATGTGTTGGATGTTTTTTGTTTCATGACATTTGATCGCATTTAGTAAGTGAGATTGATATATTCCCAACCATTTTTGTGGTGCACACGAAGTGTTTGTGAAATTGAAGTTGGTATTTAGTCACTGGTAGAGCTTACCGTTCGTGTGGATATTGAATTCGGATTCGAAGTGTTGAGTGTAGAATATGTTATCTCGTATTTTGATTGTAGAATTCTAGACAAATTTATCAATTGCTCATTTACTTAGATATTCATGATTTCTATGATGAAATGCTTTTGGTTACAATAATCTCTGACATCTGAAGTTTTCTGTTTTTTTGTTTTTTTCAAAATGGTAATTTGCAGGTTAAACCATATATCATTCATTGTCTTGTAAGCTGGTGTCTTCTTCATGGTCTTGTGTGGTAGAATCATCGTGAAAGCTAACAGAATCTTTCGTTTGTCTTCGGAAGCTTATTCTATATTCCCAAATGTCTACAAGAGCTACTTTAGTAGGTTTTCATCTTCAACATGTTCTGCCGTGAAGAGTTACTCTTTTTTGGGCAATGCACATTCTCATCAACCAGATAATAGCATAGATTTGGGGTGTAAGCATGATGCAGATGCTGTCATTGACAAAGTGCTTCAAGCAAACTGTGATACTGAAGTGTTTCAGTTGCTATTGCAAGAGTTTGGATTTGAAAAAATACGAATCACCCACAGTTTAGTCGACAGGTTGCTTATTCGTTTTCAAGATGATTGGAAGTCAGCATTGGGCGTTTTTAGATGGGTACAGTCATGCTCAGGGTACAATCCCTCACCCGAATTGTACGATAAACTGGTCGACATATTGGGGAAAATGAAGGAAATGGAGAAAATGAAGGCTCTGTTGCAAGAAATGCAAGAGGGCCATCTTATCTCGCTCAAAACCGTAGCCAAAGTGATGAGAAGGTTTGCCGGGGCCGGAGAGTGGAAAGATGCTGTAAAAACATTCGACGAATTGGAAGATTATGGATTGGAGAAGAATACCGAATCCATGAACTTATTACTCGACACCCTCTGCAAAGAGCACAAAGTTGAGCAAGCTCGTGATGTATTTTTGGAACTGAAGCAGCATATTCGACCAAATGCAAACACATTCAACATATTTATCCATGGTTGGTGCAAAATAAAAAGAGTCGAGGAAGCGCAATGGACAATTGAAGAGATGAAGGGACATGGTCTTCGCCCCTGTGTCATCAGCTATTCGACAATCATCCAATTCTATTGCTTTCGAGGGAATTTCCAAAAGGTCTACGAACTTCTTGACGAAATGGAAGTGCAAAAATGTCCTCCTAATGTCGTCACTTTCACGACTATCATGCATTCTTTGACGAAGAACGAAGAATTCAATGAAGCTTTACGGGTAGCTGAGAAAGCCAAATTATCCGGATGTGAACTTGATACACAGTTCTACAATGCTCTAATACATTCCCTAGGCAGAGCGCAGCGTGTGGAGGATGCAATATATGTATTTACGGAGGAAATGTGTTGGAAAAGCATCAATCCGAATACATCGACGTACAACACCATGATTGCCATGTTCTGCCATCACGGGCAGGAGAATCGGGCGGTGGAATATCTTAGAAACTTGGAGAATTCGTCGTGTTGTAAGCCTGATGTGCAGTCGTACTATCCGTTGCTCAAGTTGTACTTTCGGAATGGGAAGATAGATACATGCTTGGCTTGGCTGTTGGATGATATGGTTAGAAAGCAACATTTATGTCTCGACTTGGCGACGTTCACCCTTTTGATCCACGGATTATGCCGCGCGAATAGATGTGAATGGGCGTACCGGCTGTTCGAGGATATGGTCGGGCAGAATGTAAAGCCTCGATACGTGACGTGCTCGATGCTTCTTCGGGAAATCAGGCTGAAGAACATGTTTGATGCTGCAGACATGGTTGAAAGCTACATGAGGAAGATGAAATCCTCCTGAATGCAGAAACTATTCCGGGTAACTTTTATACATCTTTTGTGCTTTAATTAGTTCTAAATTTCTTATTTTGAATTGCTCAACTGTTAGTATTAAGTAGCGTCTAAGAGTATATTGACTAAAATATAAAAGGTGATAATTCGTAGTCGCTACTTTTCGAATCAATTATTTATAGGTAAACCCACAAACAAGGCTTAAAATATACTATTAAGATATGTTTAAGTATAAGCGGCTACGGTGCTAAAAGTTCAGCACCATGTTGACGGCTGATCACAGCACACGGTGTGCGGACAACACACGATATTATTACATATAGTACATCGTATGCATTCATATAATACAAATTCAACACATAATTTAATAGCATATGCTATAGTCTTATACACCACATACTCTTATGCAGTACAATTGTAATTATGAACTAACAATACAAATACAACACCTAAACCAACAACACATCCACAAATAATAGTTGATTTCAGCACGCCATATACTAGTGTACTACACACTTATAATTATGAAATAACAATATATGTCTTTATTATAAACAACATGTGCTGTGTATAATAAAATTGTATGCTATTTGTATATATTACATGAACCGATCCCTTAAGTATATCTTATTTTGTGAATAGAATTTTGATCTCTCGTGGGAATTTGTGGTCGATATCTCTATTTGATTACTTTTTTGTGAGGTATATTATTATAGTGTAGTAGGAAGACAAATTTCAAATTAAGACTGAAACAAACAAACAAAAAGGAGTTGGAACGAAGAAAGCACCACTGTAATGACAAAATTCATATAAATAAAATAAAATAAAATAAAAAATAAAATCCAAAGTGCAAAAGCCAAAAGGCGAATGTACTAAAACCGTCTGTCTCTGTAACTTCACGAGCTGTACAGGCCAGCGGGCGGCAAATGAATATATTTTATGACATTCTCTATCATATCCGTAGTTTATGGTTTTTTAAAATTTTGGAGGTTTGGAAATTCTGAATAAATAAAATTTTTAATTATTTGATACGATAGTATTATTGGAGAAAATAAATAAATAAATATTTGATGTTAGTATTATTTTTTAAAAAATATTGTACTCCTTATTTTAAAATTTTGGAGGTTCTTGAGCGTATGCAAATAAATTTTTATCATTTCATGTACATTAAGCTGTTAACGATCCGAGTCAAAGTCGAGTCGAGCTAAATTTTAAGTGTTTGTTAACGTTCGCGAACAAGGCTTGTGTTCGTTTGTTAAGCTTTCGAGCTCGTTCGTAGTGTTCGAGCTCGGCTTGTGAAGAAATTTGTTGTTTGAGCTCGTGTTCGTGTTTGGCTCGTTTAAGCTCGATTAAGCTAGTTCGACTTCGTTCGTCTTATTTTTTAAAAATTTATATATAAATTATAAATAAAATTTAAAATTATTTTATTTATATATTTTAAATTAATATTTTATTTATTTATAAATGATAATTTTATATGTATATATAATATTTATAATAAATATATTATTTAAACGAACTTTCGCGAACAAAACTTGGGCTCGTTCGTTAACCAAACAAGCCTATTTATGTTGTTTGGCTTGGCTTGTTAACATTCGCGAACGAGCTTTAACCGAGTCGAATCGAGTCGAACCGAGCCGAGTTCACGAACGACTCGGTTTGTTTAACGGCTCTACCTGTACACATCAGTGCTACTTTTAAGTTGTGTTTGTTTTGCTTTGGAAAATTCTCTCTTACTCCCTCCGTCCCACATAATTTGTTCTTTCTATTTTTGGAAATATAATCATGCACTTTAATTTTTAAATTTTATAATTTTTTTAATTTTAATTAAACTATTTACTTATCTTAATCTTAATATATAATTATTTTTACTAAATAATAATTATTTTTACTAATATATTTCTTAATTACTTATTAATTATACTTTATCTAAATTCTCGTGTCTACAGTAATACACCGGACTTAGAGAGTACCATTTTATGTTATTTTTTAATTTAATACAAGTTGGAATAGTATGTGAAAATGAGAAGCCCATTGAATCATTCTTTTCTTTCTTTTTTTTTTAAATTTTTATTTTTAACATTTAATGTTGGCAATGAAAGTCAAGTTTGGTTAGGTCACTTGTCTCTAAAACTAAATAGGGAGCAATTCTAGAAATGGTCCAACTAGACAGTGGTCCTTTTAAGGTTTGAAGGAATAATAGGAATTAGATATGAAACAATATAGTATATGATTTAATATTTTAAATATTATTTTTTTTTTATAATAAATAAATAAAAATAGAAATTTAATTTATGATTTTAAAAAATTAATAAATAACGCAAGATTATATCCGGACCATTCTTATTTATTTATTTATTATTACCATCATCATCATCTTACATTTGGCTTGAGGACAAGTTAGAGGTAGAGAAAGGGTGCAAATAAAAAGTCAATTAGAAATAGGCATCCTAACTTTAGTTGACTACGCCATTGTCTGAAAGAAAGGAAAGTGTCAAGCATTATTAACACATATGCTGCCTTTCTAGAAAATTTTGGGTCTCTTTAGATGTCTAACTTACACTGTGTTCGTTTCGGGATTGGATTTTAAATTCACTGGTTCATCCTATTTTTTCTCTAAAAAAAAAATATCAAATTAAACATTTTTTTTTTTATATTATACTAAAAATTAATTTTACATTCAAAATATCATATCAATACCTATTTATATCACAATCATACAACTATTCAAATTCAAAATTTTTACTATTTAAATCTCAACTCAAAATCCAAACCCCCAAACAAACACACCCTATAATCTCATTATAAATACAATCGATCGTATTTGGGAAAATTCAAATATTATTATTGTATTTAATACATTTAAATATAATAAAATTTTTAAATGAAATCAAACTTATTTGTAATGTGATCTCCTAGATATAAATATTCGTTTTATATATATTTTTTTCAAATTATTATTGTTTCTTGGACTCTTTATATCATATTATCTAAATACGAAAATTAAGATATAATAATATTTTAATATAAAAGATGAGTACGTAAAACAGTAAAATGAGAATATTACGGAAAATATATTTATTACTCCCTCCATCCACTTGTAAATCTATACTTGTTTTTTGTGGGTTGATTTTTAAATGTTAATTATTATATCAAAACATAATATAAGAATATTTTTATTGTTAAGTACAATGAATAAATACAAATTTATTAAGTGGACAGAGAAAATATAAATTAATTATTATTTGTCAAAATATTAAAAATAAAATTTAAAATAAATAAAATAATTTATTATTATGCATAAATTTAACTGAAAATAAAAAATACTAACATAATAATTATGGGAAGATATTATTTAAAATATTCAAAAACAACAAATTATAATACTAAAAATAATAAATATGTGGTTCTGATTATCTGGTGGTGTGGAGGTTATGTGTTCAAACTCCATACGCCTCATGTCACCTGCCAGACCCTGTCCGGCCTGCAAATTAGATTCGGAAATATATAAAAATTTTTTAAAAAATATGTTATAATTTTCACAAAAGCAACAAACTCTATATTCTAATCATTTTGGTCATTATTTATTGAGAATATTAGAAGAAAAACATTAGATATTTATTTATAATTAGAATATTACATCAATAATTTCTTTTATAAACAAGCATAATACTTAGCTATGCACACATACCATAAGACCCCATCAAGAAGATCTTTCAATTAAAAAAAAAATAATAATAAATTAGAATATGTTGAAAACCCTCAAAATCCTCAGTATTAACCATCCCTAATTAGACCTCCACAGAAATTTCCACCAAGAATTATTCTCTCTCCTTCCCACATCACCGATCTCTTCTTCACTGTTGAATCTTTTTTATCTCATCAGAATACTCACAAAGGGTTCTAATTAAATCCAAACCCCTCTCTCTCTCTCTCTCTCTCTCTACTTTGTCAAGACGTCCCCAGCCATTCACGGGTGGATGGAATCTCCAAATCCCCAAATTCAATCCTAAAATCCCCAAGATTACTCATCTTTTCCGACTAGTAATTTTCTCCATCCACAAAAAAACGATGGAAAAATTCCAAAAAAGGTGTGTGGCCTTTAATGAATTTATTTTCCCTCCTCCTCCTTCTTCCCCTGTTCATTATCTTCTGCAGATACACTCATCAATGGCATTAAATGAGTTCGATTCCGAGCTCACATGTTTTCCTGCCCTTTATTAGCTGTACTTGTCTCCTTCCCCTCTCTCTCTATTACCTGGTGGAATAATTTCGTCAATTTCTTGAATTAGGTTTTCATACATAGACTCGAATTCGAGATTTCCTGTTCTTCGTTTATGAGATTCTGTATTTATTGTATATTGCAAAAATCTTGACCACAATCCCTCTCTTTCCGTGCTTATGATTGTTCTTATTCTTACTTAACTGAATAATTTCTTCAATCCCTGTTATCTGCAATTGCTCGATGCATTTTTTTGTGTAGAATTGATTTTGGGTGCCAATGGCTGCCACAAGCTTCCCATTGCGATGGGAAAGCACAGGTGATCAATGGTGGTTTGCATCCCCAATAGATTGGGCTGCTGCCAATGGCCATTACGACGTCGTTAGGGAGCTTCTTCATATAGACACAAACCTCCTTATAAATCTCACTTCGTTGCCTAGAATTCGACGGCTCGAAACCGTGTGGGATGACGTCGATTTTAAGTTCCGGGACGTGGCGAAATGCAGGGCTGAAGTAGCCTACAAACTGCTCCAAGAATGCCAGAACAAGAAGGGTTATAATTCCTTGATCAGGGCTGGCTATGGCGGCTGGCTGCTCTACACCGCCGCCTCCGCCGGAGACTTGGTTTTCGTCGAGGAATTGCTCGATCGCGAGCCGTTCTTGGTGTTCGGCGAAGGGGAGTATGGTGTTACTGATGTGTTTTATGCTGCTGCTAGGGGTAGGAATTCGGAGGTTTTCCGATTGTTGTTGAATTGTGCAATGGCGCCGAAAGGGTGCGGGAAGGAGATGTCGCCGGAGTTTAGGTCGGATATGATTTGCCGGGCGGTTCATGCCGCCGCTAGAGGCGGCAATGTGGCGGTGTTGAAGGAGCTTTTGGCCGGGAATGGCGGTGTTTTGGAGTATAGGGATTGTTATGGTTCGAATGCTTTGCATTCGGCTGCCGGTCGAGGGCAAGTCGAGGTTGTTGAGTATTTGGTTGCCGAGTACGATATAATAAACTCGCGGGATAATCACGGCGATACGGCGATTCACGTGGCGGCGTATCGTGGGCATTCGAGCATCGTGAAGGCGTTGGTTTCGGCGTCGGCGGGGTCGTTGGTGTCGTCGACGAACAATTACGGTGAAACGTTGCTTCACACGGTGGTTTCGGGGTTCGGCGCGCCGGGGTTTAGAAGGATCGACAGACTGAAAGCGCTGGTGCGGGAATTGGTGGACGGGACGTTTGCGAGCGTCGAAGAGATCGTCAACATTCGGAATCGCGACGGGAGGACCGCGCTCCATATGGCGGTGATCGACAACATCCAGTCGGACGTCGTTGAGCTGCTGATGTCTGTTCGGTTCATCGACTTGAACATTTGCGACGCGGATGGGTTTACGCCGTTGGATCTGTTGAGACAACGCCCGCCTTCTGCGTCGTCGGAGATTCTGATCAAACGGCTGATATCCGCCGGAGGGATTTCCGACTGCCGCGATCGTCGGGCTCGGAACGCGTTCGTTTCCCACCTCAAGACCCGCCGTGGCGTCGGGAGAAGCCCTGGGACGTCGTTTGATATCCCCGATGCGGAGATATTCTTGCATGCCGGAATCGAAGATCATCACCCGGGACGGTACAGCTCCGACTCGACAAGTATCGATTATTCCGGTGAAATCGCGGTGGAGACGAGCACGCCGAAGTACAAGAAACTTGGCTCCATAAATAGCACCACAAGGCTTCTCAAGAACATCCTTAGCTGGCCGAGGAAGAGCGACAAAAGATCAAACGCGATCGACGCGAACAATGATTCCTCGTCGATCGAGTCATATCGATCGAGCTCGGGTTCTAAACCCGGGTTGGTTTCGCTGAGACAGCAATTTTGCCGGGCATCGTCCCTCCCGAGCAACAAGCGAATATCGTCGTTCCCGGGGAACCTCCCGAGCCCGTCGACGAAGAAAAAGTTCGCTGCGGGATTGAGTCAAGGCGTGCTACGGGTGGAGCCGAGGGCGGCGCACCTGCTGGGATCCCCGTCGAGCGCGTTTTCGGAGTCGACGTTGTCGTCGCCGAAGGAGGCCGGGATTGCGAGGGATCACCGGAAGACGAAGCTCCGGCCGCGATCGTTGAACTTGCGGCTGATGAATAGCTACTTGTGCTTCGGGGCGCACGGCCTCTCCGTCGATGCACCGGTCGATTTGTCGGCGCCGTCGCCGGCGCCGGCGCTGCGACAGCGGCGGCAAGATCTTGGAGCAAGTGTAGATGCTGCTCAGTAAGTGTAAGGAATTGTGTGTTTGTTTGCTTAGTTTTGGTGTAGTTTTTGAAGGTGTAAATGTGGTATTGTTCTATATAAATTTTCTGGTGTTTTTGTCTACGTAGTAAGCTGAGGAATGTAATTTAAGTAGCAAAATATTAAGTGTTTAAAGAAGAGATCTCGAAAATTTTGAAGAATTCAAAGGTAGTTAAGTATATGATATTTTGTATTAAAAAAATAAAATTTTACCTAATATTTAAATAAAAAATAAGTATAATGCATTGTGTATTAAAAAAATTATTTTAAAAAATATATATGTAAGAGTAAAGTTTAAAAAAAAAAAAAAAATTGAATAAGAAAAGAAAAAATAAAAGCAATTCTATAAAGTTGCTGTGATATTAATGTTGTTAATATTTTATTGGGCTCAACTACAGGTTGGGCTTTAGCCCAAAATAAACAAACTGTTTTTTTTTTTTAAAAAAAAATAATATATTGAAAAATAAATATTATTTCTATATTACAAAAATATGTTACTTTATTTACTTTAATTTATCTACTAATTTACATATAGTAAAAGAGTATAGATTTTTTTAAAAAAATACCCATTATTTATTCATTTATTTATATTATTAACACAACTCATTTCACTTTCATCCAAAAGTTGTATTATTAATTCTATAAAAATTTAAATTTTACCCTTATAAAAAAATATACAAATAATATTAAATTATTATTATGTATTCATTTATTTATATTATTAGCTCCACTCATTTTACTTTCATCTAAAATTGTATTATTAATTCTATAAAAATTTAAATTTTACCCTTATAAAAAATAGTAAAAATATATATATATATATATATATCCAACTATTATTATTTTTCTTAATTTGGTATTAAAATTTTTTGAGCTTATTGAGCCCGGCCAGGTTTAATTTCTCTTATCTCGGCCCGGTTCGAATCGAATTGCCGCGGATGGATCCCACGATTATTTCCCGCCAATTACCTGCAATCGCTTAAGTTCATCGTCCACTGCCTAACCCTAGACCTGGAAGATCGCGACAATGGAAGAAGAAATCAAGTCAGAATTCACCAGGAACGGGTTTAGATTCGACAACGAGGAAGAAATTCTTCAGAAATGTGAGAAATTATCCGTCTCTCTAAATTTATAAGTTTGTTAATTTCATCAAGTTCCTCAATATTTTAGTTCTATGTCCATTAATTTGCAATTTCAGGCCTGACATTTTGCATACAGTACAAGCTGAGTGCTTCGGATCTGGTCTCCAGTTGGGAAGCTTATTCTCTCACTAGGTTGGAATATGACGGCGAAAAATGTTAATTACTGATTACTTTGTTGCGCACCGATAAAATTTCGCTAGAAAGACAGTGATTCTCAGATGTTAAAATTTTCATTGTTCAGTTGCTAAGCCGTCTACTTCGTGATGTAATCTATTCAATACTGAACTATGAACTATTTTTTTTTTCCCTCCAACCATCACCATTGACATTGAATCCAAATTCAAGGACCAAAAACGTTACTGTGTGCATATATATATAGCTTTGTTTTCAAAGGCTAACAGTATGATTTTGCTTTTTGCTAATGATACAGAGGCCTGGAGTCCACTGTGGGAAGCTCACATATGGGTGTATTTTTAGAGCACCTACAGAATGAGCAGAAAGAAAAGCTAAGAGAAAAAGATTCTGGGTTGCATCTGTACTCCAATGATGTGGCCATGTGAGCATTTTCTCCTGTGTTCTTGTTATTTGATCCAACTTGTGTTATTTCAAAATGAAGTTACAATTGATCTTCTATTATAACAGGATATTGGATGATAATTATGAAGATATAGAAGGCGCTCCCGATACTCCCCCTGATAAACAAACATTATCACACAACAATCTATCTGATTCAGCACAAAAGACGAATGGTAGCAAATTTACTTCTGGGAAGGCTCTTGAATCAGTTACGCCCTTTGGGACTAGGAAGAACAAGTTTGTCGTGCAATTCACACTCAATGAGCATTCCATTACACAAACCATCAAAATAGAGGAGGACCATGCAGATGTTACTGATGACATTATCAAGAGAATTCAACCCAGCCAAAAGTGTTCCTTGCAAATTAACAAATCTCAACCTGAAGTAGGTTGCAGGTTCATGTATGATCGAATTGAAGACAAGGTATTGATGTCTTCCAATACTGAAACAATTGATTTGTTATGAAACAAGTCTCACACATATATTGGTGGTTTAGTTCAATTTCCTGGAAGGTCGGATAAAAAACATAGCAGCTGCTTATGTCTCCTCTGGGTTGTATGAAGAACCCGTTGACCCTTCTGTTGCTTGCCAGGTAAATCATTTCCACAAAATGTGTGGAATACTTTTTTATGTCAATACCTGACTATACACGATTTCAAAAAATTTAGACACCCAATGCTATCTGTTTTCTCCTTTTACTAAACCATTTTCTTTCAGAAAAGCATTTTCGCCGTTGGTATGATCTGTTGTGAGGAAGAAGGGCGCCTCAAGGAGAAGCCTGTTTTGTTGCAAAGCAGGTAGAGACTCTTTCTTTGGGTATCATTCATGTTAAGCTGTCTGCTCAACTATTTATCTGTTTCCTTAGAGACTAGTATACGAGGTCTGTCATAACAGTAATTGTTGAGTTTTACCTTCCAGGTGAATACTTCAGGAATTAATGTTCTATTTCTGGGTAGTTGAGTGCTTGATGATATATCAGATATGATAGTGGTATAAGTGCATTACTATAATTGCAACAAGATTGTTGTCATTTCTCCAACGACCCTCTTAACTGTTGCTTTGTCAAGTGATCATTCTCATTAAGTATTGAATGACCTCAATTTATCTAAGGATGGTTATCCTTTTCCAGTAACATAACAGATTATAAGAAGCCTTAGCAATTCACCATCTTCACTATCTCCTAATCTATCCATACTATATAACACATGGTTTGATTTGCTTCACAGCGTTGAGCATTCTGGAGGACAGCGTGTTCGACTTGACTTGCAAAAGTTAAGTCAGTTTTCTATTTTCCCAGGCCAGGTGAGAGATACTACTAATCAGGAACTGAACTTTGCCTTTACCTATGAGTTTTAATTTTATAGCTTTAGTTTAATTCATGGCATTGGCTCTCATACAGGTTGTGGGCGTAGAAGGGCATAATCCTAGTGGACACTGTCTTATTGCATCAAAAATTATTAATTTCATCCCTTGGTCAGTTCCTTCTAGTGACGAAAATCCAGCCAAAAGACAAACCATGGATCACAGTCTAAAGTTATCCAGACCTTTACAGGATAAATCTGAGCTGTCATTGGTATGTAAGTTTATATGGTGCAAAAATTATAGCGGTTTTTGCATGTCAGTGTGATTAGAGTGGTCTTATATCGGTCTTGCTCTAATGCCTAATGGATGGAAAATCAAATGGGGCCTCTGCTCCTAATTAGTAGTTGCAACCAACTAGCGTAAGGACAGAATTCTGGGTCATCTTATCTCATCCAATTCCATTTTGAGATTTATAAGATCCCTGGAAATGGTAGCTAGAAGGGGTTGCTTGACTGGCACTTGTTGATTGAATTTTTTATATATAGCTCCAAAGATTAGATACTCATTACCTGTCTTGACTTCAATTTTATACAGATTGTCGCAGCGGGTCCTTTTTCCACGAGTGATAATCTGTTATTTGAACCTCTAACTGAACTCATAGCCTATGCACGCCGAAAGCAACCTCAGTTACTTGTCTTGGTGAGGATCTCCAACTTTATGTTATTTATTACCTGGTGAGAAGTATCTTACATGATTTTGTCTTTGGCAGCTAGGGCCATTTATCGATTCTGATCATCCAGAGCTCAGGAAAGGAACTGTGAATCAAACATTTGATGAAATATTTCGCCTTGAGATACTGGGAAAGGTTTATACAGCTCAAATTACATTTTCTCTATTGTATCAACACAGTCAACTTTCTAATGCTTTTTTTTTTTTTCTTTTGTACATTGTTTGTATAGCTTCAAGATTATGTGGAGTATATGGGTCCTACAGTGCGTGTGATCCTTATACCATCCATCAAGGATGCTAATCATGATTTTGTGTTTCCTCAGGTAAGTTAATTTTGACCGTAGTTTTTTAAGTTAACCTTCAAATGTTGAATGTTCTCTTATTGTGAGATATGGATCACTTTGGCAGCCTGCTTTTGACATTCATCCCGCAGATTATAATCATCAGGTATAAGAGATTTTTATTGATGCGAGGCTTTTTGATATAAATACTGTCTATTTCTTGACATAACTGATGCATACATTTTCACCAGATACATAGCATCTCTAATCCAGGAACATTCTGCGGCAATGAGGTGATGATCTACATACACTTTCAGAGGGATACAATTGGTGTTTACACTTGATTCTATAAATTGCATCTTTCCTCAGAAATTTGGAGTAAAAAACTGCAAAAAGATTGTCTGATGAGAAATAGATTAGATAATCTTCCATGAGACCAAACATAATAGCAGATGATGCTTAAAGATATGATTTTCACATTCCCTGATCACCATGTCTGTCTTCTTTTGCTCTGATTTGAGCTTCTAGACGCAAGATTTATTTTGGAAATTAGGAAGATTAAATTTATTGATAATTGTTGGAACAGTTTTCGGCTGTACAACATTAATCATAATGGTGACATAACTAGCTTCTTACTTACTAATTTTAATCAAATAGCCCAAAGTAAAAGCGTATCTTCTGTAGATAAGATTTGTTGCATTATTCTTCAAGATGAGGATGGACTGCAGATACATATCACTCTGCTAACCGGAAACTGTTCTCATCACGGGGACTTATTGATAAAACCTTTTTCACAGGTGAAAGTGGCTTGCTGCACAGTGGATGTATTAAAACAGTTGAGTGCGGAGGAAATCAGTCGAAATCCACAAGGAGGTTCCAAACAGCGTTTGACTAATCTAGCAAAGCATGTCTTGAACCAACACAGGCATGTTTTGGCAGTCAAAGATTCCAATTGCATTTCATTTGGTCCCTTGTTTTCTCCGTTTTGTTTGAATGTGGTGTCTCAGTTCATTATTTTATTCTTTAAAGCAGCTTCTATCCTCTCTATCCGCCAGCAGAAGACGTCCCCTTGGATTTTTCTCTTGGGAAGGAGGCTCTCCATATTACATCAGTTCCAGATGTACTCGTATTACCTTCAGATTTGGCAAATTTTGTGAAGGTTAAGAACACTTTTAGCCTTTTATAACTTTGAATCGTGGAAAGAAGTCAGAACTCAACATAGATTTTTTTCACACCATGTGAGATCATTATGATAACTTTGCATCAAGTGAAGTTTCTCATTTCCCCTGAACAGGTGCTCTCCATTGGAGAAGAAAATGATGGTGAAGAGCAATTAAAGTGCATCTGTGTAAATCCTGGAAGGCTTGCTCGAGGCGAAGGTGGAGGATTCTTTGTAGAAATTAACTACAAAGGGAATCCGGACTCTTCAACTGCTTCCATCATCCGAATATAGGTTTTTAACCATGACACCGAGAAGGTGTTCTATACTAATCGTATCTTGAAGCTTCAGTAGCAAAGTCCCACCAAACGATCATTCAGTGCGAAAGCTTTTTTACGCCGTCTGTTTCATTTATACATAGGATTTCACACTATTAGATGATGGTAAGTGTTCATTCAAGTTCACTGTGGTATATATCATGAATCTGCCAGCTAAATGATTTATTCAGAACAGCCGCACTTTGCTTTACATAATTGTAGCAATTTAGTTATGTATTATATAGAGAATGGTTTTTATGCTTCTTCTGCTTCTTTTTACAAGTCTGAACGATGCAATATGTGCAATTTACATGCTTTTGTTAGTTACATTCAATTAGAAATAGCAGAAGTTTTCTTGCTGATGTACATAATTAAACAATTTGAATAGTCCATTGACTTAAGGATACAGCTACAACAGGTGTTCACTATGTTCCTTCCTAACATATCGATTACATGTAGCATACTGTTTCATCGAACACTTAGCACTGCTTACCTTAGAAACTTCCTAACTCGACTTCTTTAGCTCTTTCTTGGATATCTGCCTGCACAGGTCAATCCACAGATGCACAACCCACAGTATGCTAGCCCCAATTCCTGATACCATCACAACTATCCAAGAAATCCATGCCCACCGGGGAATCACCCCGTCAGCTGCACCACTAGAAAAGACCCCAACAATCCCACAAACAAACATTGGCCCAAGAATCCCCCTCACCACACTATAGTATGCGTAGAAAATAGGTGACAGGAAGTCAAACACACTGGCAGCCTTTGCTGATTCGCCTTTCTGGTGTCGAGCTAGGCTCCACGTGTTCTGACATATAGAAGTGACCTCAGCCAAAACTAGGACACCTAGAATAGCCACAGCCCCGTGCTGGATAACATACCGGCATGTTGCCAGCACATATAGTGTCCCCAGATGGTGTGCAATGAAGAGCACATCACCGGGATTGAACACCATGTAGTGCAACAGGTCAGTGCAGAAGTAAGCAATGCTGTACTCAAGAACCAGGTTTTGAAATGGGGTGTTTGGAAATGTGAAATCAATTTTGGTTATGCTTTTCTGAGACTGCAGGATCGAAAAGATCGATAGAACAGGTGCAAGGGAGCCATGAGCCAGGGACATGAGACAGCTTGAAGCCTCAGGTCTGTATCTTTTATCCCAATTCTTGAAGAGTATGAAATATCCCAAGATGTATAATAACATGTACCACAGGATCAAGAACACAGGGAGAGATGAATCATGGAGTTTCGGGATCTCCATTGGAGACATCAGAAGAAACAAGAATCCCGGCAAACATTCAGGTTAGTAAATTCATGCTTTATGGAATTATAGAATTGTGTTTATGTGCAAGTATATGTGGATCTTCTATCTTTTATATAATTGGATAGGTAGTGTAAGGGTTTGGCTAGATTAAGGTTTGGTTCTTCATTTTGATGGTGTTTCTTTTGGAATTCTATAATACATTTTTAGGAAATTAATATCTGTAGGACCACCTAGAATTGTGTCAAATCACATGGTTATCTATAACTTTTAAGAAAAGGATTGTACTGGTAGAATATTCCTCATTGAACATGTTATCTTGTGCCCTTTGAACTCATCCACTGCAGGGAATTAGCTAAATATGAAATAATTTGACATATTTTGAAATTTAAACTTTATTATTTGATTTTAGAATAATAGTCTATAATAAGCATATCTTTATTATATATAGTTAAATCTTACAATAGATATTTCTACACTTGATATAGCAATGCATGGCAAATTTAGTATATTAGTAGTAAATATAAAATATAAAATATTAAATTATACTAAGGGGTGAATTCAATTGAGATTTTAATGGATTTTTCTGAATTTATATGGATTTAAAAAATCCACGGAGTCTACGTTGAGTTCGATAAATTTTAGTAATTGATTTAGATGGATTTCTAAGGATTTGATTGAATTCTTTATGGATTTTGTAGGATTTTAAAATAATTTTTTTGTGAATATATATTAATTATATAAATTTATAATATAATAAATAATTATTAATAAGATAATATTTAATATTAATAAATAATATATAAGTATTAATAAATAATTTATATGTATTTACTTTTTATGTAAAATGGTTATATTAAAATAAATAAATAAATAATTTATGAATTTTGAAAAAAAATATTAAAATAAATAAATAAAAATTAACTTCAACAAAAAAATATATATTTAAATATTTATTTCACTGTTATCGTAATGATAATATAGTGTATTCGATAATTAAAAAGAAAATATGACAATAATATAATAATATTTTTTAAAATTATATTTATAATATAAAATTATATATTTTAAAAAAATCATAATAATTTGCTAATATATTTTAGTTTTAAATTATTATTTTTATTAAAAATTATAATAATAGTAATAAATATTATCATATTATTAATCATATATACAATAACAACAATAATAATAATTTTAAGAATCCATCAAAATTTGTGAGGGTAAGAAAGAGATTCTTTTCTATACAAAATTTTCACAAAAATCCATTAAAATCCATAGACTTTCAAAGTCTATTGGATTGTTGAATATGTCAGGATTTTAAAATCTATATTGATTACCTCCTGATTTTAAAAAACTTTTAAAAGTCTTATTAAATACACCTAGATTTTGAAAATCCAATAAAATTCTACAAAACCTATATTGAATACACTTTCTAAATATAAAAATGATTAAAAAGATAAATAAAAGTTCTATCTATAGATGAAATATTCAAACATATATCATGTAAGTCATGATTAGAAATATTAAACTAAAAAAAGTAGTTAGATAAAAACGTGACTTTAATAGCTTAGGATAAACTTCAACCAAATCAATACACCTTGGAATTTTGTCATGCTGTCAATTGCCATGGATTATTTTTAGTATGTTACTCTCCCCGTCCTATATAATACGGGTATATCCCTGGAGACAAACTTGAGAATTTAAATAAAGTGTAATTAATAAGTAATTAAAAAGTATATTAGTAAAAATAATTATTATATAGTAAAAATAATTATAGATTATAATATTAAAATAACTAAATAGTTTAATTAAAATTTTAAAAATTATAAAATTTAAAATTTAAAATGTGATTAAAGTGTATAATTATATTTCCAAATAAATAAAATGACGATAATAAAAAATAAGGACAAATTATATGAGACGGAAAGGAGTAAATATGGACAAATTATATGGGATCACTTTGAAATAATAAAAGCCAAAATTTCAAAACACAAGAATAACCAAAAAAATAAAAAATCACCCGTGTGCAGCAGTTGACCTGAAGGATCAGTCCCAAGTCCAACCCCTGCACCTCCAGACTCTTCACCTCATTTTGATAGCCTTTTATTTATTTTCGGCACTATATATATATATATAATATAGATATATACAATATAATTTTGATAGTTTAATAATAATGATAATAATAATAATAATAATAATTAATTAATTCAGGTGTTTGGTAAATTAGTTTTGAAATAGTTTATTGGCTCCAAAAAGTTAAATTCTAAAAAAGTATATAACCCAATATTTTGAAAAAGAACTTTTTCATTTTAATTTTTTTATTTCTTATTTGTCCTTAAAATATTGTGTTATTTATTTCACATAAATATAATTATATTTTCTATTGTAGTAATTATAAATTATTTTAATATATTATTTATTAAATTATAATTTTATTTTTATAAATTTAAATTAATTAATTTTTATATATAATTAATTTTATTTATAAACTATAATTATGTTTTTATTATTATTTATTTTTATATTAAAATTAAATAAAATAGAATAAATTTATTAAAAATTAAAAATTTAATAAATAATTAATATAATAAATATATATACAAAAATTTTGTTATTTTATATTTTATATCATTCTTAATAAAAATATATACTATTATTTTTCTCACATCTAAAATTAATAAAAAAAATAGTTTATAACATATTTGTAATTTCAAATAACTAATAATAAAAATTTAACTTTTTTTTTTAAAACACAATTAAAAAATTTTAAAAGTTAAAATATGAATGTCCTCAATTGTCATTTTATATATAAACAAATATTATTTTACCACATACTCTAATACAACTAATTGAATTAGCTAGTCAAACCATCTAGCAGCCGAAAATTATCGGTTGATTGCCAAACGAGCCATAAGTACCTGGTTGGCACCGCCAGGCAGCCATAGTTGAAATTCTAGGGTAAGCGTTTTACTAAGATATAAGATTTTAATTAAGTGAAGCAAACGCCACGTTCTATTGCTATCCTGTATTTGTTAACAGCAGCTGCCAATTCAGATCTGAAGACCATACATACCTTCTGTTTATATAGATTATTTATGGGGAAGCGATGAAGCGATTTTTTTGATCCCGTAACTGGACCACCTTATCATTTCAGTTCCGTAAGTAGAGCATGTCGCAAACTAATCTCATAAGTGAAAAATTTTTGTTGTTTTAGTCCTTCGGCGCCGAAGACGCCCGCGTGGCTCGCCGGAGGTGACGTGTCCGTCAGGTGTCCCGCCAGGTCAGCGATATCTGGCGGACACATGGATTTATTTATTTATTTATTTTAATTTTTTTTAATTGGACCAAATAAAAAAATGCAAATAAAATTAAAAATAAATGAAAAATAAGTTTAAAAAAATAAATAATAAATAAAAAATCCACGTGTTCGCCAAGTGTCGCTGACCTGGCGGATACGTCACCTCCGACGAGCCACGAGGGCGTCTCCAGCGCCGGAGGACTAAAACAGCGAAAATTTTTCACTTATGGTACTAGTTTGCGACAGGCTCCACTTACGGGACTAAAATGATAAGGAGGTCTAGTTACGAGACTAAAAAACAATTTAACCATTATTTATTTATTTATTTATTTTTAAATAGTAATTTTTTTTAAGTATTTGATGTGATTTTGTAAGAAAAAAGTAAGCATTCAATGTTTTTTCTTTTTAAATAAAGAAACTGATAATAGTACTATTAAAACTTTGGGTAAATTGTTTTTTTAGTCCCGTAACTGGACCCTTTATCATTTTAGTTCCGTAAGTGAAGCTTGTCGCAAACTAGTCCCATAAGTGAAGAATTTTCGCTGTTTTAGTCCTCCGGCGCCGGAGATGCCCGCGTGGCTCGCCGGAGGTGACGTGTCCGCCAGGTGTCGCTAACCTGGCGGACACGTGGATTTTTATTATTTTTATTTTTTTTAAACTTATTTTTAATTTATTTTAAATTTTATTTGTATTTTTTTATTTTTTTATTTGTTACAATTAAAAAAAATTAAAAAAATTAAAAAAATGAAAAAAAAATAAAATAAATCCACGTGTTCGCCAGGTGTCGCCGATCTGGCGGGACACCTGGCGGACACGTCACCTCCGGCGAGCCACGCGGGCGTCTCAGGCGTCGGAGGACTAAAACAGCGAAAAATTTTCACTTATGAGACTAGTTTGCGACAGGGTCCACTTACAAGACTAAAATGATAAAGGGTAAGTTACAGGACTAAAAAACAGTTTATCCTAAAACTTTTAAAACTATATGCATGATGTAAACAAAGTCATAAATATTGATATTTTTTTATTAATCGTTTAAAGTTTAATTTAAATAATATTTTAATATAAAAAAATATAATAATAACATAAATTAAAAGTAGTAAAGTTAATGGAGGGTAAAAGAAAACAAAAAGAATATTAGAATCATTGTCTTGCATAATGCCATACCAAAACTTATTCAAAATGTATGATTGAACACATATTTATAACTTTCAAGTTTTATTTTACTTTATTTATTTATTTATTTATTTCCTTTGAATAATAATAATAATAATAATAGTATTGAGTTAGAAACCTCTTATTTCGCCAACCCTTCACTTTTAAAATGAAGCAATTGATGAAAAAAAAATAAATTATATCAATAAAAAATTTCAGGTTTTACTCTAAAAAATAGTTCTTTTATATTATTTTAAATAATTCTCCCTCTCTTTTACATTATTATTACCAAAAATATATATAATTCATATTTTATTTGAAAACAAATGTAAGGATTTTAAAACAAAACGCCATTATTTGCTTATGACATACTAAAATATGCATGTCATATCCAATCAAGTCACATATTCAAGAATAATAGTTGGTGTCTACTATGATTTGCATATTGACCTATGAAAGTTGTAGGATCATTTTTTTTTTCATTTTCAATGCATACAATTTAAATTACTCTAACATATATGGAAAATCATGAGATTCTTCAATATGAAGAAGTAATCTTACAATATCATTAGCATTAGGGGTTTGAGGATATTCACTTGAAAAAATTTCAACGACGACACGATAAAATCTTACACTTTCAATTGTCATTGATTCACCAATTTTGATGTACTCATCAATTGAATCTGCAACCACACCATATGCTTAACATCTGAAAACAATTGTTATTTTGTGTAAGGTTGACAAACTAAGTCTATCAAGACCATCTCTTTGTTGTTGAAAATATCTTTAATCGCATCAACAATACAAAAAAATAGACTTCTGGACATTTGTTCATTATATAAAATATTATTTGAAATTTAATCATTGTATAAGTTACGATATGAACTTTCACGATCACGATTAATTACTCGATGACCTGTGATAGAGTCTCGATGGGTTAATTGGGTGGGATTAAATAATTATTTCAAATAAGCATTATTTTGCATTAGTATGAAGATTGTTATTTCATCCTTTTGAATTGATTATATGAAAATTTTGCTTACTTCTTCATCATCTATCAATCAAGACTTACTTATACTGAAGAAATTATGTTAGTTTGATAGATAAAATATGTGTTTGATAATAAACCTTTATCAAATACACTAATTTATAGAATGAGAAATTTAGATAAAATTTAAATATATGATAATTATTTGGACAATGTAGATATATATATCCAACATATGAAATAAAGATGGAATCCAAACAATTGGTTAGGATTGCTCATACATAAATAACTAGATTTATATATATATATATAATATAGATATACATCCACCCGATTAAATGAAGATAAAATCCAAACCATCGGCTATGATTGTACAAACATGAATAACTATATTTTTATAATATATAATAATTATTTGAATAATATAAATATAATTGAAATAAAGATAAAATTACAAATAAACAGTTAGATTAGTAAAGTTGGATGATTACATTCATGACAAATATGATTGATTAGTTTAATACTCTTAATTTTTACCTAAATTACAAACATACTATTATACATAAAATTGTCCCGTAAGGTATGACCTGATGGTGTGAAAATATACTCGTGATCATAAGGTCATTGGTTCAAATCTCCAACGCCTTTGGATCTTGTTTGCTATGAATCTTATCTGCTATACATAGTTTACCTAACATAACTTACCTTATTGGGCCAAAATACTACTCCCTCCGTCCCATTTTTTGTTTGTCTCAAACTCACTTCAACATTTCTAAATTTAGAAATAATTAATAATATATATATTAATATATATTTCACTTTATCTCATCACATCGCTCAAATAAAAAAATAAATAATAATTTCTCTCTCTAATTACATAACTTAATATTCAAATTATCTCAAATTACCATACTTAATACTACCCACCTAAATTTCCGCCAAACATAAATGTTGCACAGTGTTTGGGACAGAGGGAGTATTATTTTAAAATAAATAAAGTTGGATTGGAGTCTTGGAGATGGTCTTAGAGCAAAAATAATAGACAATATATAGAAGACATCCATGATAATAGAGGCTTTAATTCTCCAAGTATAATAATAATAAAAAAAAAAAAAAAGGGTGGTGCAATGGTTTGAATTTCCATGCTAAAGAAAGGAGAAGCATCAAGACGGCTTGGTTCAGTCTAAGCTGTTTAAGAGCAACCGCCGTAAAATGCCTCACAAATCCGATGTATTAAAAAAAGTAATTAAAGAAAAGAGAGAGATGAGAGAGAGAAAGCATGAGACGGCCATCGCCTGCAAAAAGCCATGGTCAGGCATTTCGATTTTTCTGCCTCAGAAAACAGGCCATTGTATAATTATTTTTTAGATCCATTGATGAAAAATCGTCGATCTAACCGGGAGAGCATAAAAAAGGGAGCCACTATCGTTGCTCTTAAGGAAGCCATCAATTCTTAGCAGCAACAAACCGGATCTTTTGTTCAATAAACACACCCTATACCTACATATATAATGTGTATATATTAGGGTGTGTTAATAGGACAAAGGATCCCATGGATTTCGAAAATAGCTTTACGTAACACTTTGACAAAATTTATTTTAAAAATCAAAACACAAATGCATACACAATGGTGTTAAATGCTTTAGATGAATTTCAGTAGTCTTGGAGTGGCCTCCTTGCATCATGGATGCTGTCATCCTGTTTTGCTTTCCAAAACTTATTCATTGTGTATTTTTTTTCAAAAAATAAACTCTTCTATTATTGTTGGGCTTCTATATGGTTTGCATTGTACATGCAATACAATAAAAATGTTGTATTTTATTTTTTTCATTTTAAAATTTTATTTGGACACGTCATATCCACTTACTCGGTAAAAACTTTTTTTTAGTATCATTGTATATGCTCTAAATCACGAGACCTCCATCAATGAGATAAACCTGCAAATTCATCTCCAAGGGATCAGGCTTAAGCTAATGACATTTCTTGTTGAATTTATAAGCATATTCAATATGTGAGAACTAAAATGTAGATGCTTTTTTTTTTTTTTTTCTAAATATATATTTTTTTTTAATCATGCAATCTCACAATCACAATAAAGATAGATATACTTAATAAAGGGTTACAACCTGACCGGTGATGTATGCAGCAGCTGGATTAAGCGCCAAGAACTCGACAATCCCGGCAATTTCTTCGGGTCGACCGTATCTTCCTGCAAATTAAAAGTATAACAACATAGTTTAATTTCACAAGGCTAATACACCATTGGTGTCCTACTTCATCTAAAAGTTTAAACTTTTAGGATATGCATCATTTATTTATTTATTTATCTACAAACGGGAGTCAACTAAATAATTACGGTTGACATTGAAGAACACTTGACCTAATGGTATTGCTGCCTTGATGGTTTTCTCCAACTCGGGGACCAGCTGCGCCGTCATATCGGAATCTATGAATCCGGGGGCAACAGCATTTACCTGTCGATGTAATCTTATGTTAGATTCGAAAGTTTTAAGAATATTTGAAATACTGGGGTAAGACAAGTAGCGATTCGAGGCCATCTACGGTGATGTTTTTGCCAGCGTATTCCTTGGCAGCAGTCTTTGTCAAACCGATCACCCCGGCTTTGGCAGCACTGTAGTTTGCTTGCCCGACATTCCCCGCGACACCAACCGCAGATGAAATGTTGATTATCCTCGCTGACTGATAGCACACAAAATATAAATGGATAATATATGTGTTAGTGACAGATTAAGATTAGTGATCGAATAATAATCAGAAACGTAAAAATAACATATATTTATGTGGTTCACCAATGGAACGGTTGCGTTACATATTACAAAATTATCTCTAAGTCTATTCAAATAAATCAAAGAGAATATATCAGACAACGAGACTCAACTCAATATCAACTCCAAAGTCTAATACTGCATACCGCCAGACCGAGGGCCACTCCGCTCCCCGGATCTCAGGCAAGGGGGACTTCGCCCCCCTGACTCGCTGACCGGACAGCGAGACTCCGTGAAAACTCAAACAAGTGACAAACTAGATTTAAAACATATCAACAATAGGAGGTATAATCCCGACAGCACAAAATATATATTAATATAATATTTCATATAATACATACTATAATTGATTTCATCACACAAAATATGTTAATTAACATGTTGCTCCTTACGCCATAATCGGCACTCTAATCATTTCCCTATAAACAAAGTCGGGAAGGGGTAAAGAATCGACATACCTTCTGTTCGGACATTACTCGGACAGCAGCCTACAGAGAATCGAACTTTTAGGACAGGTTTCAAATGGATTTAACCTCAAAAGACAGCCACATTAGAACTTATAATGAGATCTTGACCTGTGTGCATAAGAACACTCCAGTGAGGTTAAGATTGATGACCTCTTGCCATTGAGACAGCTTCATTTTCATCAGTAAACGATCCCTTGTAATCCCTGAATTTTTCGAAGCATTTTCAAAAGAAATTTAATGTATATTCGAATTCAGAATCGCGATCGAAGCATTGCATTGCCCCCTTCAACTACCTGCATTGTTGATCAAGACATCTATTCTTCCCCATCGATCGACTACCTGCAAGAATTTAAACTGCAGTTGATTTTAACTATGACCATTAAAGATTTAAACTTTTAGTGTATAGATAGAACTGTCTTACAGCTTTTATCATTGATTCTACTTCTGCTTCTTTCGAAACATCTGCACCGAACAGAAGAGCCTGACCACCGGACGCCTCGATCTGCAGTATGTATGCAGCATTTAGAAACAGCATCAGATTTGAAACATGAAAAGTTACAAACTATTCATTCTGATTCATCGATAGGAATGTGTTCATAATGAGTCGATCATGATCAAGAACATACCATGGGGTTCGATCTCTACCCAAATAACACCAACAATATGTATTAAATCCGGGAGAAATAATTAGTAACTAATAGTTCTATCATTGAACAAAAAGGGCTGCGAGCATCATGTATAGATATAACTATTCGAAGCACGATATACGGCTTGTTAGGCGCAAATTGGATGCATGATTAAGAATGACACACCGTACTGTACCGAAAATACTAATCAATATCGATGCCGTACTGAACTTTTCAGTATGGTGAAAATATATAACGGTACCTTGTTGAAAGATTCGGAGTACCAAAATTCAATATATTAAAACTTTCGGTACGGTACCAGTATATATAGCTTATGCCGAAAATTTCGATTTCAATACGATACCGGTATATACAGCTTATATCGAAAATTTTGATTTCAACACGATACCGATATATGTCGATTATACAGAAAATATAATCTTAAATTCAAAATAATTAAAATAGAATTAATAAATACCATAATTCTACACCACAGAAATATTATGACAAAAAAAATAAATTTTCATTAGTCTACAAATTTTTTTGTTATGATTTAAAAAGATTAATAGTTATTATTTATATTAATAATTAAATTATTTAATAAAAATAATATTGGTACGGTATCATACCGAAATACCGAATTTTTCGAAAATTCATACCGTACCAAAATTTTTGGTATTTTCGACACGATACGGTACGATAAATCGGTATTTCGGTATATTAGGTAAATTTCTCCATCCCTATGCATGATTGATAATTAATGATTTACCTCTTTGCCAACTTCTTCAGCATCCTTTGATGATCTTGCAAAATTCACCAAAACCTGTAGTACATATAAAGTCCTAATTAATCAGCTTGGATAACATTAAGTATAGAGAAAGACATGGCTACAGTGCAATTTCTACAAATTATAAGGGCATAAATGATACTTCCTATTGTTTTAAGATGAACTTTAGCATAATGGAACAATACACACGATCGGATCTAGCATTGAACTGTAATTGTAATACACATCATATTAAAATTCATAGTCAAATGAAATGAAATTATTTTTACATGACAAAGAGAGTATTCAACCTTATTGAATGTTGTAGTTAAAGATATTTTTTGCCCTTTCAATAGATCTAATGTTTTTGTTCACTTTAGTCATTTTTGGGGTTTTTTTTTTTTTTTTCCTACTATTTAATCTATGTTTAATAATAATATTATATATATATATAATATTGTTTAAATAAAAAAAAAAAAATCACAAAGCAAACACGGTTAGAATTTAGGCCCTCGAGAAAACTATCCAACTCGAAAGAAGGCCAGTGAGGGAACAATAGCTATAGTTAATCAATTTTGCATGTGGTTTAACAATACTTTCATATTGTTACTAACTCAAATTCAAAATAAATTCAACAGATGATCCATATAAATAATATATATATATATATATAACGGTGTGCAATGAGTCCGGCTGAATTCGAGACCCAACTCATTTATTTAGAATTGGGTCAAATTCTTCGAATATCTGTCGGATACAAGTCAGGTCTTTTGTACTTTATCGGATCCGGATTGGATCTCGGGTTCAATGATAGACCCCACCCGAACTCAAATCTAATTAATATATTAATAATATTCAATTATATATATATATAATAATTTATAACAGTATAAATTATATTAAAAATGCTTTTAAGTTTAATTAATTTTTTTATTTTATTTTATTATAATATTTTAAAATAAAATACATAATATCGGGTTCAAGTCCGAATTCGGATCAAATTTTAAGTTAAAAATTAAAAATTGTAAAAGTTTCTCGCAGATCGATCGGTCCATCGGATATTGTTCAGGCATGATCGAATATAGTTGAATCAAATTCGAATGTAGGGTCCAACAATATCTACTCTCGTCGGGTCTTGGCTTCGGCTGACCGACCCATTGCCATCCTCCTCTAACTAATTTTTTATAAGTCAGGCTATAAATTGCATATGTTTGTGATTTGGATATTTACAAATATTTGTATTGGAAATACCTTTGAATAATAAGTTTGAAATGGAAAATAATATTCTTTCATTTACTTGAATAGAAATGATTTTTTGTTTATTGTAATACTATATTTTATTTCTTTTGCCATGTAAATTTATGCCTTTTTTAAAAAAATTGTCATTTAAAAATACTGCCCCCGTCCACTTTGAAAGTTTACATTTACCTTCTACGTCATTATACTTAACGTTAAAAATATCACTATATTTGTATAAATTTTTATACAAATGTCATTATATTTGTATTATAAGAAACTGATAGAAGTATTTTTGTCATTTTTACTTAATTTGTACTATATTTTGATATAATAATTAATATTTAAATATCAATACGCAAAAAGTAAATGTAAATCTTAAAGCGGACGGAGGGAATATTATTGTTTTTTTTTTTTTTTAAAGTAAAAGTAATAGTACTACATTTTTTTTTTTATTTAAAAGGTAAATACATTTCTATATTTATCTATATTTTTTTTAAAATAATGACAAAAGGTCAGGTCCAGTCGGATCCGAGATCCAACCTCAATACACATGGTTGGACTCGAGATTCGAATTGGACTTGATTATACACGGATCCGACCTGAATAATATCCGACAAGACCCGATAGACCTGACATATCCAATTTTATTTTTTTTTACAATTCTTAAAATTTAACTTAAAATTGGACTCCGACCCAACATATATTACAATTTATATATTTTATTAAAAAATATTATAATAAAATAATAAAAAAATAACTAAATTAAACTAAAAATATATTTTTAATATAATTTATATTATTAAAAATATTTTTTTACACGTATATAATTAATATATTAATTAGGTCCAGGTTGGGTAAGATTTATCATTGGACCTGAGACCCTTTCCACACCTGATAAAAATATACAATATATGAGTCGAATTCGGATCAAATATCAAATCTACCAGAATCCATTGTCATCCTTATATCTAGTCAAATGAATATAATTTCATAGCACAAATGAAGTATAATATAACGACTTCGATTGATGATCTTAAATTTATATTATTTTTTTTAAAAAAAAATAATATAATATTTAATATTTAATTATCATTTCATTTTGCAGCATGAAGGTAAAAGAGAATTTTGACCGAAAATTCAAAAACAAACACATTTATAGTATGTATATATTTGTCCTTATTCATTTAGTTATGTGGCTTCCAAAACCAACAACCTCACTTAATTCTATATAGCGAAATCTATGGCCTATACTGTACTGTACTATACTATACCATACTTTGTTTACCAGTAGCAGCAAGCAAGTGGAGGAGACGAGAGAGACACTGACCTTGCAACCTGCTTTCCCCATAGTCAGAGCAATCGCTTTACCAATTCCTCTCGACGCTCCGCTGATAACAACAACAGGAGATTCTTCTTTCTCCGAACTCAATTTCGCGAATTGAGCCCTAACTACTGCACTCTCAGAAAAACAAATTCAAGATCTCGGAGAACAAACAAACAAACAAAAATTAAATAAATAATTAATCTCCAGTAACATTGTAATCTCTACAACGTAACGCTCCGTGAAACTACAATCGCCACAACAGGAATCAAACAGGCATCAACGAATCAGGCTGTTTTCTTCGAAGATAAATTATATACTGAACCTCATATTGCAAATAGCATCGAAATCGTCACAATAGAAATCAAATAGGCATCAACGAATCAGGCTGTTTTTCTTCGAAGATTAATTATACCGAACCTCATATTGCAAATAGCATCGAAATCGTCACAACAGAAATCAAATAGGCATCAACGAATCAGGCTGTTTCCTTCGAAGATTAATTATACCGAACCTCATAATGCAAATAGCCTCGAGGTCCAAATACCTGAGGATGATGAATCGTAGCTTAGCGATCTCCATTGCAAACCGACCGACGCCGGAATTCTCACCTGCCTGAAACTAGCGATTCTTCGAGGAGCCTCACTTCCGGTTGAGGTGAAAGTAGCCAAGGCAGATACCGCAGCAGCAGCCATTGTAGCAAGCTAGGAGCGAATGAAGGAGAAAAATTAAAGGCCAAACTAGAAGTTATAACTGAAAAGAATACGACTGATGGGGGATCAGTACAAGTAATAATTCATATAATTGACTTTAATATAAATGATCTATCTTAAATTACACTTTCACATAAGTACTAAATAATATTGCAAAAAGTTCCTTTTGTTATAAAAATATCTAACAAATTAGGTCTTAACATGCAAAACTCTGAAAATATATCAGAATTTGAATTCACGATCTTTAGTGACGAATCCACCCTCACCGCCAAATATACGAGACATCAAATATATATTTCCTCTCCCCCCCCCCCCCCCCACAAATGGTTTTTTTTTTTTTAATAAAAAAGATATATTTATATTTGTAATAAATTTATTCAATTTATACATATTTAACAAATACAAATACGTATGACCTATTCAAAATACTTTTTATTTTTATGTTTATTCTCAATAAATAAATATTTTTATCTATATTTAAAATTCTTTATTTTTTATAAAATTAATTTTAAGCTAATTATAAATAAACAAATATATTTTTTATTTATTTGTACCCAGCTACAAAGTATACATATTTCTATTTTGGGACGTCCAATTACAAAGTAACCATTTCATTAAATACTCCATTTTTTTTCCACAAATATCATTATTTTACATCACATCATTAGGGCAAAAATGTCATTACACTATTTTTACCTACCCACTATAATTAAAATACTATTATTTCTCAAGCTCTGCGCCAAAAGTAAATGTATACTTATTGTGTGGACGGAGGGAGTATTATATAAAATTTTACTCTACAAAATAATATCTATATTGTAGATATTTTATTGAAATATAATGTAAAAAATATTTAAAATACCAATAACATCACTCATATAAAGAGTCATGTGACCCGAGACGGGGATAAAATATACACAAATATTATTATTTTTATATTACGGATACTATTAGAGATTTTTTTTTTCCTATAAAATAATACTCCCTCCGTCCCATAACAAAATATCCATTTTTCCATTTTAGTCCGTCCCATAACAAAATATCTATTTTTCCATTTTAGTCCGTTCCATAACAAAATATCAATTTTTTTTAGTAATTGTATTATCTACCTAACATTACAAATACCCTTACAACTTACAATATATTACACAAATGTCATTACCTTTATATCACACGTACTAATAAGATTATTTTAGTCATTTCTACTTTATTCTTATTATATCCCAATATAATACTAATATTTCTAAAACTACGTGTAAACTTTTGGGACGGAAGGAGTATAATAATAATAATATTAAAAAATCTACAATAAATAAATAATACTCTTTTACATAACAAAGATAGTATATATACAAATCAAACAAGTTTTAAGGATTCTGTGGTATAAAATTTTTTGAATTAATAACAACTCTATAAGCAAACACACCATAAATTATTTGTCAAATCACTTAAGATAAGTTGTGAGAAATCCTTAAATATGACTGGATTTGACCCCGGATTGAGATACGAGTATGTAGTGTAAAAATATATATATATACATACGGATTTGTTTCTTTAGCATAGTTTTGGCCAAAACTATTGTATGGTCACTGATAGGTCCGAATTTAGCGTCAAATTGGGCCTCTTTTTTTGTCCCTGATCAGCTCTGTGCAATCTACAGAGCTGACATATTTTATTTATTTATTTAAATTATAAATTTAAATTTAAATTTTTATAATATTTATAATTTAATAAAATATATACAATATATATATGTCATTTTGTGAATAAAATATTTTATTATACAGATAAATAAAAATTTAAAAATATATATATATAGATACAATATAAATTTATAATTAAATTATAAAAATTAATACACATTTATATTATTATATTTATTACTCATCAAATTAATCATATCAAAACTCTCCAAACCCTCAACCAAACCTAAATAAAAAAAAAAATATCAAAATTCAAATAAAAACCAAACCGAAACCTGAATTTCCCAAAACCTCCTTAAAGAAACACACCCACATTATTTAGAAAATAGATTTATTTAATTATATTTTAAATGTATTTTTAACAATTTATATACTCCCTTTGTTAGTAATAGTTTCATTTTATTTATTTATTTTTTTATTTTTTTATGTATTTTAGTATAATAGTCTCATTTTCATAAATAATTATATCATTATAAAATTATTTCTATTTTTTATTATCATTATACAAATACTACTAATTTTTTTTATATAAATACATTCTATACACCAAAAAATCTCAAATTTCTACTATTTGAATTTTTCGTTTTTCCAAAAAAATATATTTTTTTCTTTCCCACAATATCCTATCATACATTATTTTCATACCAAATTCACAATAAAATTTTACAGAACATATATATATATAAAAACTATCTTTACTCATTTTAATATAATTTATTAATTTTTAAATTAGGTGTTGAGCCAAAATAAAATTATTATTTCGGACAAAGAGACTAATTATTAATTAAATCACAAGTTCAGTCTACATCTTCTTGCAAGACTTGTCGATTATTATTTTTATATTTTAGAAAAATGGTATCAAAAGTTCCACTAGACTTCTATAATTAGTAAATAATAAAAAAATATATATATTAAAAAAATAATTATTATATAGTTTTTTTTTTTTATGTCCTGATCATATTTATTTTTTACCGTCATTATATTAAATATTAAAAAATATATTTATACTTATAACTTTTGTACAAATGTCATCCTATTAATATTACTTCCTCCGTTCTATAACAAAATATCCATTTTTCCATTTTAGTCCGTTTCATAATAAAGTATTCATTTCCTTTTTTAAGTAACTTTATTATCTATGTAACATTACAAATATCCTTATAATTTACAATATATTACACAAATGTCATTACCTTTAAGGTTATTTTAGTTATTTGTATTTTATTCCTACTATATTCTAATATAATACTAATATTTCTAAAACTACGTCAAAAAAACAAATGGATACTTATTTTTGGGACGGAGAGAGTATAAGATATCAAAGTATTTTCATAATTTTTTCTTAATTTGTATATAATAATTAATATTCAAGTAAATGAAACATGGCCCGATGAAAGTAGTATAAATAATTATTCCTTCGGTCTCAAACATCATGCAACATTTCCTTATTTGTTTGTACCAAATTCACTGCAACATTTCTGAATTTAAAAATAATTAATAATATATATATACACATATTAATATACAATTCATTTTATCTCGTCACATCACTCAAATAAAAGAATAAATAAGCATTTCTCTCTCCAATCACATCACTTGATATCCAAATTATCGCAAATTATTATATTTAATATTCTTCATCTAAATTATCTTATTTCAAATTACTATATTTAATATTCTTCATCTAAATTATCGCAAATTATTATATTTAATATTCTTCATCTAAATTATCTTATCTCAAATTACTATATTTAATATTCTTCATTTAAATTATCTTGTACCAAATACAAATGTTGCACGGTGTTTAAAACAGAAATTGTATAAAATAAAGTTAAGATAATTAATTAATTTAATTAAAATTTAAAAAATTATTAATTATAAAATTTAAAATATAATTAAAATTTATAATATTTGTTTTTTTAAAAAAAATAGAGCATGACATAAATAGAAATACGGATAAAATAAGCTAGAAGTAACGACTATTTTGGTTTGTGGTTTATTGCTGAAAATTATAGAAATATGTAAAAACACCTATAGTACATATTTTATTCTTCATAAATTCTCAGAAATATTTTCGAACCCCAGTTTTTCCCAAATCCTATCCGTAGTTTCAATCTTATTTCCTCCCTCCATTTCAGCGCTGGGTGTAGCCGTCGTCGCCATCGCCACAGTTCGTCTTCAACTATTTCATTGCAGTATGGTTAATGTTTACTTATTTCTGTTTTGGTGGATTTTGTTTTGGTAATTGTTGAAAAAAATTGTCAATCTGGTCTGAGGATGGGATCCATTCTATCTAGAATTTAAACTGGAAAATTTTGACGCATATCCGTCTGATCAATTCTTCTTCCTTTGTATGTTCGGCGTGATATTTTGCATTTCGATCGATAGGATTCCAAAACATTCCGCTGCTGTGTTTATCTACAGTATTTAGTTGAAGAGTGTGTAGCTGAATGATAATTGATAAGGTTAGTAGTGTAAAGGTAGACAGGGATATTATGACACATTATCTAATCATATGATTTAAATGGAGTAAGGAAGAGCTTGATTGCCATTAAAATATGATTATAATTAGCAATGGAGCAGAAGGCTGATTTGAGAAGAAGGGGAAGAATGAACTTGCTGCTGTTATACCATTACAGAGGTTTATATAGGAAAATAGACTAAGGACTGATACTGATGACTACTTCAATTAATCAAGTAACTATCGAATAATTGTCGACTGATATACAATTACAAGCTTATGCATTTTTTAGTTTTCACATCCTGGATTTTGATTTTCTGTTGATATGTAAAGTTGGGTGTATAGTAATTGCTTTGTCAATGTGTGTGTTCTTCAAGTATATAACCTTACCTTTCCATCACTTATATCTCTTCTCTTTGATTAGCTAATACGCCGCTTAGGGACTTGTGTTGAGTATATGTTCGGATAATGTCTATCCTCAACTGCAACTCTGTTATTCGACATCAAATTTCGGCTTCTTCTGCTCTTCCGGATGACCCTTCTTCACCTTCGGTTTATTCCAAACCTACTGAATATCCACCCCCCAAAAGAAGTAGAAAACTCCCACTAAAGCTAAAGCTTAGACAAGCAAAGGGCGCCCAACAGCCGACTGTTTTGGAAATTGAACGAGCTATTGGCGCTGGCATTTTTCGAGACAGAGATGTCAACAGGCAAGCCAATGCATTTTCCTTTTATCAGCTGCTTCCATATTTGTGTAATAAATTATCTTGATTTGAGATACACTCAAATCAAGTATTACTGTTTCAATATAATCAAATATTCTCTCAACCTCCACAAGATTTCATCTTTGGTTTCCATGGCATAAATGTGTAGTTATAAATTGCAGTGAATCAGGGGACAAATCGAGTTTGTTTGAGAGGAATACCGTCGGGGAGGATGAAGGTTCTGTAAAGAAGAAGCTAAGTGATGTCAGCGAATGGCTCATTGATCAAACTGAAAGAACATCTCGTCGAGCTGGTAACATCATTTCTGTTCCTTTTCCCTTTCCATTGAACCTTTGAAGCCAAATAGCATTGCCTTTTGTAGTTTCATACTTTCCTTTGTAATTAAAAGTTTCAATTGGAAGCTAGGACAACTATGATTTTTTAGAAATAATATTTATATCAAATGACTGTTTTATATGATTGTTTAGCACATGATATAGGTAAATATTACACAATTCTCACTGAATTAAAGTCTTAATCGATTCAAGTGGATAGCATAATCTTGATTGTGGTAACTAGATCATCTATCATTCGATCAATCTATAATATGATTATGCATATGAATGTAGTTACTCTATTTTTGTCCCGAGGATTGATGGGAAACAAAATTTATTTCTTTTCATAGCCTTAGTGTGTGCAAGTAACAGCTTCAATGGAACTCGATTTGATTTTAGGATTGGTAAATTCATCATCTTTTTAAGTCTAGGCAGCCCTTTTTGATGTTTGTTTGTTCTTGCTTTGCAGGAAAGCCAATCTTGGTTTCTATGTTTGTTTGGATGATACCAATATGGATGGTTGGATTTGCGGTAGCTTCTGGGATCATACAGCTGCCCTTCCAAACACCATTTCTTGAAGACCTTATTTCGTGAAGATTATATATATATATATATGTATATAGACATATAGTGCCTGTGCAGTATGGATCTTGATTTCATTATCCACGTACACTCTCCATGGTCAATCTTTAACTTCGATCAGGTACACTTAATTTTAGTATGTTTTTTTGTTAATTGATTTTAGTATGTTATGGTGACTTCTTCAAGGCTGGCGTTGGTTGGGCCGGCAGGCTGGGCCTATTTTAAGTGGGCTTAGTGAAGTCCAAGCTTGGGTTTGACGTTGACCTAACCGCGTGGGTGGTAGAACTGTTATACTAAGTGCGCAGAATATATAAAAATTGAGATTTGAATTTTGATTTAAATTTTAATTTAATCAGCATTTTGATATTTTTGTAAAAATAAATAATATATATATTTTTTATTGAAAATTATAGTTGTTGAATAGCAGTGGTTTTGTATTTTTTTTTTTTTTTTTTTTTTATGATATGTGCACTGGGCAAACCTCATATCGAATTTAATATCCTGTAAATCAGATTTGGATCCAATAATATAAATCACATTAGGCGAACTATGTTAAAATATTGATACTCTATAAAATGGAAAAAAATTGATAAAGTTAACAAGTTACTAAATATTGATTAAATTATAAAATATAATTTAATATACATATAAGTAAAAAAATTACTATTAGAAGTTAGAACATACTACTCCCTCCATTCAAAAGAAGTGTGCTAAAGAATATGTTAGAGTAATAATTAGGGATAGTATGAAAAAGTAGAAATATTTTTGTTATAAGATAAGGACTACGGTTACTAAATAAGAAAACAAAACAATGGACGAAAATGAAAAAAAAAGGATAAATCTTTTGGAACGGTGAGAGTATATTTTATGAAATTAAATAAAAATAAGAAATTAAAATAATAGTATCAGATCTTTTGGTTTTATGAAATTAAATAAATATAAGAAATTAAAATAATAGTATTAAATTACGCTTTATATAATGTATATTTATACTATTATATTATTATTGTTGTTGTAAATATATGTAATAAAACATAGAAACAACAAACGCTAGCCACATAGCCGCGGCGCCCCTCCATCATTCTTCCATTTTTATTTTTTATTTTTCTCGTCGCTCTCCTTCTCCTCCTCCTTCTCTCTTTCTCTTCTTCCCTTTTCCTTCTCCTTCACCTGCCGCCGAAGGAAAAGGTTGCCGGATTTGTTTTTTATATATATATTTTCCCAATTTTTTAACCTCTTCTCTGTTTCTTCTTTTGCCGGATATAAAAATGATCCAATAAGCAAATTCACAAAAATGACCCAAAGCCCATTAATCTCAATAGCCCAATAGACAATTGTCTCAGTTCATTCTGCACATAGGCGTGGCTTCCCCACCTCCCTCCGTCCCGTTGCTGCAGTGGAGAGGAAGAAACTGCAGACGAAGCAAAGTAATCCAACACAGCAGAAGAAAAAGGCGCTAATCAAAGTACGCGAAGAAGGTGAAGAAAGAGGAGGAGGAAGAAGAACGTCGAGATGAAGATAGAAGAAGTGCAATCCACAACGAAAAAGCAGAGAGTTGCAACTCATACTCACATCAAAGGCCTCGGCCTCGAGGTAAACTTACAGTAATTTATCCATTTTCTGTGTGTTTAAGGTAAGGCGCCAACTAGTCTGATGATACGGAGCTGTCTCCTAGGGTTTAGGGTAGGGTTTTGCGATATTAGAGTTTACTGTAGCGAATGTTGTACAAATGGAGGTTTTTTAGAAAAGAATAGCTGCTGAAGTAGATAATTGAGGAAAGAAAATGAGAAAAATTTCATTTCAAGTTTGGCGAGTGGATTCATTCTGATGTGTTTTGTGCTTGCTGATTATGTTGTAGCCTACTGGAAAAGCATTGCCTTTGGCTGCCGGATTTGTGGGGCAAGCTTCAGCAAGGGAAGCTGCTGGCCTTGTGGTTGATATGATCCGCCAAAAGAAGATGGCTGGGCGTGCATTGCTACTGGCCGGTCCCCCGGGCACAGGAAAAACAGCCCTTGCTTTAGGAATTTCCCAAGAACTCGGTAGCAAGGTATATATGATTGGTATTGTGTTTGGGCATTTGATCTCAAAGTTCTATATCCACCTCTTCGAGATAGTATCTTAGCTAGTTTCCTTTGTACAGGTCCCATTTTGCCCAATGGTTGGTTCTGAAGTGTATTCGTCGGAAGTAAAGAAGACTGAGGTTTTAATGGAGAACTTTCGCAGAGCTATTGGTCTTCGAATCAAGGAAAACAAGGAGGTTTATGAGGGAGAGGTAAATGATACATTTTTTAAGATAGAGATAGTAATAGAAGAAGGAATGACCTACTCCATTATCTGTCCATTTTCAGTTCTTATTGATTTGTTAGTATGATATATGTTTTCTGGTTGTGAATATTGATATAATGCTTGCTACTTATGTCACAGGTGACTGAACTTTCTCCGGAAGAAACTGAGAGTGCTACTGGTGGATATGGCAAAAGTATTAGCCATGTTATAATTGGATTGAAAACGGTAAAAGGTACTAAACAGTTGAAGTTGGATCCAACGATTTATGATGCCTTGATCAAGGAAAAGGTTAGTTTCCTGGAAACTATCTTTTTTTGTCATTCCCTTTACGAGATCATTCCACTTGTGCTGAGTATCACCCTTATGCCTAAATTAGCATGCCATTGCATACGCGAACTGTTTTTTAAGGATGTTACTTCAATATTCGCCACTCTTATTATCACCATGATGCCATGTATCTTTTGATTATCATATATTTCCCATTCCAACATGAGTAAGTGTTATAAAATTTAGGTAGCTGTTGGAGATGTTATCTACATTGAAGCAAATAGTGGAGCAGTTAAAAGGGTAGGAAGGAGTGATGCTTTCGCCACTGAGTTTGATCTGGAGGCTGAAGAATATGTTCCACTCCCGAAAGGAGAGGTTCACAAGAAGAAGGAGATAGTTCAGGTATGTGAGTTACTTGTCTATGCTAAGTAAGATTTCTTTTAAATCAGCTATTAATGACCGGGGAACATCACAATCGATACTTCACACCCACACCCTGAAATCTCAATAGCTATGGTCTTCTGACCACATGTTATATTATATATATTCAGCTATTGACCTACATTGCATGCAAATTCTGTGTTCATACTTATTTGAAGTCGTGTGAATCGAATTCTTGAGACACTTTGATGTACCATTTCTGTTGATTTCTTGTGATGATAATTGAGACTACTTCTACCTTATTGCATCATCACATATCGTACACTTTCATTAAAAGATATAAATGTTCAATGTCGATATATCTTCTATGCTAGGATGTGACTTTGCATGATCTAGATGCTGCCAATGCACGGCCTCAAGGAGGACAAGATATATTATCCCTGATGGGACAGATGATGAAGCCCCGGAAAACTGAAATCACCGACAAGCTCAGGCAAGAAATAAATAAGGTATGAAATGAATTAATGGAACTGATGTTCGTGTCAATCGTACATGCCACGGAACAATCACAAATTCACATTCCTTCCCAGGATCTAGTAAAATAAATGATATGCTTTGCTTGACTGAGTAACTAATTGCAGGTTGTTAACCGGTACATAGATGAAGGTGTGGCAGAGCTCGTCCCCGGTGTCCTGTTTATTGATGAGGTTCTATTTCATACACTAGTAGCTACATTTTGACAAAGAATGGTCTGCTTTGCGTCTTCCACTCACCATTTAAATTCAATTCAGGTTCATATGCTGGATATGGAATGCTTTTCTTATTTAAATCGTGCTTTAGAAAGTTCACTTTCTCCAATCGTGATTTTTGCCACGAATCGGGGAATCTGTAGTGTCAGGTATTATCGTGTACTGATCCCACCATGCCTCAATTGTCTACGCACATAACAAATTCTGAGATTAAACCGATTGTTTGCAGAGGAACTGACATGATGAGCCCTCATGGCATACCAGTGGACTTGTTGGACCGACTGGTCATTATAAGAACAGAAACCTACGGCCCTGCCGAAATGATACAGGTTCGATCATTTCTACATTCTCTGTCCTCGCCTCCAAGAACCCCATTTGTCGACACATGTTCTCACTTACAAAACACTGAATTGGGTTATGCCAGATATTAGCTATCCGAGCACAGGTGGAGGAACTCAAAATAGACGAGGAAAGCCTGGCGTATCTTGGAGAGATTGGACAACAAACATCTTTGAGGTTTCTCTCTCTCTCTCTCTCTCTCTCTATATATATATATATATATATAAATAACTTGCAAACTCTATGACAACCAATACTTTCTCAGGCATGCCGTGCAGTTGCTGTCTCCGGGGAGCATTGTCGCCAAAATGAACGGCCGAGATAATATCTGCAAGGTATGTGCTTTAACCAACTAAAAGAAACTCTTTCGACAACTGTATCTACAAAATCAATGATGCGGAAACTATTATACCTTGGACAGGCCGACCTGGAAGAAGTGAACACTCTGTATCTCGACGCCAAATCGTCGGCGAAGCTCCTTCAAGAACAGCAGGACAGATACATTTCGTGATGAATACAAGAAATTGAGTGTATGTTTTTTCCCAACTTGGTTGGATCTTTTCTTTTGGAGAATTGATTTTATGTGAAGCTGTAGAATTGTTACAACTTTCCCAGATTTTTAATGATGTTCTTGGCCTTTTATTTTCTTGGATTTCTGAGTCATATTGTGGATCATATATATAGATGATGAGTTCCTAGTTGATGTAATACTTGGTGTGTTGTGGAGGACCATCTTCACATCACATCACATGTGAAAACAATTCTAAAAACATACATTACTTCTCTCTCACATGTACATATGTTTGCTTTCTTATTGGCTTAGTTTTAGGTTAATATTTTTTATTTGGCTAAATTGTACAAAACCTATCTATGATTCATGAAATTGAAATGCACATCAAACTCCTTGTGGTTTTATAAACTCTGCACTCTCGACGGTGCTTATTTAAAGGTGCTTATTTAAAGGTATTCGATCTAAATGTCTCCAAATTGTGAAAAAATTTGAGTGCATTTATGTCAAATATAGTTAAGGACCGCCGATGGGTTAGACACAAAGTTTATGAAATTACGATGAATTTTGAGCAATTTTGTAAAACCACATGGGATTTTTATTCGATTTAGCCTTTTTATTTTTATTTAATTTTTTAAGCTTAGGTTATTATGGGATGGTTGAGTTGGTGTATAATGTAATACCAGATTACTTTTTTTAGTGTAATTTATCTACTAACATATAATTTTTATTTATTTATTATCTAACTATTGATTAAATTCAAATCGAAATTATTTTATTTTATTACGTGGGAATACGTAGCTATTATTTTTTTTTAAGTAAACTCCAGCTCAACTTAATAGCCAAAGATTTCAAACAATTGTTCCATTAAAGATGGTTTGTTTTAATGTAATAATTATCCATTTATTTTACCATACCCAAAAATAATAATAATAATAAATAAAATATAAGTATGTTTTAATTATAAATTATTTAAAGATTTTCAACACTAAGGCATACTTTTGTTCCATTTCACTTTTTTGCAAGCTTTAAGTGTATATATATATATATATCATTTATGTGTATATATAATTACTACTGAATACAATACTTTTATTTAAAAGATCATATCTAATAATTATTTTAAAAATAAACGATTACTTCAAGTAATTATTTTTCACCTGGAAAAATATCAAATAAAAAAATAAAACATAAGTCAAATTTAAAGCTATGGAATAAATTAAGTTGTTTGTAAATTTAGTTTGGTTCGATTTAAACTCATTCATAAATGTAAACGAATCAAACCAAATAATATAAATAGACTTGTTTTGTAAACTACCGAATTTGAACCTTATTCGCAAATATTTGCTTAAATGACATATTTGAAATATATATGAAATTATTAATTAAAATAAATAAATAAAATATTATATCTATGGAATTATAAAATAAAATATTATATTTATCGGAACAAGTTCAAACGAGTTTAATCGAGCAAACACATACACGAGCTCGAAAATGAAATTGCTTAACGAACCGAACTCAAACATTACAAACAAATTTTTGAATGTTTAATTAGTTAATAATAATAATAATAATAATAATAATAATAAAAGCATTATACGCATATCTATACATAGATCATGCTGGAGGTTAAGTAGCAATGCTATTAATGATATACTACTCCATGACTATACTTTGGGTTATGTTCGGTACGAAATTTAAGGAATATTGATAGTGGATAAAAAATGTAGGTAAAAGATTTTTTTGTCTGAGTGTATTATATTAGCGTAAAAAATAGTGACAATTGTGTAATAATAATAAAAAAGTAGGTGTAGTTTTATAGTGATATGATTATTTATAGACATGTTTTTAAGACGAACAAAAATAATAAACAAGACTATTGGGTACGGAGAAAGTATGTAATATTTTTTAAATCCATTCGGACAAAGCAAATCCCTTTCAAAGCCCATCTGTAAAATGGTCACCAAATTTGGCATCCCATTTTGTGTAATCCCTTTCTAACCAATCATTTATTTATTTATTGATTTATTTTAATTAATTAATTAATTTATATGTTGATGGATCTGACTAATATATAGCTGTTGGCACTTAATTACTAATTGGTTTATTTATATCCAGGTTCTTGGTAGACGTTACAATTACGCCTTGATTATTTTTTCTCAATTCATTATTATTATTATTATTATTATTGGCTGATATTCTTTTCGAGTGTATAATTTTTAGCTAATAGACCCATGCATATATATAAATAATACTTTTAAAGTTAATAAAAAAATATTTTCTCTGTGCATACAAATATAATATTTTATCCGTCTTATATTAGATTATCAATTTTATTTTTTATTTTTTTGTCCGTCCAATAACAAAATATTTATTTTTTTAAAGTAACGATACTACCTAATATTACAAATACCCTTACAACTTACCATATATTACACAAATATCATTACATTTATATCACACAATACTAATATTTTAGTCATTTCTATTTTATTTATACTTACATCTCAATATAATACTAATATTTCTAAAACTTCATCCAAAAAAACAAACATATACATAAACGAAAGAAGTATAAATTTAAATAAATGAACTAACAAAATTAATTTTATTACGTTTATTTTAACCAATAATAATAATTTTGTCATAATTTTTTTATTACATTATATTTATATCAATGATTTTATAGATTTTATGTAATACATCATTTTACTCTTTTTTTTTTTTTTTTATCTATTTTATATTTATACTAAAAATATTACCATTATTTTAAATTTTTTGTATTAAAATAAAATGACATAGGTCCTAATAGAAAAAAATATATATATTTGTTGATGTTGGTGTAATTGCATGTAATAATTATTAAAGACATGTTGTAATCTCTCGAGTTTGTGGACAGATAGTGATGTTTTTGTTTATTGGATTTAGTATTTCTTCGATTTTTTAAATTTGTAATAAATAAATAATATTTATGATTATCCATTTGAATAATATGTGAAAAACAATTATTAAGACCAATAATATGGAGATTAGGTCAGTGACCAGTGAGGCGAACTTTTTCCTTTTTCATTTTTTTTTAGTATATAAATTTATTAGGAAAAAAGAAATCTTTTGGGTCTGTTTACTTTACCATTTAAAAATAAAAATAAAATAAAAATCCGGCATTGCATTTTGCTGCTAGTGCTGTGGTGGCGGAGGTGGCGGCTGAGGTGGTGGTGGTGGTGGTGGTGGCTGCTGCGCATTTCGCTTTCTGGCTACACAATCGTCTGCTCACGTGAAGCTAACTACTTCATCTTTTGGCTTGTTTTGCTTTAATTCAACGGCTAGGGTTTGGTTTTGCTTTAATTTTTGGTTTTGTTGTGGCTGATCTTGGTTTTCGCTGGATCTGCTCGAACCACCTGCAGATCCAGAGAGCTTCAGTGCTGAATGGTTGGGTGCATTTGTGGTTTTTGAGGTGAAGACTTGAGGGTATGGAGGCGTGAGTATGGTCTGGATTCAGCTTGCTTGAGAGTTTGGAGCAGCTGAATTTTGTGGTAATGTCGGAGTAGTTGCTTCCGCTGCAGGTTGATTTTGTTGCGAATTGTGGCTGTTTTTTGGATTTAGTGTTTGGATTGTGGTGAATGGTTAATTGAGCTGAGATATGCGAAGCAAATTTGGTGTTTGATTTGTGATTTCGTCTCTGGAAGAGGAATTATTAGTAACTTGGGTCGATTCTCGTTGCTCATTATGAACCGATTGCAGAGGAGGTAGAAAAGGATTAGGGTTTCCTTGTCTTCATTGGTAATGTGAATTGGATTTGAGTTCTTAGGGTAAAGAAGAATCCACTTGTAGTTTCGAAAACGAGCAGCTGATTGGTCTATATGATCTTCACCATGTTTGAAGTTCTGAAAGGATTTGATTGAAGCTTTGTGGGGGTAAATTGATTTGTGAGCTTTGGAGTCCAGCCATGCCTGCATCTCCCGCGACAAAGATTTCTCCTCGGAGGGGGCTGAGGGAGGATAATCACAAGAGAGGTCGGAGTTTGGAAAGTGGGATTCGATCGTTGGAGAAGGATGATGATCTTACTCTATTTAACGAGGCACAAAACAAGGAAAGGGAGAGTTTCTTGCTTCAACAGAACGACAATTTCGATGATATTTTCTGTAAAGACTCACATTCTATGATCTGCTTTTGAACTTAATTGCTTTATGTGTGGTTTGTGTGTTACTTAAGTTTCTGGTGCATGTCTTGTGTTTTTTTATTCACACGGCGTATATGCGACAAATGCCATTATTGTTTTTTATCATGCATTTATTGTGATCATCGTCGTTATTGTTGATCTTGTATTTATTGCGATGACAGCGACAAAATTGAGATACTTCTCAGATTACAAGCTTGGAATTTCCATTCCCGCTCGGGGAGAGAGTAGTGATCTGCTCAATGCTGAAGGAGATAAAAATGACTATGATTGGTTGGTTACTACACTTTACTGTGGCTTTGTTTTATTCATGCTTTCCTCGATTTCTTTTTAAGGCACGTGTCATAATACGGATGTCATGCTTATGCAATTGCCACGTATTTCTAAGACAACAAGAAACATCATGGAACAAATACATACATACATATATATATACATACATAATACTGGTGTCATGCTTATGCAATGTGCTTTTAAGGTGTATGTAGGTTTTAAGATGGAACTTTTGTGTAGCTATCATTTTCTTCTCAATGCAAGTATTACTTGCATTGTTTATAAGAATTGGACAAAGACATATATATATATATATATATATTGATAAGAATTTGTAACTCATTGAAATACAGGATCTTTCTCTTTGTATAGTTTGTACTTTTAACATTTTTTGTTGTTTCTTGCCTAGGTGCTTATACATTTCGTCTTTGGGTTTCCTACTAAGTACTAATGTACGGTGCTGCTGTTAATTGCAGGCTGATAACTCCTCCCGAAACCCCTCTCTTCCCTTCTTTAGATGATGAGGCTTCGCCAGCCACTCTTGCACCACGAGGCAGGCCTAGGAGTCAACCTATTTCAGTTTCTAGAGCATCCACGGTCAGATATCATAATTAAATTTTTACCAAAGAAGACATGATTTTACTTGATTTTCTTGTTTACACCTGCAAATCTTTTTTATTTTGTGTACAACTTTAGATGGAGAAAGGAGCTTATAGGAGTGCTAGGGGTAGTGCTAGCCCTCTTCGCCATAGTCCATCTCCTCGATCCGGCACCAGTCCCCTGCAGTCAAGAAGCCGACCATTTTCTGCCACTCATTCGAGTCCACCTC